CAAAAAATCAATATCAGGTAAGTAGTCTACCCAGAACCGAAAAACATGGCAAAGGGTCTACAACACAAGCAAGTTTGGGACACACTAGGTAAAGTGCCTAGGGTCATCGAGTTTTTGGGGCCATACAAAAAATATTTGAATTAAGTTGTTAAGGATTACGACAACCGGTTTCCTATCCTGCCATCATTTATTTAAGTGTTGCCTAGGACTCACGACAACCTTACCTCAGCCCTACAAATGCAGTTCAAAACATAATTTCTTATAGTTTTCAGAGTTAGTTGCTTATTGATATAGGCAACCAAATAATCACATATATTTATATTTGTACATCGATCCTGTGTCCTCTTTTTTATTATAACTGTCGCTCTGGGTCGGTCATTGAACCACATTTGACAGTGATAATTAACTAATTACTGCAAAAGTAATTACATAATTATAAATCTCTGAGTATGTCAACCAAATTTCAACAAATTTTTACTAATTTCTTCAAAATATTCTTTTAATACTAAATAATAAACATAATTTCTTGTATATTTTCTCCTAAATACATGTAAAGAACTATTGATCACAGTCTTTCCGATCTTTAATAATAATTAAATTTTGTTTTGTGTGCAATTTGATATGGAGTTTAACTATAGTTTCGTTGATTTATTCATAATACAACAAAACTGTTGGGAAATTGGGAAAAACAGTAAAATAAAACGGATAAACATATTTTTAAAATTAAATAGCGTTTATTTAAAATTACAACATATTTTCACAGTGTATTTTTTTTTTTCGAAAATAATATAACGGGAGAATAATAACTTATACGCATTTTCCGTATTCGTTTCATTTCTTTTGCGAATAAACAATCCTATCTGTCTCTTAAATTGTACATATATAAACAAGCGAATATTCATTTGAAGCCATAACAACGAAAAAATTAAACGCACATAAAAACAAACAAAAATAAAAAGGATATAATAATAATAATAAAGGACCAAAAATAAAATAATAATAATAATCATAAAAAATATATGTGAGAAATAAAAGTGTATATAATAATGATAATAATAATAATAATAACGATAAGAAATAATAAACTTAAAGAAATCATCAGTGTTAGTTATAGCACCGTAATAAACGAAATAAAAAAAAACTCGAAGCGGGGGATGTCCGTTTTCTTTTTTTGCGGAAGCGTCGTGTTCCATTTCCGGTTTCTGGTTTCCGGACGTGCGGACGGTGGAGAGTCCGTGCGCGCGTCGGAAGTGGGTTTGTTTTTGGAGAGAGATAGTTTTGGTCAAGACTGCGTGGAGAGTTCGCAGCCTACCGTTGGGGAGGGGTGTTTGGAAACCGGAAGCGGAACTGAAACGGGAAATACGTCGTCGGGTTCTATCGTGTTCCACTCCGATCGAGCCCCGAAATTGAACGAATTTTCCCGCATTCTTCCTCACAACCATCTTATCATTATTATCAATACATTTAAAAAAAATAATAACAATATAAAATATATATAATTTGAAAAATACAAGGGAAAAAAACGCGGCTGTGCGTCTCACATGTACTTCCTTTCTTCCATCATCTTCATCATCATTTACATTACAGATTCCCCCAATATACAGATAAATATATATATATATATATATTCGAACGCGTCGCAACGCGTTACGCAATTAGTTAAGTCCATCAGCAGATCGTTCCGAGTTATACAAAATATTATACGTCCTACCAAAAAAAAAATCTCATTTATAATAAATATTTATATAGTAGTATACAAAATAACGACTCGCGTCAGTCAATCATCAAGGAGGAGGTTTGCATCATCTTTTACAGTGCTTTTGTTTTAAGTTCGATACGTTTCTTGCGAAAAAATAATAAGGAACGCAAAAGACGCGATGCGTTCCGAACTTATACAAAAAGAATCAATACGAGTAGTTTATATAAACGTAATAGTAACCTAAGTAGTAGTAATAGTATAAATATGTTTTTCTTTGCTTCGATATATAAATATGAAAGGATTTGATTTATATAAAATTGGAATGAAGAGAATTGCTTTTGCCGTTTCTTTCGCTCTCAGATGACGAAAGTCTCTAGAGGGGCGGCGGCGGGCCGTTGTACCTGTACGAAGGCTGCATATTGTTGGTGAAGCTGTTCAGAAGCGAGCAACTGTAATCGTCTTCGCTGAACGGCACAAGGGATGCCGCCCCGAGGAGCAGCAGCATCAGAGCCTGGATGGGAAGCGAGGCTCGAACGACTCTACCCAAAAACCGATAGCCTTTCCTCAGCACCGTCGTGTTTATCTCTCGGTCATCTGATGACCCGCTACAAAGAAAAGAAAAACGAAATATTACAGTTAAATAATAAAAGACGAAGCCTTTCACGGTACGCGATATTCGCCAATTTACTTGTCTCCGTAATCTGAACTTTTGGCGTAGTTTCCATGACTACTGCCATAACGGTCAATATATTTCTACTGATAAACAAATGAGTAATCTCCGTGACTACCAAAGCCTATTTCGTGAGTAGTTTCTTGGTGAGTATCGCGTAGTGAGAAAGCGTATCTAGGTCTATTTCAAGTGAGTTTACTATTATGTAAGTATCTAAAGGGTGGATCGTACAGGGGAGGAGGAAAAAATAATAATAAAAATATATTTACGTGTTGGCATCGTTGTCGGGTGCATTGGAAGGACCTGGTGCGGCGCTGGGTTGGTCCAGAAGCTGTCCAAACGCAAACAAAGGGTGAAATTGTGCATTCGTTTCAAAATAATTTTTGTAAAAAGGTAATTACTCTAAATAATAATAGTAAAATAACAATAGCTTACATACTATGTTTTATGTTTTTACAATAAATCGTTATATAAAAAATGGGAGTAATAAATATGAAATACACTCCAACCTTAGGAGAGCGAGAGAGTTTTATAGATTGATAGATTTATTCGATATCTCTCCTAAAGTTGGATTAACAAAATTATCGGCGATAATTTCATTTTTCCGTAGTATTTACATTAAAAGAGATGGTTCTACTAAACAACGCTAAGAGGTTTTATACTAAGGCACAAATATCTTAATCTACGATATACATAATAAATAAGATGTTCTCCGCTGTTTTCGCTTGTCGTCTACTAATTTTAAGTTTACTTACAAAATACAGCATCGATTTGTTAAACTTACGTCATAACTAAGGTTATGCAGCGGGGCGGCGCCAACGGCCGAAGCGGTGGTCTGCATGAGCTCGTTCGGATCTTTGCCAAGCACAGCGCCAAGCTTCAGGATGTAAATACTTGTTAGGCGGATCAGAGATTGAAGCTTTAATCTGAGCTCCGTGAGACGGGCGCATATCGTGGAGGAACCCTCCGGTGCCCCGTCCCTACGAAGAAGCTGATTCGCAGCCTCCTGCAGACTCATAACGCGCGGCTCGCATCGTTCCAGCTCGGCCCTCAGCTCAGTGAACTTAATGTACTTGTTGTTGATGGTGTCCATGTCCACCGTGAGATCGACTGGCTCCGAGACGCGGATCTTCTGCTCCGTCTTCTCTAGCCACGAGCATAGCTCGGTCACGATGTTGTGGAATTGACGATTCTAATAAAACAATTATATTGAAAATAGAAAAAAGAATCACAGGAAATTGATTGAAAACTTACATCCATCAGAGCCCTTTGCAGCTGCGTCTCCCAGGTGGTCGCATTCTTGCAGACCAGATCCCATCTCTTGTTGTCGGCTTCCAGACGGGCTCGAAGCTTGACCGCTCTGCTCGTATCCTCTGTGTGATCGGCGAGATGCGTCCCGACGATGTTCAGAGACCGCACAATGCTCTTGTGACTGTCCAGATCCAGCAGGAATTCCCTGTGATCCTGAATCACATCTTCGAGTTGTTCAATGTTCGATGGCGGTGTCTTCTGTCCCTTCTGCGTGCCTTCGGCCACCTGGAGCCACTGCTCCAATCTCCACAGATCATTCTCCAACTGAGCCCAGTTGCGCTTCGTGCACAGAGGACACAAAAGTCTTCCGGCCTCGCTGCAATTACAAAAACAAAATTTACCAATTAATTACGTAATTCACAAATACAAATGGGGTCAAGTTAATTAACAAAAGTAGTAGTAGTAGCAATAAAACTTACTGTTCACACAAAAAGTTATAAGCGTCAAAGGAAGACCTGCAGATCGAAGAGAAACAAAGAAAACCAAAAATTAGTAAGACCAAACACCAAGTTTGTTGTTAATATGTGTCTACATTAAGCCATAACCGCGCATAAAACTATTATCAAACACTGTACCTTAATTCGCGTATTTTCAGTTCTTTCGCTTTGGCGGCTTTGAGCAATTTATCGAATTTATCGCTTAGTTGCTGCACCTCCTCAGCTTTGGCCTCTTCCGGCGTCGCGTTGCATTCCTTCACCAGTGTATCGCACAGATGTCTGATCAGCTCCACCAACGATTGGCAAGTTGCTGATTGCTTGGCTATTTTCTTTCCGGTGGTGTGCAATTCTGGAGATCCCTGCTCAGGGATGTCGCTTCCGACCATCGCCTCCAGCTTCTCGATGTTCGATGCGCACTCGTTCAAACCGGAGATCAGTTCCATGAGGTACGCATCCTTGGCGCTGATCGAGGTCATCCTCTGCAGTCTCCCGGGCAATGTGTTCACCTGAACAGCAGAGTCCCGTTCAAACGGCAACGTATCCACCTGCACGCTCTCATCCACTTCGCGTCGCAGGCGATCGCTTTGCTGCTTCACCTGATCGGCGAGATCGCTCTTAAGCATCGTTATCCTTCCCTGGATGTCCTTCCACAACAGCTGATATTCGTCAATCATTTCTTGTACTTTCGCGATGTCCCCTTTCTGGCTCCTCTGCATGATGAGCAGGCCCAGTCTGTCAGCATCCTCTAACGTCTTGCTGTGCGACGCCAATTCCGATTCGATGTTCTGCAATAATAGGTTTCGCAAATACAGATTTGTTTATCATTACAATTAGTAAATTTGCGTAATGGAAAATTGTCAAATTATTTAAAACTATCGCAAACCAAATTACATGTTAATTGACAAATTCATTCAATTTTAAATTGAGAAAGTTTAACTTAAATTTAATTTAATCGTCAACCGCGGTTTACTGAACGTTCAACCAAAGACTATTAATTCTTGGAATTTGAAGTCATGTAAACATGCACCGCGGTTTTATTTATGTTTACGTTTCGAGGGGAAAAATGTGTATTTTTGGACTGTTGTTGTTTTGTTGTGCCTGTCTTGGATATGCATCTTACCTGTAGTTGAGTGAGCCGTTGGTCGGGCGTTTGATTTGGATCAATGTCCAAATGTTGGAACTTCGTGAGATGCGCGTCCACCTTGTTTAGACCTATGACGGCGTTTTCGTGGACAGCGACGAATTCTTGATAGAATGAAATCTCCTTCTGCAGACGGCCCATCAGGTCGTCGCATTGCGAGCGGAGTGCACTCCACCGTTCCAGAATAGTTCTAACTTTGCTCGTGTGCCGTTGGATATTTTTAGGCTCCAGATTGTTCGCCTTGGCTAATTTCGAATACGTCTCTCCGAGACGCTTGAAGCTCCCCCCGTTGTTGGCGCGCACCTCTGCACTCAGTTTCTCCAACTTGCCCATGCGGTCCTTCACTTGATCCATCGTCAGCTTGTCGAGCGGCCTATCTAGTTCCTTCATTTTCTTCTCCTGCTGCAACAACCAGTGCTCCTGCTCTTCACTAAGCACCAGCACCTCCTGCAGCAACTGCCAGATGTACTGAATGTTCCGCTTGCGATCTGCGGATTGACCGCAGACGTTCTTCCACCGCTTCTCCAGATTCTGGATTGCCGTGGTGATGTTGTCGGTCGTGAAATGCGCTTTCCACACGTCAGCATCGCTTAGAAGCAGTTCGCACAGGTTGAGCACATCCCCGATATCGCCGCTCTCCTTTTCGATAGCTTTCTTCAGCTTATCGTGCTCCTGTAGTTTAAAGTCGATCGCATTTCTTGTGGTGTCTTCGAAGGTTATGGCCATAGCCAAATCCTTTTCCATCTGAGTCAACCACGCTCGGATCTCTTCGATCCGCAGCTCGAGCTGCGACATGGTCTGTATCATCTCGTGTATCTTGCTAGCTCGGGATGCTCCAAGAGCCTTCAACCTTTCCCATGCAGTCTGCACTTCTTCTGTTCTCACCTTGATGTTCTGCTTGGCGACAACATCGCTGTATTCATCGCCGCAAGCTGCCACCAGCTCGTTACCGGTGGTAACGAGCCAGTTGTATTCGCGCTCCTTCAGCGATAATTCCGCTTGCAGTTCAGTTTCTAGCTTGTGCAGTATCTCGGATGGATCCTTTTCAGGACCGTAGCTTTCCGTTTCCTGATCGATGCGTTTCTCCAGCTCGCTGGTCCACGTGATGAACCGGCTCTGTCGCGTCTCGAACATTGATCGAAGTCCGAGCTTCTCCTCAAGTTGGTGGATGAGCACCGAAAGTTGATGATCTAAATCGCTCTGCTGGTGCCACAGTAACCACATTCTTTGATTGATGGTCTTCATATCCACCGGACTGATGCATTCCTTGAGCTGTTCTTTGGTCACATCCAATTCTTCAAGATCCTTAGTCAAATTGTTCAATCTGCCCCTGGTCCGCTGCAAGTTCTCCAATCTGTTGTTCACGCCGAAACTGGAGTTCGGCACCTCCTGCGTGATCACGTCCAAAATGCCATCGAAAGCCTTCTGCACTTTGGCAACGTTACCGTCGTACGACTGGTAGTTATTGGTGATGCGTTCGAGGAATTGCTTCCACGTTTCCAGACCGGCCTGCAGATTGGAGATTCTCTGGTTGATGGCCACGTGCTCCATACGGATGGAGGTGGCAAGGGCATCGTCGCAGAACTCCAGTAAGACATTTTGCTGCTTCTGGAGATCGTCCGATTGCTTCTGGCCTTGCGGCACCTTTCCGATCAATCCCTGGATGCGTGCGAGCACTTTGGGAATTCGTCGGACGTGGATGTATTTCAGCTGGAGTCGTTCTCGCTCCTTCTCCATGTCCTTCAGCCAGGCGAGTATGCTACTCTGATCGTACCTGTAACGCTTCCAAGCGGCCAGACGCGTCTCCACCTCGGCATGCCGATCGATGATGCGCGCCAAAGTCTCGTTGTGCAGATTCGTTAACGAATTGAACTGTTCCATTACGCTGACCTCCACCAAATCTCCGGCAAGTTTGCTCTCCCGCTTGTCCAACGGCCTGAGAACATTCTGCTGGGTGGTAAGGAGATTCTGGTGGACTTGGCACAATTGTTGGTGCTCGGAGAGACTGTGGAAATCGCCGGGTATGGAGCCGGAGAGGAACTGCTGTACGTGCACCAGGTATTCCTGCCATAATTTCAAGGCGGCCGCGCCGTCCTCGTCCTTGACAAGGCGCGTGCTAAGACGATGGTACTGCTGGAACGTTTCCCTGAACACCTGCTGCCATAGCTCGAGGATTTCGATGACCGATGTTTCGTTACGCGTCACCTGGTAAGCCCGAAGCGACTTATCCTTGATGCTCTGGATTTGTCCCTCGGTGTTGCTGAGGGCGAGCAGCTGTTCGCGCAGCGACTTCAGCTTCGTTTCGCTATCATCTTCATCGTCGATGGAGCTCAAGTTCTGCAAAATAATATGATCGATTTAGTTGCAAATTGAAATTCATCAAATCGTCTTCAGATTATTCACCTTTTGAACTGAATCCAGATAGGCTCTGGTGGAGGTGAGCTCCTTCTTCGCCTCAGCCTTGGTCTGCGCCCGGGCTTCGGCGACATCGGCGAGGACTGTCAGGGACTCCCTGACATCCTGCAACCTCTGTCCGAGGGCTTCGACCTCTCCACCGAGGAGTGCGTTTCCGTCCAGACCGACGGCTGCGGCGATGCCGGACACCAACTGCTTCAATTCGGCCAAACGGGCCGTGTGGGCCGACAGCGTCTCTTCGCACACCTGAGAACAAAATAGAATTTAGTATTTGAGAGGTAGCACATTTATTATACTCGCACTACCACCCAAAACGAACGGAAGAGAGAAAATCAAAATACACCCTTTCAACACCCACCCATTAACCTTGAATATTAACGGCCCGTTTCAATTAGATTTGATTGGAATCCGCGGCGGGCCAAAATTGAAATCGAACTTTGGCCAAGACACGCAACGCATTACAGATATTATTACTATAGCGAAAAGCGTTTGGCGCTAAACAGCAGCAATCGCAGACCGGAAATTACGAAAATGCCATAAATAATAAAATACATATAAAAAATAATTTTACAATTTAAAATACAAAACCATCTCGATTTTGTTAAATTTAAATATTTCATATTTCACTGACGCATAGTGTAGACGTGGCAAATTGGTTTTAGAACAATTTACAATATATCAAAGCATTATTATTTTTATTTAAGACAAAAATCATATACAATATTTGAATAAATGCAGTCCAGATTCATCATTACACTTATTAATCAACTTTTGACTACGCAAATGCAATAAGTTTTTCTGAGTTATAAACATACATCAATTTAAAAAGAAGCAAACAAGCGTAAACGATGAAATACTCGAGTATTTTATTTGACACAAAAAGCAAAAATAATTCCGGAAATTATGAAATTGCCAAAAAAAAGTATCATATATATCATATCACATCATAATTGTGATTGGAACACGCCGCTTGTTTTGTGCGGTTTTCGATGGTAATCGCAAATTTGGGCCAAACTATTTCTGTGTGAAATTAAAGTTGTGGAAGGGCGCGCGCGCCCCCCCTATCAAACAAACACGAAAAAAAAGGAAGATCGAAAGAAAAATCGCCCGCATTTGGAGCGATATCGCGCCGCTTGAGCTGCCGTCGCGTGCTCCATCAGAATAACAACAAAATTATTATTGGTGCGAAAGTGCAATTAGCGTGAACAAAAACAACAACTCTTTTTTATTTTTTTTCTTTCTTTCAAGGGGATGAAAAACGAAAGCGCGTTGCCAATAATAATAATATCTGATCATAATGATGATGATGATGATGTTTATGGTTACCTTGAGTTCTTCGGGGGTGCACATGTTGTTTTATTTGAAATGTAGGTGTCACGAGGATGTGGGTCGCATCACACAGGAATGATTATTCTCTTTCGTGTATTATATTTTCGAAAGGAACCGACGTTTCCTAATCGACTTCCGAGTTATTTTTATAAAATTTCGCACAACCGATCTCTATTCCTCTTCTATTTTTACCAGTTACACGCGACGGCATTCTCCGGCATTAAGCAACGCGACAAAACGATTGGTTTTCTCGTCTGCAGCTGCGAGGGTGGACACCCCAGAACCGCCCTTGCTGTTGCATATCGATCGAATCAGTGGAGATGCGGGATGGGATGCTGCGTAGTGAACATCCACACTTCATCATTCCGCACGCACTGAATTGAAGTTGTTATTTCTTTTTTTTCTTTCAGAATCAACCCACGTGGTTCGCTTCATAACGAGTAAACAAATCGGTAGATTCAATTAGACGCGTCGACGACGCACTTACAGCTTATTTACATAGCCTCCACACCGAAACATGTACATGTTGTCGAGTCGAGCAATTCAAAATAACGCCACGAATTATATTATAATTTTTTTTTTATCACTTAATGACAACAATTCCCATTCATAATTGGGTTGAATAAACGCAGCTCGGACACGACACATTTTTGCACGTACCTTCAAATTATTATTTACCTTATGATCGGTGTTCATTACATTTGCATTACGTTCGGAATTTTAAAATCCAAGCCAAACCAAAATCGCTTACTAATGTTGTTTTATATATGTATATAACTTATAAATGTTTAATCAACTGCTTGTTTTTCCACGTACTTTAATTTTAAATTTAAAAAAAAAAACGAACGATTCTCATTTACTGATGATCTCAGCGAAAACACTTTCCATTTTACTGTCATCAGTTGGAATAATTAAATTTAAAACAAAAACAACAACATAATCATTTGTAATGGAAAAATATTGTCCATAATAAAATTTAACATGTAGTACAGTTGGACAAATATCTAAGAGACGTGTGAACAAAACATGACAATATTAAGCGTCAAATTGTGACAGTTGATTTAAATAATTGGAAATGAATGTTATTATTATTATTTAGAAACTAAATAATTTTAAAATAAAAGTAGGGATTTTTGTGAAAATACTTAAATTTCAAAAACATCATAATCATTTGTGATTTAAAAAATATTTTGTAAGCATTCATAAAAAAAACAACGTATTGTTTCAAATATATGGACAAATTTCAGATTTGACAAGCAATATAAGTTTGACAGATATTTATGACACGTGTAGTGTGGACACAATATGACAATATATGTGTCAAATTTTGACAGTTATTTTTAATCAGCAATTATCATTAATTATTGGAATTATTAGCGAATTGTATTATTGTTAAAAAAAACAATGCAAGTTTACTATTGTTATTTGAACAACTAAATAATGTCAAAATGAAACTTAGGTTAACAGTTTTACAACCGTGTTTACAGATTTTACTAACAACAACAACTCTAATCCATTTTTAACGAGCGTAAGTCTAACGATATTTACCGAAGTCGCGACATATTTGATACGCAAATAAACGGTTACGAAAGTGAACTAAAATTATCACGCATCCGCATGAAACGGATGCTGTGCAAATCAACAAACATATAGAGAGACAAAAAAAAAGAAGAAAAATATCAAGAGGAAAGCTTTTGCCATTTCTCTTTCATGGAAGTGGATGTTATACAGAAGAAATGAGGAATCTTTACGAAGATTGACTGATTCGGATTAATATTTACACTCGTATAAATAGCTCTTGAACTCTTGGTATGAGAGAAAACACGGCCGGTCTTTCTGTAGCTCCAGCACATTCCTTGGAAACCAAGCAGATATTCATATTTCCATATTCATCGCAGCAATATGATCACTGTATTTAGTAGGAAATACGCGAGATAAATCTAGATGTAATGGCAATAATTATACAATTGGAGTTTCAAAAATTATTAACAAAAAACAGTTTTGATCTAGTCAACAAATTAATCTTAATTGTCATTACTGAATCAATTAATTATTTAGACAAAATAAGTCTTATCTATGGTAAACAACGTAATGAAAAACATATTTCTCATACCTTAGGATTAATAACGTAATTGGAAAATTTCGTTTTGCAACGTAATCTTGTGATGTTCGAACTGTACACATCACGAATGTTCTGAGCGCGCAGATTCCTCCTCATCTTATTTTGTTTAACCTGCACCATTTTCACTTATTTATTTACGTATATCAAAATATTAAACTATTTTGTACTTCGAGAGTTGCAACAAACTCAGCCCAAGATATCCCAAAGGTAACTAAATAACAAATTTCAGAAAAGTGCTTATCTGAAACCTGAAAACTTAGAACCGTCGCTTTTTCGTGTTTGGTGGTGGGGATAAACTCGCAAAAACCTTACCCAATAAAAACATTTGGAAAAAAAAATGGATTTCAAAAATCCACGCCAAGAAATTGCAAAGTTAGAATGTAAACACAATATTGTTCTTTTTGCTTTTTAAATTGTGATCTGTTACTCTGGTTCAATTGTGATAAAATTTATTTATATATTTAAGAGCTTATACAAAACGTGTTAAGTTAAAACTTCAACTGAATTAATCCACTTAAAGAAGGTAAAACAAATTACAAATTTTTTATAAAATTTGTTCTTAAATTTGATTATTAAGAATATTTAATCGAAGTTTTACTAAAATAATGTATTTTTAAGTGCTTTTTCAAGTTAAGACAACGTTTTACAAAAAAATAATTTACGTAATTGAACTTTATGATGATTGTTTACCTTCAGAAGATTTATCGGCGTACGTTTATAGAGAGGAGCAAAAGAGAGTGTGTGAGAATGACGGATCTATGGGAAAAAGTCGTGAATATTTCAGACGTGAAACGCATCATTAGGTAAATGGCAAAAACAGACTTCCCACGGGATATTTAGTAAGAATTAGAAGAAGAACGTCTTTCAATGGAAGTTATCTAGTGGTACATACACACTGCCTTCGAAATACAAAATATCTTAAGAAGTGTCATACGTCATTTACAGCTTTAGTAGTTTTAGTATCACCATTGTCATCTGAATCTGTCAGTTGTCAACATATTAAGAAAATCTTTGCTTTTCGTACACAGTGAGGACGCACCACTATATAAAAATAAGAAACAGAAACTGTATTCAAATCTTAGATGAGAGAATTGAAACGTTTCTTTTATCTGTTTGTTTATAACGGCTAATTACGGAACGAACCGCGGACTCTATTTATAACAGTGATAAAATAAACGGAGGGTCACAAAACGAGGGACCCTGACGATCTGCAGAATCAATAATGCTGCAAAAACAATCGAGAAATACAAGTATCGTCGGGTGTTAATTTCTCGCTGTTTATAATTCAACAACAACTCGTCAATTGAAAACATATATATTACCTTCATGAAAGGAAAAATAACAATCCAATATTCATGCAGAAAATATTAACAATTTTTTGTTGTTGTTGTAAATAATTGAATCACCGGAAATAAGGTGATGATATCATTATCACTAAAAGAAAGTATAATTATATACATGTGAATAAATGAATGATTCTGGTAATACATTAACATAACTTCCTTATGTTAAATGTTTGTATTTTTAGTTAAATTTATCAATAATCAAAGAAATTAGCACATTTAAATTAGTAAATAAATGTGAAATATGTGAAAGAAAAGTGAAAAATTTCATACATTGTTAATAAAAACAACAAGAAATTAACTGTGTTTTCAAATCAAACTGATTGTAAATAGATGGAAAAAAAAAATGTAGGACATAGCTTGGATATTTCGAAACCTACTTCATATTTATTTATACCAAAGTTTGGTTTATCTCCAAACAAGTAGCCTTAAATAGACGTTTCATAACATTCCATTCCAATCGACTTTGAAGTATTTTCAGTCCAGAAATAGTATTATTACACCTATTATAAAAATGTATCATTTTGTTTTACCAAAAATAAATATACCATTCACAATTATAATTCCATTTTGTCATATTTTACTAATGAAAATCATAATATTCAAAATATTATTGAAATTATTAAATTTTTAAAGTTTTAAAATTTAGTGAAGTTCTAACTGATTTTTGCTCTAAGCAATGAATTACCATAGAAAAACAATAAATAAATAAATAACTTTCATTTCAGATTAACTAACATAAAAAACGCTAAAAATGAATGAATGAAAGTAAAAAGGAATTTCTATATTAATCATGAGAAATCTTCGAACACATTTAGAAATAAATTAGAGTCAAAGTTTGTAATTTTTGTATGATTCTAACGTCACACGTGAATGATCATAGAGAATACAATGAAACGTGTGAAGAACGTATGTATGTAATTATTGTTCGCAACAGAATTAAATTTCTTTAATTTTCCTTTGTCTTTTAAATTGCAGATTATTAAGTACCAACATAAATTTACTTTCCTCTTTGTTTTCAAATTTACTTTCAATAAAATATTTAATTACATAAAAATGTAATAATATTGTTTGTATTAAATATATAGAGTAATTAAATTTGTAATCCTCTAGACGCGTTGCTTAACTTTTGGAAGCAATAAACTATTATGTGCCGTATTTTAATAATAATTGAATATATCTATTACATAGACTTGACATATTGAATTTCAAGTGTTCATGTCATTTACGATAAAAAAAAGTTATCATTTGCAGTAAACATTCATTATCTCTATCATCATAGTTAATAAGAGTTAGGTCAAAATAGACCTATTACATACATGACAGATTTTGTACCAAAAAAAATACTAATTTCATTATGTCATCTTTGATATTAGAGATAACTCAAATTTCACTATGTATGTAATGTAACAATAATGATCTATTTTTAATTATGAATTAAATAAATATATTACTGCTAATGCATTGAAACTATTGACTTTGATTGGATATGTAAACTTCCTTCCTGTCCGGCATCGCACGATTTTAGTAAAGCAATTAGGTTTCACTTACAATGTTTCGTTTCCCATAAAAAGTACAGGAAATTAGCGGTATTCGGTATTTTCGTTAACAGTAAAGATTAAAAAAAAGTACTAACAATGTTTCTGACTCGTAAAACTGCGGTAATTACGATTCGTGCATGGCTCGGAAGTAATTAAGCGTGTATACAATAAAAATAAGAGCGATGAGAATCTTCTAAAAATGTTTGCACGCATCTTACCTTAACAGTTTTGATTGCCTCGTCCGGCTCCAAATCAGCTACGGTTTCGATGCAGTTGTCAAGCCATTCCCTCACCAGATCACTCGTCTCCCTGTACTGCTTCCAGAGATCCGCCGCGTGCTGGTACTTCGTGCACAGCTCCCTCAGGTTGCTGCAGGTATCCTCCCAGGCGATGACGGCCTCCGAAACGGCTGCTTCCACTCTCGCAGAAACCTCCGCGGTGCAGCTATCGGATAGAGGTCGAGCGGCGGATCGCAGTTCAGCAATCAAACTTTCGCGGCTCACCAAATCACCGGAAACACTCTTTAAAACAGGAAACAGGAAATATGAACAACAACAAAAATACAATATATTATTATTTTGTTTTATAAACTCCGCACAACAAACACAGAACGATGATGCAATTTATATCCTTCTTATCAGCGGCGTTTCATTATTTAAAATAGAGAATCAACAAAATGCGAACACGTCGCAACAATCTTTAATTTGTACAGGCCAAATCTAAATCCGCGTATCTACCTAGAATCTAGATAACTTTCCCGGGTGAAATCTTTATATACCGAACACACGGCAGCACGACTTGAGCTCTGAACTATGGAGCGTCTACTTCGCTACTAAGGTCTCCTCCTCGGACGGCGAAAACCTCGCCGTAGCGTTTGTTATCACAACATCCAGGAGGGAGAGTAGCGGGCATGGATGGGTCCGTGTGTTTGAATAAGAAAATCGCTCGCGAGAGCTTTGAAATTGATTTATTATTGGGATTTCGCTGCGCTATCGTTAGATAACGTACAGACACTTTATCGCGCGCTCGAATCACCGGAATGGATAACGATAGAACGCTCGAAAATCTGTGCTCTTGACCCATGTGAGAATATTTGCTTTGACCCCAGTTGAGGAATCACAAACAGTCAGCGCATTATTTCTAATGTACGTTCCATAAACACCGTACAAATATTCGTACGAACGTACAATTATGTCAGTAGAATCAACTATTCGACTTCCGCTCAATCCGTTTTCAAAAACTAGTTAAGGACAAAAAATAACAATCCGACTAAATTTAAATTGAAATAAAATGTATCTTCGCATGAAAATTAAGTACGTTAGTGCGAACGATGAAATCGCAAATAAACATTTTATATTTATTTATTTTTATACATTAACTGATTACTAATTAAATTTACCAATCAACAGAAATTATAATTAATACGATGATGACTGATACTTTTGCAAAAACCGCGATCCTTGAAGAGTTAGTTTATTTCATTTTTTTTCTCTCTATTTCTGTTGTTGCGGTTCACACATAGCTGGTTTTTGAGCGCCGTTTCAAGGAAACGGGCGCTTCTCGATCATAAATATTTATTATGATGTGCAGATGTTAATTCAATCGAAAACTTTATGTAAGAAAACGTGTATTTTCTTTTTCGAGTTTCCCAAGAGATAAAGCTCACATGCGATTTCATATGTTTGTTGTTTGATTATGCAAATCACACACTGCATTTAGTTTATTTGTAAAATGTATTTGCATGTGTGTATAAGTATGAATCATCATTGCATCTGTTTTTAAACTAAACGAAACTTTTTATTGCAAAATAGGAATAATTGAATTATGAATTAAAAAAAAACTAAATTAAATTAGAAATATTTAAATAATTAAAATAAAATAAGTATGTTTTCTATTTCTTTCTAATAATCTAACCTTTAATATAATGAAATGTTATTATTATATTATGGTCATCCATGTAACCACAAGAGCAGGAAACGATATCATAAAGAATTTTAAAAAAATGTAGTCGAAACTGCATTATTATATTAAATTATATATGAAACGCGTGCGCTTATTTAGATTTATTTACGTATTTTTTTTTTCAAACATTTATTGTGATTCCACGCGATTTTCTCCTCAAGGACTTCTCATCATAGTTGTTAAGTTTCCTGCTTTCCAACGTTGCATCGATTTACAAAAAAAAATATAGAAATAACAAAGAGAAATTGCAAATTTTGAATATTCATGCATAATCAAACTACCAAAACTCGTTTGCAGACGTTCATAACGTCATTCAAAATGGCCTTTGATTTTTATGTCTGACGTTATAACCGATTTTTATTATTTAAATAAATATTTTTAATGTGTTCGCTATAACCGAGTTTTATGTTATTTCAAGTGTGCATTCATTTATTTACTTTTAATGACATAACTGATTACATGTAGTTTCGTAAAAGTCAATTTATGAGTCATGTCTATATATTTTTTTTGTTATTGGTTGATTTGAAAATTATTTAGTTATTTCCATTATTGTTCGTATGTAAATATTTCTCTTTTGGCAAAGACTTTGGAGATTGGCCAAGTGCGGACGTTTCGCAGATAAAGATGTAAATTGAATACTGGCGAAAAGAAAACGAAATTTGCAAATATGAATAATCAATTTTTATATATCAATAATTTACGGATAATATTTTCATTGATATTCACAGACCTTTGATAGTTTATGAAAGTTAAGCAACGTGGATAGTTCTTTCGATGACCATAAATATAATTTATCTTATTAATTAAACAAATACATTATCATAGAATCTGAAAAATTTCATTAGTATTTCAGAATTTTTAATTATGTGACAATTTAAACTTGAATTAATAAATTTGATGATTTAGTTGGAATAGTAATATAAAATGTATTCACTTTCGATTGGGGAATTTCAAAGTCGCAGCCCAAAGTATTTTTGATGGAGTATAAATAGAGAATGTAATGAACTTAAATCTGGTCCAATTATCGACCCACTTCGTGAACGAAGATTTATAAGCGCTATTTATAAATGATCCCAAATACCTAACATGCATCAAAGTAAGAATAATTTTAATAAATATATACAATTATTTCTTATTTGATATTTTTTTTCGCAATAATCGTTTCGAATGCAAATTATATTTTGCACAGATCCGAAAATAAGTTTGCGTGGCGATGATCTCACTCAGAGTCTGCAATGGCAACGGCACGACACAAGTGAAATACGACGATGTACGTATCAAAAAGGCCGTCTATTTTCGGGCGCGGAAATAGTTTCAACAACTATTTTCAAAAGCGAAACGAAAGTTTAGACAAAGAGCGAAGTGCATCTCCGATCCGATCCAAGTGCTTATCGGACACAGCAGATACAGACGGACGCGTTAGCAACGGAAAACGGATTTAAACATGATGTAATTGGGATCGGAATGTTATTAACATCGAGCGATTCTCAAAAAAAAAATGTGTCGCGATTGCTGCCTATGGAGGATCGCATTATTGCATCACGTTTGTTTTTAGGATGCGAAGGAATAGTTGAAGAGTAGTTAGTACTCACCTCTAGGCGTTCGGTGGCTTTCCTCAGTCGTTCGTAGTCGACGGTCCCTTGCACAGTGAGCAGTTCCATCATAAAGTCGGCCTCTTGCACACTCTGCTGAACCATTTCCAGTTGCCTTTCGAATCGCTGCCAAAGGGCCAAACGGGAACGAAGCACGGCAAGAAGATTGCTGCATCGTTTCTCCAGAGCGGTATGGTCATCTATCAGTTGAGATATTTCTCTTTCAACCTTGATTGGTGACATGGAGACCTTCAACCTCATGGGGAGGGTGTGCAGGAGCGTCCTCAGTCCCAACAGATCTTGCCAGAGGGTTGACAACTCTTCTCCGATCTCGAAGCAATCGTGCACTGCCTTCTCGACGGCATCGCTGCCCATCTTCTCGGCGTCTTCGCACTGATCCAGAAGACCGGAGACTTGAAGATGCTTCCTGCGCACGCGATCCATGCCGCGCCTTATGGTCTGCAGACGCTCTTTAAGTATGTTGCCACCTTCTAGTTCTTCGGCTACCATCATTTCAATGTGTTTGGAGTGCGAGAGTAGCTCTCCGACGGTGTCTGATTCGACGGCGGAGAGTAATCCCACTTTGCCCAGCTCGTTCTGGATGGTTTCAATCCTACCTGCCATGATCTGCAACCTCTCAACGTACAAATCGAGTTCTTCTTCGTTCTTGATTACTCCACTGAGACTATCAAAGGTGGCCCTCAACTCTGCCAATTCCTGCTGCAGCAGTTGTAGCTTCTGGTTGATGGGTACATCCGATGCGGATATACTGTCGATGATACCGGTCTGGATGTCCGTGATTCTATTGGACACTTGGTTCCACTGCTTCTGCAGATCAGAGTGGAACTGCCTCTGCACCGTCTCGTCCGCGACTGGTATGATCTGCATGGACTTCTCCAGATGACTGGCGGCGTTCAGTCGCACCGAATTGTTGACTTCGTGCTGTGCCTTCAGCTCCTATGGAATGATACAATATTTAAATTTAAATCGGAATCGATGTTTGTTTGCACTGCTCTTACCCAGAATTGACGCATGTTTTTCGGCTGCGGTCCCGGCTGCACGTCGACCTTGTTCAAGGCCTGCTCGGCGTCTTTTAACCAATATTCCAACTTGTCGCTGAGCAAGTTGTACGTTGTCCAAGTTTCGCGGAAAGCGACGAGGCGTCTCAGTTTATTATTAACGTCGTCCTGCAACTTTGTTATGGTCTCCAGCGATTCGGTGTACGTCTGCTCCATTCCCGAGCAGTTCACCAAATCCTGCAGTTTGTGGGCAACGTTGTTGAGGTGCGCGAGCTTCGCGTGATGATGGGATATATCCAGAGATAGGGACTGATACAGGTTGATGTACTGATCGTAATCGACGGACGTCACGCTGTTCAGATTCGGAACACGCTGCTGCGCCACTTGCAGCCACTTTATTTCGTCCCGCATTCCCTGCTCTAAAACAGTCCATCTGGATGCGGCCAAAGACATACGCTGGAATCTACCGGATGCTTTGTCGAGTATAACCGTAGCCCTTTCATAGAGATCTTGATGGAGCACCGAGTGCGAGGATCGCGTCTCAGCGTCAAGATTCTCCTCGAGCGACTCGAGAATCGCCCGGCAATGGCTCAGATTGACGAAGAACTTACGGTGACTCTGCATCTCGTCCTCGAGATGTTGCAAGTTCCTTACGTTGATAGAACTTACGACCAGTGCTTCGGCAATGTCTACAATTTGGCTGAATTCGTTCAAAGTTTGATCGTACTCTTCGGCCAAAGCGAGCAACTGAATCACCTTCTCGCGTTCGGCTTCAATTTTCCTCTCCATCTGCTTCGTCATCTCGTGGTTTCTGTAGATCTCCTGTGGGACATCCCTGGTGGGGAAGTCACGCATTATGCCACGAGCAGTCGCGATGAGATGAACAGATTTGAGCATGTGACAACGGATGCAAACTTCCAGCTCTTCCAGCTGCTCCAGCTTGACTTGCGGAGACACATAGTTTTCGATGAGGTAGTCCAATCTATCTTTCGTATCGAAGATCATTTTACCGACGATCTCAACACCGTTGATAAATTCTTCCCATCTATTCAGATCCTCGGAAGCCAGCTGCTCGTTCTCATCCGTAACAACTTCGATAACTTTGAACTGCTCCTGCAGAATAACCAAATAGCTGGTCAACCTTTCATGATCTTCTTCGTTGTAGATGTCCCTGGACGTGTCTAAAGCGGTTTGCAGTTGATCGACGCTCTGACCGATATTCGATATTTCATCCTTGAGATTGTTAAATTCCTGCACACGTTCTTTGGATGGACCGTCTCCGGTTTGTTGGCGGTTCAGATAAATTCTGTATTCGATGGTATCGAGCCATGTTATAATGGTTTCGACGGTGGTGATAATCGTCTGCTCTATAACGACGATGTCCTTCTGCTCGACGGCCGTTCTCAATTTCGATAAATTTTCCTGCACATTGTTGTTCCTCTGAATGATAGATTCGTCGGTGACGACTTCGTTGCGCGTTGCCAAATAAAGTACGTTAGTGAGATGGGTGGTTCTGTGAGCATTCTGTAAATTCTTCACGCGTTCCAAAGCCTTGGCTTGTTTCCAAGTGATGTTTACATGTTGGATTGGAACGTGTTCGATTTGCTTCTCGGCAGATATTAATTCAGCGGAGGACGTTTGAGGTTTATTCCAGATCGGAGTGCTGTACGATGGTGGAGAGAGCGGTGATTCGTCCGGACCCGGTGTTAAAGGTGTATCATGAACCTGAGTAGGTGACATCACTTCCTCAATTGTCACAGAAGATGCGTGTTTCCCCTTCGACTTGGCCTTTGGACTCCTAGATTTTGGTTTCGGATATTCCGTCGTATCGATGGATAATTCCTGCTGCATGGGCACAATTGAAGACTCTGCTTCAATTAATGCTGACGACAAGCTCTTCATATCTCCTGATTTACCCATTTGAGTAGTGGGCATCGGCATTTCTTTCACGGATTCTACAGTTGTTTGATGAATTTCAAATAGTTGCTGTGAAGATATTTCAACTGGATTTTCTTGTCGCACTTCTTCAACCTTCTTCATATCCAACGTTTCAACTGGTTTAGTAATAATTGAAGATTTAGATACCTCTTCTGAAACAGACTTTTCCACTTCAGATGCTTGGAGCGGTTCTTTTTCAGAAAGTTGATGCAGTTTATCAATACCAGTAGTTAATTGATCAGTGGATGGTTTATCGACAACATCCTTCTCGTGACTTACTAAAAGAGTTACTTTTTCAGGTAATTTCTCAATTACAGTTTCAGATTTTACTGCGAGAGTCGGTTTTGAATCATCAGGAATCATTTTTGCTTCTTCTTCAAGCTTTGAAACATCCTTTGCAAGTTCCACTTTCGGTTTTTCTGATTCAAAGTGTTCTTTAGTTGGTTGAACATCTTTCTTTTCAGCTATCACAGACGTTACTGAAATTTCTTCCAAAGTTTTGGAAACTGGAATATCGTGTGTAGAGGTGGTTTGTAATTGTTTCATTTTCTCTAATGGTTCATCCTTGGATAGTCCTTCAGATGACTGAGAGATTTCTTGAGTTATAAAATCAAGATTTACATTGGGCTTGGTATCAGATTTCTTCGTCCTGTGAGCTGACTTCATGTCTGGCTCATGGATCTCCGTTATTTCCACTGGAGAATCTCCAGGAATCGTCACCGATACTTTAATAACTGTTTCCATCTCTGAAGGATCCTTGAGTTTATCAGACATCAATTTAGTGATGTCAAGATCCGTTACTACTGTGGACTCCACTACCGTTTCAGGTAGAACAGGCGACGATGAACTTGTGCCGTGTTGGGTAACAGTTGAGTACAATTCGTTGGGATTAATTGGAATAATTATTGGTTCACTCGCAGATTCATCTAATTTCGGCTGCTTCTTCGATTTACTCTTGTTACGTTGTTTAGGTTTACTTCCCTTCTTATCAGACGACCTCTCTGCTTCAAGGAATGTTTCCAAACTTGATTCCTTTTCAATTATATCTGATTCCGAACTGGATTGTAATGGTTTTGTTGTATGTAAATCGCTAGTTTCAGATTCAGATGGAATTGTGACTGATGCATTAATAATAACATCGTACTCGGTAGAAGTTGTGGTTGCAGAAGAAATATCATCGATTGATTCAATTGGTTTTGGGGATGAAATTTCTAGTGTTTCTTCAGTTTCTTTTGGTAAATCACTTATTTCAAATGTATCTGGTATAAGTGTTTCTTTAACTGCCTCGGGAGAAACAGTTTTCGGCATTTCTTCAACTGGTTTAGGTGCAATGGTTTGTGGCATTTCTTCAATTGGTTTTGGTGCAATTTCCTTAGCAACTTCTGGAGACACTATACGTGTCGTCTCTTGAATTACTTGTTCGACGATTAATTTAGGTTCTGGGGTTTGTGGTAATTCCTGGACAGGAGAAGTTTGAGTGACTTCGTCTATGGGAGGTGCTGAAGGAATTGGGGATGTTTGTGCGGATTGAACACTGGGAATAGCCTGAGAGGAAATGTCGGCTGTTTGTACTTCGGTTTTTTCAGGTGATATGGTTTGCACGTATGTTTCTTTGGATGCAACGATCGTGGTTTGCATCGCCGAGTCGCCTCTGGGCAAATCGGCATCTTGGATGGTTTGCACCGACTCCTCCGAAATCTCCAGTTTATCAGGGGTCGCAGTTTGGATAGAACTTTCGACAAGCTCAGCGACTTTCACTATTGGTTCTTGCACAGGTGACGTCTGCGTAACTTCCTCCACATTATCTGCGACTATTTGAACGGAACTATCTTTAGTTTCCGGTTTAATCACGACATGCTTTTCCTCAACTTCCGAAGTTTGTATCGAAATTTCGGTAGTTTCCAATGGTGTTTCGGGAGATGTTTGACTAGAAACAACTTCAAATTGTTTGGGTTCAACCTGTGGCTGGGTCATCGCCACCTCATGAGAAGTAACCTCATCTGGTTTGGACATTTGAGGAGTTGTCGTCTCTGGGGATGTTTGTGCTTGATTATCTTGAGTAATTGATGCTTCAATTACAGGAATGATTTTCATTAGATTATCGTTCAAATTGGATGTTTCACTGCTCGGACTAGATAGGATGTTCTCTTGTAAAATTTTAACAGTTCCTACTTCAGATTGAGTGGATATGCTCTTGTAGGAGTCGTTTGGAGAGTGAATCTCTTTAATTTCAGCTTCGTCTACGCGTGGCTCGTCTTCGGTTTCCTTGCCTTCTTCAGTTTCGGAGTTCTTATCCTCCACCTTTTTACCCTTCTTGCGTTTCTTAGTTTTCTTTGTGTCATCGGGCTTCGGTTTAGGAACATCGACGGGAAGATTTTCGTCGTCGGTGAATTGTATTGATTCTCCAACAGCCGATGTATCGTAAGTGGATTTGGGAGAGTTCGATTCCTCGGAATCATCATTCTTCGTTTTTTGCTTACGCTTCTTCCTTTTTGTTTTCTTTTTCTTGTCTTGATCGTCGTCGGCCAAACTATCGTCGACCGTCGTTTTGTCAGCTTCGTAACCAGTTTCTTTGCCAGATATGCCTTCGTCTTGCTCCGACGGCTCGAACGGCTCTTGAGTGGGTTTCGGCGATTCCGAAGAGATTTGAGAGTCCTCTGGGAGGATAATGTCAGTGGAATCGGCGAGGGATGTCTCGATAGAGTATTCTTTGTTGTCATCGGGCGTTTGAACGTCGCTCTTGGACGTTTCAGTATTTACTTGTGGAGTTGAATTTTCACTATCCTTATGTTTCTTTTTCTTTTTACTCTTTCGTCCTCCGTGATCTATATCGCTGGCCGTCGAGTGTTCCTCATGCTCCACCTCCGCCTTCGGAACAATTGGAGACAATGCTACGGATTTGGTTTTCACTTTCTCGCTGATCACTTCTTGTGTTTGCGGAATCTTCTCTTCGATAGTTAACATGATTTCGATCTGTTGACGTTCAGTCGATGGTTCTTGCTTCAGCAAATCGCTCTTAGGTGCTTGTTCTTGAGTAACCTTTTCATCAAGGGAGAGCTTAATATTCTTTTGTTCGGCAATTTCAATTGGCATATCCTGTTCTGATACCAATGCTTCCTTTGCAATTTCAATTTCGTCAGGTTTCACAAGCGGCTGTTCTGGCACTGGTTCATCAACCACATATTTCTTGGTTACATCAGTCACCTTCTTTTGCGAATCGACTGATGACTTCTGGACTTCATATTTAGAGAGAGATTCTTCACTTTTTTGACTAGATTCCATTGCAACTAAATCTATTTTTTCTTCAGTCTTTTCTAAGCTTTTGATATCTGGCTTCTCCACTGTCGATTGCTGTTCGATGACAGAGTCTACCTTATTTTCAACATGTTTTTCTACATTCACAATTTCCCTGGGTTTCTTTTTCTTTTTCGAGCCCTTAGTGGAATCAGTCTGTGCTGCATCGGAGGAAAGTTTCTCTTCCTCGCTAATCTCTTTCTGAATAAACGAGAGGTTTGAATTGCTTGATTTCGGGATTGGTTTCTCTGCTGTTGATGCGATGTGAATCGCCTCAGCAGTTATAAAATCTGCGACTATAGTTTTTATCTTGCCGCCGTCTTCAACATCCTTGGACGATTTCTTGTCCTTATTCTTCTTTTTCTTGGGTGCAACATCATCACTACGTGCTTTATCAATGCTAAGCGAACTATCGGCGCTGTCAACTTCAACACCAGGCGTCTTTAAACTTGCTTCTGAAAGAACACCGACTGGTTCAGATTCTGTTGGTGCAGTGAATGGAGCAAGTGGTGCAGTGGTGATTGCTGATGGCTCTACTACGACATACCTCTCGGAATCGGCACTCGAGACAAGCGTCACGTTTTCTGGTAGCTTATCGACCGGATTCGCCTGGGCATCCAGAACGATAGTGTTCGTCGTTGTTGTTGTCGTTGGTTGTGGACCGGTCGTCGCCTCGTGCACCACTTTACCATCTTCAGTGCGAGTCACGTTTATGCTGACCCTGGGGATGCCCTCTTCGGTTACTTCGATTTCTTCCGGTTCTTCGATGACCTCCTCTTCGACGGTTTCTTTACCGTCTACGATTACAATTCTTCGGATGATCTTTCTTGTACGTCTTATAACTTTTCTTTTTACTTGCTGAACGACGGCTCGCACCGTTGAGCTGCTTGTATGGATTTCGCTCTCGGCTGGCAGAAGGATATCACCAGCAACCATCGCAATATCTCCTTCGCGGATTTGAATGCCTTGCATTTCGATCTGACTAGGGTTCTCCTCGATGACCGAATATTGCATTTGAGGCTCGGTTTGGAACTCCTGCACGTTGACCTCGCCCGTAGGTGTACCGGTGATCAGTTTTCCACCAAAGTTGCTAGTGGTTAAAACCTCCTTGCGACCGCTTCCGGTAGCAATGGCGTCTTTAGTTTCTTGTCCTTCGAGGAATACCTGCGAGAAGGATTGGCTGACTGGTACGTTGTCTTGAGACAGGGTGTTCACTGTGGTTAGCTGCTGTTGCTGGACGGTGTGTTGCTTAGTGATGACGGAGGAGTGGCGTTTCTTGACGATGATCCTCTTCGTTCCATCGGCATCAACTATAACTTCGGTGGTGGTCTCATCAGGTTCTACGAATACCGTTTCGAACGGTTGATTGGTTCGCACGTTCGATATATTTAGTACAGCCGATTGTCCGGCCGCCTCGTTATAATTAGCCTCGACCAAAAGGTCATCGTCGTCGGGTTCCTCGACGATCGGCTCCCTTTCTGGCATCGTCGCTATGCTAATGGTTTCTTGGCCATCCTGAATGGTTTTCGTTATTTTTATCGATTCCTTTTTAGCTCGATCCATTTCTGCTTCTGATAGTTGGGCTTGCGTCTCCGCATCGACTGGTCCACGGTATGTCTTCGGAGTATCTTCGCTGATGGTAAGACTTACACCGGTTTGGGTTTCGATACTTACACCAACTGCGGGCGTCTCCTCAACGGGCATAGAACTGGAATCGAGCGTGCTCTCATCCAGCGACGCGTCCGGAGTCTTCTCTTGCAACTTGATTAAGATCACCTGAAGCGTCTCGATTTTAGTCCTTAGAATAGTCTTGTGTTCACTGAATATGATGAGGAGCACTCGCAACTGTTCCGAAAGGGTTTGTGATAATTCACGCAAATCTGGGTACTGCTGGAACTGCTCGCAGACCGCCTTCAGCTCATCCAATTTGGCTTCCTTGAGTTTGAGCTCTTCGCTGAGCTTTTGGAATACCTTGATGTCAATCTGGATCTCGGTTTCAGTATCTGTGCGGGTTTCCAAGAGCAGAGTCTGGCGCACAGTCTGAAGCCAGAGCTCGATTTCCGTGAGATGCTGCCTGTACTGGGTGAGCTTCTGCTCGCGCTTCTTCAGCTTCTCTTGCGCTCCCTGAAACGAACCATTTTAGAAAGGCGTTTGATACAAGTAAATTATTAAACTCACGGTTACTGTTAACCTTCCGTTTTCTGCTTGGGTCAAGAGTGAGGCTATCCTGGTGCGGATACCGGCCAAATGGGCGGATATAATCTGCACGTCTTGGTCCGAGGGGAGTTCCAAGACGAGACTCTCGAGGCGGATGGCTTCAGCCGCGTGTCGTTTCAATTCTCCGGTGATTTCCTTCGGGATAAATTAGAAAGGTTACCGTTAGATAAGAGTTGCACGATCGTCAGGCCGTTTGCCGGATGACTGATGTTTGTGGAGAGTTCGCGGCGCTAAATTGAGCCCGTGCCAAAATGTGCAAAGAATTACGGCCGTCTGCCAACCGGTGTTTTAAATTGCAGATGAATTGCGGTTAACAATTATTCCAGGCGATGATGACACGAAGATAATAAAAATAGATGGAGCGACGTCGCGATTGCACAACAAGAATATCTGGAAGAGAGGTCGCTCCAGATCGATACACCGAGCAACAACACTACCCGTTCGTTCTCTTCGCGAATCCAGGCTACGGCCTTATCGAGAGACCAGATGGTACTAGTTCTACCGGCAAGGCGAAACTCGTTCACAAAAGAAATCCCCATCCATTCAAGGCTTCTCTCTTTGCGCTATTGCAGTGTCCCGATTATGTAGAAGACAACATATAAAAATAGCGATTATCCGATGCAACAACTTCTTTGTACTCTGCTTGAAGAGGTGGTCATCATTATTTATAGACGTGATGTAATCCGAATAAATAAATGAGCGTCGTCCCGAAGTGTTTGATCAATTTTTATTTTGGCACGCACGAAATAAGTAAACGAACGGCGCTCGATACTAGATGTAAACTATCAACATACCTGAAGAGCATTGATCATAGCCTCGAAGCTTTCCTTCGGAAGATCCGAGATGTTGTTCTCCGTGTTCTGCAAGGACTGGTTGAGGTCCTGCACATTATCCAGAAGAACCTGTCGACACGCAAATTCGCCAATTACTAACGCTTCCTCCGACGATCACCGAATAATATACAGCAAATTGCACTAGCAAGACAAAAACACTAGCGTCATATAAGTCACTGCGTGAAATGATGCAACATTTGAAACGTCGATAACACGAATCCTGAACTCACTACGATTTTCTTATAGGAGATGATGATAATAAAGTTAATAAATAATTCAACATTGCATTGAAATCATTCTTGTTTTTAGTTGGATTGCAATGCTAATACTGATCCACTAAATAAATATCATGTTAATAAATGCCCATAAATAACATCCAAATTTAAACAAGTGTGACTCATCGTTTACATCGGTGTTATTTATAGTTGATATTGCAATGCAAGCTTTATGTAAACAACCAACGTTCAATAAGAATCAAGTATGAGTGATGTCATTATTCGCAATGTAATATTATATCAGCATATATATGTCGGATAATCAGGATACTTTTATTTATGTCTTGATACTTATTGACGAAATAGTAGTTAATAAATGTAATAAATTTCCACGAAATTTATAGAGGAGAATATAGATTATTAAGAAAAGAGTAGATAAACAACTAAAGTTCAATGAGTATCGAGTATAAGTGTATACCATTCTTTGTAATGTCACATTATTATATGTATTTTTTTAAATTTAACTTGCGTTTAACCAAAAGAATTACGAGCACTTATACACTAATTATCTCGATACTTAATGAATGATTAGTATTAACAACTAATATAATTAAATCCGGTAATTTCCGCGGCAAAGAATACGAGATTATATAAAGCGTTAATGAGGAAAGAGTATGTTACTTACCATATGTTAAATTAATGAAAGCGTAATGAGTAAATTTGAAAGTTCGATTCGAAGCGAGTGTCGTGCCAGAAAATTCGAAGTGCTCAATCGTTATAAGAAACAATCAATTATAAGAAGTGTTTGAAGCTGATTAGAAGCGGAAACGTAAAACACAGAACAAGAGAAATATAACACATCAATAACACAAACAAACAACAACGACAATAAAAACAACGTAAAAACATCACAACTCTCACACAAAATGAAAATGTAAAAATGACATGTATACAAATATAGAATATATTATAAATAAAATATATTAGTGGCATGCAAAAACCCTGTACAAAATATCACACAGTATTTCACCTTCTTCAGCTGGACGGTAGCATCGACTTCGGCTTCGTCACCGATCGATGATGGTTGTGGTGGTTGTGTTGGTGATGGTGCTGTTTGCTGCTTGGAAGGCCCTAAAGGTTTGTTTGTGGTTGGGGTCGGGGTTTTGGTGTTGGTGTTGGAGGTTTCGGTCACTAGGTCTACAATTTCGGTGGTCAAGGGTTCGTTAGATAGGTAGGTACTCTGATCGTGCCAATGGCACATGCCACCTGGCAGATCACCGCTTCGATATTGAGTATCGAACTGATCGCGCACGTTCTTTGTATCGTCTTTAGTGTCTTTCGGTGGTTTCGGCGAGCCGCGACTGCTCGAACCGTCCGAATCCCCGTCACCGTCCTTATCGTTTCCGTTTTGCTTGACTTCCTCCTGCGTTACCGGTTCCTCCTCCTTCTTGGTTTCCTCCAAACTCATGAAATACATTTCTTCGGCCTCAATGTAAGACCATCTGTTCGGCCAGAACGGACCGTCCATGTACAAATTGCTGCAAAGATCATCGACGTGCGTCTCGGGTTCTTCGATTTGCTCGACTTCCGGTGAAGCGGCCTTCGATTTTTTCTTCTTATCCTTATCGCCAGAGAGCACGTTGTTCACCTTGTTCACGATCGTTTCGAAAACTCCCGAAACGGTGCGTTCCGCCTTATGCGAATCCTTATCCTTCTTCTTAGATTTCTTCGATTTTTTACTCTTCTTGCCATCATCACCATCGCTCTCGCTAGATGTTCGCTTATCATCAATCTTGATTGTTTCACATTTTACTTCAGACGATGTTTTCTTATCATCAACCTTGATGTTCTCCTCAACTTTAACATCGACGGGTGTTTCCTCAATTGTCTTGCTATCCACATCCACAGATGATTTTTTATCATCAATTTTAACAACGTCCGCCATGGCTTCTTCCATTGCCGTCACTATAGATTCGTTAACCAGATTCTGAGCTTCCACGATAGAATTGCCCTCGATATCTTTCTGGACTATAATAGTTTCGAAAACTTCAATAACGTTTCCTTCGATATCCTTCTTAGGGAAAACGATTTCTTTAACTTCATGCTGAATCACATCAGTCTTTGGAGCAACCTCAATAAACTTTCCTTCGGCAACATCTTTAACTTCAATAGTGACTTCTTTCTCCGTCAAAGTTGTTTCGATCTTGGGTTCTTCGTCTTTGTGATCTTTAGATTTATTCTTCTTTTTCGATTTCTTGGATTCCTCCGTGTCTTTCTTTACCTTCTTACTCTCGTCCGACTTGCTTCCAGTCACTTTAGCGATTAAGTTTCCCAAGAAACTGCCGCGCTTCTCCGGTGTCGATTGTGTTTTTTCAGCTTCGATCTCAGATTCTACAATCTTGGGAGCATCTTCAGAAATAGCAACGTTTTGCTCTTGCTGGATGAATTCGAGATTCTGATCTTTCGAAATTGTAGTCGTAGAAGATTCCACCATAGTTGGTTCCAAAAGGACGTCCACCTTAGTCTCGACGGGACTTGGCTCAGGTTCTTCAACCTTAACCTTCTTATCCTTTTGTTTCTTACTCTTCTGCGGCTTCTCGTCTAATGCCTTTGGAGTTTCATTCATGACTTCTTTAGTGTCAAGCAAATCGGTGGGTTGTTCTTGTTCTTTCACCTTCTTACCTTTCTTAGATTTCGGCTTTTCACCATCAGATTCTTTCGACTCGTCGGAATCAGTTTGCTTCGAGCCAGAAATTGCGTTCTTTACGCTAGAGATGAAACCGCGAATGCCGCTAGTTTTCTCTGACACAGATTTATCCTTCTTCTTTTTCTTCTTAGACTTCTTGTCTACAGCATTCGCGTTATCACTTTCCTGCGATTGACTCTCCTCCTGTTTAACATCTCCCACCTTAATAACCTCTTTAACAACATCAGGCTTGGGCTCTTTGTTCTTCTTCTTTTTAGATTTTTTGTCTTCAGGTTTACTTTCGATTTCTTGACCCACCGTCTCCAATTTCACCTCCTCAATCAAAGGCTCTTCTACAATTTCCTTTGTATCTTCAATTTTAATTTCAGGTTCTTTCGGTGTTTCAATCAACTTCTTCTTTGGTTTAACCAGTTCTTTTGGTTTAACTTCTACGGGTTTTTTGGGCAATTCCGTTGCTTTGGCGCCCACGATACTCGCCCATGATTTTTGTTTCTGGTTATTTTCGCGCTCGGCTTCAAGGAAGGCCGTGTTTGCCATTTTAGGTTGTTGAGGTTCCGGCTCGGACGGTAATTGAGGAACACTTTCTATGGGTTCTAATTTCATCTTTCTTGGTTTTTCTTCGAGTTTAGGTTGTTCCTCGCGATGCTTAGACCTAGACCTGGAGCGTGACCTCGAACGCTTCGTCGGTACAGACATGAAGCCTTCTTCGTCCACCGTTGGTTCTGCTGGTTTGTTTTCTGGTTTACCAATAATTTCTACGTGCACGGTAACTGGTGCCTTCTTTTGAACGGATGCTTTGACCAAAACAGGTTTTGTTTCTTTCACGATTGTATGTTCAATTTGTTTGGTACCAATTATTTTCGCATAGCTAATGGTGCTATCCGTCTTCTCTTCTTCAACCTTATCAGGTGCTTGTGTTTCCTCCACTTCTACTGGTACAGGAGAAACATCTTTCTCTACTGGTTTTGTTTTATTAGGTTGCTCTTTACGCGATTTTCTTGTGGTCTCTGGTTCTTTTGTGGGTACGGTCTGGTCTCCAATTTCGGTCTTTTCGGGCTCTTGTTGAATTTCCTTATTTTTAGATCTGGATCTCGAACGCCTGTTCTTCTTACCCTTCTTCGGGCTTTCCATTAAACACTCTGCGTTCTGTGAAACTTCCTCCTCTTTCTGAGACTGCTGATGTTCACATTCGGTTACTGTTACTTCTACAGTTGGTAACGAAGGCATCTCGATAGGATCAGGTTTTGCGAGAAACTTCTCGGCCAAGATTTCTGCATATGTTTTATCTTCATTTGATTTAAACCAATTCCTCATCTCTTCATCAGTAACTATTTCAGGTGTTGATATTGCTTCAATCCTCTCCGCTTCCACCAATTTAGCGATATTTTCCGGTGAACGTTCCTGCTTGCTCTTGGATGATTTGTTGGGTTTGGCTTTAGGCTTAGTTACCTTAGGTTTCTTTTCCTCTACTTCTGTTTTTTTCGGAGCGGATTTAGGAGAGTCGGGTGTAGGATCAAAGATGGTCTTTTCAACGGGTTGTTTAGAGCCGATAATGCTGGCCCAGGAGACGCCCTGCGGTTCCGGTCTTTCCGGTTGCAGGACCACTTCTGGTTTCGGTTCTGGCGCCCGGCGCTCCGATTCAATGAACTTGGCCGAAGGATCTGAGTATACGACATCCGACGGTTCTTCAAGAATTTCGTTAACCCACGTGGGCGGAATTTCGTAACCGGTATCGAACTGCTCGTGAGTTTGAGCAGTGGTATAGATCAAAGGTTGCCTTTCGTAATTCCACACGTGATTCGTGAATGTTACATTCTCGTGAGTGTACATCAAGTAGTCGGATTTGCGTTCCGTTTCCGGTATGAATTCGCGCGCGTTTGGATTCAGATCTGATTGCATGGATCTGGGTACAAATTCGGTCGCCTTATGAAGGATCTCCTCGAAGGGTGACACCTTCTTAGGTTCCGCATCGATGCGAACGACCTCCTCCGTGATCAGATCGATCTGCGATTGGTTCAAATTGATATCACTGATTTCCGTTTCCGTAGTCAGATCTTCACTAGATTCTGGCGACAAGTCTCCCCTGATCACTTTAGGTTCTTCATCAACAACTTCCTCTGGTTTCTCAGTTGTTTCTAAATGCTCATCAACGGTTTCCACTTTAGGAATTTCGATCTCTTTAAGTTCCGGTTCATCAATGACAATGACCTCTTCAACTTTAGCAAGTTCTTTTACGATCGACTGCTCAGTTTTAATTTCCTCAACAGTCTTTTCCTCCATGCTAATCACGAGTTTATCAACTTCTTCCACAGTCGGTACTTCCTCATGGGTGACCATGATGAAAGCATCCTCAGTTGTTTCAGAGTCCGAACGTTTTCTTTCAATTGACTCCGCAGCCTCGATTTCTTCTTTAACAAAAGCAATAGAAGCGTTGAGTTCTTGAGTCTCAGGTAAAGATACAAATTCAGTGGTGTTCATCAATTCCGTTTTGTGGACAACAACGTCCTCCAATTTCTTCGTATTACCTTCACCGATATCAATGGATTCATAATTTTGCTCGACCAGTACGAAATCGTTGTTCTGATTTGATAGTTCGACTACATCGTTTTCAATAGTAATAACTTGAGGAATTTCCTCGAAAGAGACGGATTTCATTTTCTTCGGTTTATCGCGTTTCATTGCAGGCTCTTCAGGTCTCAACACCACATCGACAACATCGGATACAGAGTCCTTAGGTTTCTTTGATTTCTTCTTCTTTTTCCTAGACTCGTAATCGGGTTCACCGATGATTTCTACAAGTGATTCATGTTTATCAGTTGTTTCAATTTGCTCTAATTCAGTTACATTTTCAGGTTTAACATCTTCAGCATCAATACTTTGTTGTTTTTCAAGCTTCTTGGACTTCTTACGCTTGGTTTTCGGTGACTCAACAATAAATTCTTCAGTAGAATTAGTCGGTGCTTTAACAACTTCAGATGTCGTTTCTGTTGGATCAGATACCTCAGGTACTCTTGGAGATTTTTCAATGGTCTCTTCAACAATTTTAGTTTCAGAAGATACGACTGTAATCTCTTCGGTAATCTGTTCAGGTTGAGGAGTATCATTAAGCACGACATTAGGTTTAACAATTTCAACATCCTCAATTTGTTTTTCTGGAGATTTTCTGTCTTTCTTCGATTTCTTCTTATCGGTAGCATCTGAAACGACAATTTCATCTGCAATAGGTTTATCCTCCTCTTCCTTAGATTTTTTGCTCTTCTTGCATTTCTTGCGCCTCTTATCTTCCATAGGTTTATCGGCGGTTTGAACCTCACCCATGATGAAATCAGTTATAATTTTGCCTATTCCAGGTTTTTCGGAGACTGCTTCCTCCCGTACATCAGGTACGACAACTGTTTCAGTTTTAACCAAAGTTGGTTCTGTTATAATTTCACATGCAGCCTCGACTGCATTAGGTTTATTGTCAGATTTCACAACATCTGCAAATGAACCGGTTTTCCAAATTTCCGCAGGTTTTACGTCAAGCTTTTCTTCGATTACGGTGGTCGGTTTAACCAACTCCACAATCTCGGAAGATTCTTCTGATGATCTTTCAGAAGACTTGCCCGACTTCTTTTTAGACTTCTTGTGTTTCTTATGCGAAACTTCGCATGCTTCAAGAACATCTTCAGTTGGAGTTTTTACGGGTTCTAAAAGCGTTTCAGGTTTTACTTCAATTGAAGCTTCAGACATTTCCATGACCACAACTTTAGATGTTTGATCATCAGTGCAAGATTTATATTCTTGAGATTCTTCTACCACAGATTTTACAATTACGTCCAAAGGCTGCGGTTCTTCAACAGTTTCCACAACTTCCACTTCCTTCGCAGATTTGCTTTTATCCTTTTTGCTTTTCTTAGGTTTGATGTGACAAACTGCTTCCTCTTGTTCCTTCTCAGTTACGGATTTTACAATTTCTTCCAGTTTGCATACAGCGTCTATTTCTGGATCTAATTTTGTAGTTTCAACGGTTACAGTTTCTGTTGTTACGCAGATCACGCTTTCCGGTTGAGAATCTACGACTTCAGTCGTTGTTTCAACAATTCTTTCAACAACAGGTTTCTCGATGGAAGATTCAACTGACAATTCTTCAATCATCGGTTTTGGCTTCTCTTCGATCAGTTTATCTTTTACTGTAAATTCGTACTTGGGCTCTTCAACAGAAATCGAAGCTTGGTAAAGTTTCTTGTTGATGAGTTCGTCGTGAGCTAACAATGCAGCTTGCAACATTTGCTCGTCGATACCCAAATCATCTACTGGTTTTGGTTTATCCTCGGTAGTTTTTGGTTTATTTTCGACAGTTTTTGGTTTAGCAAATTCGGGCATTAGAGAAATAGTTTTTTGAAACTGCAATGTTTCTTTTTTAGAATCAAATGTGTAAGGTTCTTGTTTCTTAATGACTTCTGGTAAAGCAGATTTCTCTTCAGTTGGAATATCTTCTAACTTTTCTATATTCGTTTTATGTTTCTTACTCTTCTTAGATGGCTTCTGTTCTTCAATCTTCACCTCTGCAGTTTCACTTAATGTTTTTTCGACAATAGTTTCAGGTTGAAGTTCTTGTGCCACATCTTCGGTCACAGGTAATTTCTCAATTGGTTTTTCTTCAGAAGAAATTTGTATCTCTGGTTTAGATTTATTTTTCTTATTCTTCTTAGATGGTTTTCCTTCATCAACTTTAATGTCACTAACTTCGCTTACAGGTTTTTTAACTTCAGTTTTTATAACAATTTCTTGTTCATTTGTTGGCAATTTTTCTGAAAGTTTATCTTCAGTTACAATTACCGCTTCAGATTTAGATGGTTTTTCTTCTTCAACAGATAATTTTTCTTCTACACATGGTTTTTCTTCTTCGACAGATAATTTTTCATCCAAAGATTGTTTTTGTTCTTCAACAGATGTTGTAACTTCTTGAATAGAAAAATCTGTCTTAACTTCACCCACAGACTTATCAACTATAGATTCAATTGTCATTTCTATGACTGGCTTTTCAACGACAGTTTCAGGTTCAATTTCTGGTGCCGGTTTTTCTTGTAAGGAAATTTGCCTTTCCGTCTTCGACTTATGTTTCTTGTTCTTCTTAGATGATTTATGACCTTCAACAGATGGTTCTTCAATCTTAAGATCAGTAATTTCGCACACAATTGTGTCGGTGATAGTTTTCGATTCAATTATTTGATCACCCACTGCTAATTTTTCAAATGGTTTTTCTTCTTCAGCAATAGGAACTTCAGTTACATCGCTTACAGGTTTTTCAATAATTGCTTCGGTTTCTTGTGTTTCTTCAGCTGAAATGAGCTTTTCAGGTTTTTGTTTATGATCTTCCACTTGTGATTCTACCACTGAAACTTCAGAAACTTCGCTTATAGGTTTAACATCAGTTTCAGGTAAAATGTCTGTTGGTTTTTCTTCGGTTGAAACCTTCTCTACCGATTTTGTCTCCTTAGATGGTTTAATGTTTGTTTCCGTTACAACAACTTCAGTAATTTCTTTTGCAGGTATTTCCACAACAGTTTTAGTAAAAGCTTCGCAGATCAATGCGCCACTTTCTACTGTTTGTTGAGATATTTTATCATCAACTGATACCTGTGTTTCCAGTTTACCCTTATGTTTCTTACTCTTCTTAGATGGTTTTTCTTCTTCAAGTGTTTTAACTGTTTCAACATCGACAATCTTAGGTTCTTCTGAGGGCACATCAGAAGATTTATCTTTCTTTGATTTCTTCTTCTTTGCACCCTCCTTTTTGGTGTGGATCCTTTCAGTTTCCAAGAACATTTCGGTTTGATCTTTCAGTTCTACCTTAAGTTGTTCGCTAGAAAGAACCAATTTTTTCATTGATTCGTCGATAACTTCAGATTCTGTTTTACTAACAGCTTCAGTTTCCTGCAGTTTTTGAGTTGGTTTTTCCTCAGATGAAATTTGTGTTTCCATTTTAGACTTGTTCTTTTTAGCCTTTTTAGATAATTTCACTTCTTCTACAATTGATTCATCAACTTTAACTTCAGGTTTATCAACTGCAATTATTTCAGTTACCACGTCACCAGTTTTTTGAACATTATCAATAGTTTTTTCTTCAGTCGGTTTTAATTTTTGTTTCTTATTCTTTTTGCTCGGTTTAACCTCATCAAGAATCAATTCTTCATTCTTGATATCGTTTACAGTTTTTTCGATTACCATTTCAGTTACAATTGTGCATACTGAAGCTTCACTTTCAACTGATTTCTCGCTTAGTTTATCTTCAGATACAACCACCGATTCCGTTTTAGATTTGTGTTTCTTACTCTTCTTAGATGGTTTATCCACTTGGACGGTTGTTTCTTCAACTTTAGTTTCTGTGATTTCGCTTATTTTACTTTCAGATGGTTTATCTTCAATTGCTTCAGATTTTGCCTTATTCTTTTTGTTCTTCTTCGTAGGTTTCTGCTCTTCTACGACCGGTTCTTCAATATTAGGCAATTCGCATTCCAATTGCTTTTCTTCTGTTGAACTTTGTGTTTCTGTCTTTGATTTTTGCTTCTTATTCTTCTTCGATGGTTTTTGCTCTTCGATGCTGCAAACTTCTCGTTTAGTATCCTCACACGAGCTTTGTTTTTCAATTTTCGACTTTTGTTTCTTATTTTTCTTCGAAGATTTATGTTCTTGTTCGGGGACTATTTCCTCTTTAATTTCAACAATTTCAGCTTCTTCGGTTACTGAAACTGGAGTATCCACGCTTTTAGGCTTATTCTTCTTCTTATCCTTCTTGGATTTAGGTTCTGGCTCAATCTTAGCTTCTTCCGAGGACAAACCTTTCTCAGAATTCTTATCTTTCTTCGATTTTTTCTTTGTATCCTCATTTTTGGTATGGATTTTTTCAGTTTCCAAGAACTTCTCGGTTTGTTCTTTCAATTGTTCATCAGCTTCTACGCTAACATCCAATTCTTCCATGTCAAATGATGTTACTTCCACGTTCTTGTTCTTCTTTTTCTTAGAAGATTTTTCAGGATAACTTTTAGCCTTTTCAAAATCCATTTTCTTTTCGACAATTACATTTTCAGCAGAAATGATTTCTTGTGCGTGTTTTTCAGTTTCAGGTTTACTTGAAGTTTCTGGAACGCTCGTTTTCATTGGCTGTTGAGTAACGTATTGAGTGTTATAAGATTCGTTTTCGAGGAATGACTTCATTACCTCGGCGAAGGTCTTTTTCAATGCAACAGGAGGAACGACGACCGCAGGTTTTTCAACTTCAGCAGGTTTCAGTTCCTCAGCAACAGGTTCACCTCTTTCAGCGTCGTGCTTGTGCTTGTTCCTGTTGCGTTTTCTCTTCGGTTTCCTCAGCGTTTCCGCCGGTTCGTCTCTGTTGCTTTCGCTTGTTTCGTCCTTCGGTGTCGTCGAACCATCTGAAACGTTTTGTGGTAACTTTTCATCGTCAGAAATGGTAACCGGTTCGTCTAAGATGTCAATAATATTTGATGTCGTGTCGATTGGCAAACCTTTGTACGCAGATTTCATTGGCTCCTTGCTCTTCGTTTCCTGTGCAGCCTTCGCCTGCTTCTTCTCTAATACGTCCATGACTTCTTGGATGGTATTAATTTCAACATCAATGATAGAATCTAATCTTTTGGCCGGTGGTGTTTCTGTCACAATTGAAGTTTCAGATTCTATGTCAAGTTTCTTGGCTACTTGATCTATTTTTTTCTTAGGTTTTATTTCTTTGATTTCCGTTGTTATTTCATTAACAACGGCGTTCGGTCTTTGTTTCACCGAGCCGAAGATCACCTGTTCGAATTCGATGTCTTGCGTGGAAATAACGCCGGAGTCGGCTTCCGATATTTCCGTAATGCTCAAAGACGTTTCGTCGTCTTTGGTCAGTTCTTGGGTCACTGTTGACGTGATCGATTCGTCGGTTACCTGAATAGGTTCTTCCTCGAATTCCATCTTTAGTGAAATCACCGGATCCAGTTTGATCTCCTCGTGAGTAATCAACACGATTTTGTTAGTTTCAGGTGTCTGACTTACGACGGTAGTAGTCTTGGTCACCTCTTTAGTTTTCATCGTCCTTTTAGTGCAAGCAATCCTTTCGGTTTCGATCATTGTGTTCTTGCCTGCATCTGGTTTAGCTGAAGATTTTTGTAGTATTGAAGAGTAAGATAACTTTGGTAGTTGTACGACATCTACATTGGTTGCTGTAGTTGCGGGTTCAACTACTTTTTCAGTCACTTCCAACTTGGATTCTTTAGTTGAAATTTCATTGCGTAAACGTTTCTTAGATTTACTAGCCTTTTTACCATCAGTGGACAGCTTATCATCGTCTGGCTTTTCATTCTGTTGTTGTTTTCGTTTTACCACTTCTTCGTTCTTAATTTGCTCAATTTTAGCTGTAGGTTGCTCCTCAATTTTAATTGGAGTTTCTGCTACTTTAACAGATTTAACTGGTTTCTTGATTTCTGCTACAGTTGGTGCTTTATTTTTAATATCTTCATTTGTGGTCATTATTTTAACCTGCTTTTCGTTAATTATAACTTCACTGATAGGTTCTTCTACCTTAATTTGTTCTTCTTCGTCATCAGATAAAGTCATTGGTTCGTCTAATATATCAGCCCAGAGTGTACTGGTCTGATCAATAGGTAAACCTTTGTAAGCTATTTTAGCTGGTTCAACTGGTTTCTTGTCATCAGCATCAGTTGGTTCCTGTATCTTTGTTTCTTTGACGGGTTCTTCAATCTTAGTTGTAGTTTGTTCTTCCTCATCATCAGAGAAAGTCATGGGTTCGTCTAAAATATCAGCCCAAAGTGTACTAGTCTGATCAATTGGTAAACCTTTGTAAGCTACTTTAGCTGGCTCTTCTGGTTTCTTGTCTCCAACTATAGTCGGTGCTTCAGTTTTAACATCTTCATTTGTCGTAATTGTTTTAACCTGTTCTTCGATAACTGTAACATCAGTAACTGGTTCTATATTGTAAGTTGGGGTTTGTTCTTCTTCATCATCAGAGAAAGTCATGGGTTCATCTAAAATATCAGCCCAAAGGGTACTAGTCTGATCAATTGGTAAACCTTTGTAAGCCACTTTAGCTGGCTCTTCTGGTTTCTTGTCTCCAACAGTAATTGGTGCTTCAGATTTAACATCTTCATTTGTCGTAATTGTTTTAACCTGTTCTTTGATAATTGTAGCTTTAGTGACGGATTCTTCAATCTTAGTTGTAGTTTGTTCCTCCCCATCATCAGAGAAAGTCATGGGTTCATCTAATATGTCAGCCCAGACTGTACTAGACTCATCGATTGGTAAACCTTTGTAAGCTACTTTAGCTGGTTCAACTGATTGTTTTTCTTCAACAACTGATGATCCCTGTGTTTTAATATCTTCCTTTGTGGTAATTGTTTTAACCTGTTCTTCAGTAATAGTAAGTTTCTTAGTGGGTTCTTCAACCTTAGTTGTAGTTTCTTCCTCCTCGTCATCTGTAAAAGTCATGGGTTCATCTAAAATATCAGCCCAAAGAGTACTGGACTCATCGATTGGTAAACCTTTGTAAGCTACTTTAGCTGGTTCAACTGATTGTTTATCTTCAACAACTGATGGTCCCTGTGTTTTAATATCTTCCTTTGTGGTAATTGTTTTAACCTGTTCTTTAGTAATAGTAACTTCCTTAGCGGGTTCTTCAACCTTAGTTTTAGTTTCTTCCTCCTCATCATCTGTAAAAGTCATGGGTTCGTCTAAAATATCAGCCCAAAGAGTACTGGACTCATCGATTGGTAAACCTTTGTAAGCTACTTTAACTGTTTCAACAGATTTTTTGTCTTCAACAACTGAGGGTCCTTGTGTTTTAATATCTTCCTTTGTGGTATTTGTTTTAATCTGTTCTTCGGTAATAGTAACTTCCTTAGTGGGTTCTTCAACCCTAGTTTTAGTTTCTTCCTCCTCATCATCTGTAAAAGTCATGGGTTCATCTAAAATATCAGCCCAAAGAGTACTGGACTCATCGATTGGTAAACCTTTGTAAGCTACTTTAACTGGTTCAACTGATTTTTTATCTTCAACAACTGATGGTCCCTCTGTTTTAATATCTTCCTTTGTTGTAATTGTTTTGACCTGTTCTTTGGTAATAGTAACTTCACTGATGGGTTCTTCTACCTTAATTTGTTCTTGTTCGTCATCAGATAAAGTCATTGGCTCGTCTAATATATCTGCCCAAAGAGTACTAGACTCATCAATTGGTAATCCTTTGTAAGCTACCTTAACTGGTTCAACTGGTATCTTGTCTTCAGTTGGTTCCTGGATCTTAATTTCTTCCTTCGTCGTAATTATTTTAACCTGTTCTTTTGCAAAAGTGACTTCATTGACGGGATCTTCAACCTTAGTTGAAGTTTGTTCTTGCTCGTCATCAGTCAAAGTTATGTTTTCGTCCAATAAATCAGCCCAAGGCGTGCTCGAATTGTCAATAGGTAAACCTTTGTAAGCAACTTTGATAGGCTCTTCAGGCTTACTTTCTTTATGAACTATTTCCGGTTTTACAGTTTCCTTTTCAACTGATTTTCGTTCTGATTCTTCTTCGTTTTTCAAAACGGCAATGATTTCGTCTACCTTTTTGGATATTTCATCATCCTCATCGTCAGTAAAAGTCATAGGCTCGTCTAGTAAGTCAACCCAAAGAGCACTCGACTTATCGATAGGCAAACCCTTGTATGCAGGCTTCGGCGGTGCCGGATCTACAATATTTTGATATGAAATTAGTTCTTCGACTTCTTCCGAGCTCGCAGATTCGATTGTGGTTTGCGTGGTCGAAACTGAGTTAGGCGATTTCTTATCGACATCCTCTTCATCGTCGGACATTATCATCGGTTCATCCAGTAAATTAACCCAGAGTGTACTAGAATTATCAATTGGTAAACCTCTGTAAGCAGATTTTGATGCAGTTTCAGTTGTTGCTGATTTTTCTGCTTGTTCAGTCTTAACAATGTTCTGTGAAGTTGTAACAACAGTTTCCTCTACTGTTATTTTATCCTTTGCTAGTTGAGAATCATCCTGTTTGTTAATATCTTTCTCAATTGATTTAGATTTATCGTCGTTTTCGGATTTTTTAGTTTTCCTAGACTCATTAATTATTTCCTGAATGAGCATTTCCTCATTATCAGTGGACGACTTCTTCTTGCGGTCTTTCCTTCTGGACTTAGCATCCAATTCCTTGCCATACTGTTCCTTAGTGTAATGAGCCAGAAGCTGTGAGAGGGACGTCATGTCGGTGAGATCGCCTTCCGAAGCGGACAACTCATCCTCCTTCTCAACGGGCTTCTTCTTCTTACGATTCTTCTTTTTCGATTCAGAAGCTTGCATTAATTCGCATAGCTCTTCGGCGGCATCATCATCTGGCGGAATCTCCGAAAGATGCTTGAATTCCGAATCAGGAATCTTGGTGAACAATTTACTAAGGAGTTCATCGCCGCTGTTCTTGTCAGATAATTCTTGTGATTTTTCAGGTGATATAACTATCTCCGACATAGGTGTGTCTTTAGATTTTTTCTTTTTAATCTTCTTGTCAGATGGAGCCTCTTCAGATTTTTTGGAAGGTTGTTGCTCTTCCGAAGTGCTAGATGTCTTTGATTTTTTTTTCTTGCTCTTTTTAGAAACGCTTTCCTCTATTTCCTGTGGTTCCTTCTCCTTAGGTTGTTTGCCTTTAATTTCTTGTTTTTCATTGGCGGACGACTGCTTTTCAGAGTCGATGAACTTTTGCAAATCTCCACTGTTCTTTTTCTTTTTCTTCTTCTTGTCATCGACCGGTAATTCCGGAGTATTAATGGATTTCTTTGAAATATCTTCGGGAGTATTTGATTGCACCATCGTTTTAGTAACGGTTTCGTTAACAATAACCTCCTTCTTCTTATCGTGAGTATTCTTGGGAATATCGCCCTTTGGCAATTCGGTTACAGTTTTAGTAGTGGTCTTCACGACGGTGATGTTCTTCACATGCGACTTTTTCTTCGACTGCTGCTCGATTTCTTTCAGAGCCTTGTCAATTTCGTCTTCGCATGGTTTCTGCTTTGATGCGACCTTAGGTTTCTTTTCCTTCTTCTGCTTTTTATCTGCTACTGGGGGAATTGCAATCGGTTTCGATTCAGGAGCGCGGTCATCACTCGCCGCTTCTGCGACAAGCTCTCCACGATGGCCGGATTCCTGAGTTTCTTCGATTTCTAAATGCTCTACTTCGATATGTCCGTATCGTTTCTCTTTCTTCTGCTTGTTGGGTTTGTTCGGTTTTGCGGTGGGTGCTTCGACAACTGGTGCGTCCTTTTCTTTTTGCGTCACCGCTTCTTTTTTGGGTTTGGGTTTCATTTCCCAGCGGCCAGAAGGTCTCTCCTCATGTGCTATAGGAGATTTTGCCTTTTGAGTCGGCGGGGGGTCAGTTCGGATCGTTTGGTGCACTGTTGCTGGACTGGATGGCTGGAGTGGTTTCGCTGCAAGTCCCTGAGACAATATTTGAGCGTACGAGAAGCTACTAGATCTGGCCTGTTCGGAGTCGAAATCATCCGTCACAGGTTCGACGGCTTTTGGCACTTCCACAACTTCAACAACATCAGCGGGCTTCGGTTTCGGCTTCTGCCGTTTTGGCACTTCTGGTGCAATCTCTTGCACGACTTTTTCGGGTTCTGGTTTCGCCCTGTAAATGCTCGTCTCCGTCACGTAGGTTTTTGTCGCTGGTGGTTTGTGTACGTGCGGCGGTTTAACATTGGCTTGTTGCACCGGTTTCTGCGTTTGAATTGGCAACGCTTGTTGCTGCGCAGGCAGTCTTTGTGTATGCATCGGTAATGCGTGTTGTTGATGTTGTGGTGGTGGTGTTTGCATGTTTGGCGGTTGTGTTTGAATGTTTGGCGGTGGTGTTTGAATGTTTGGCGGTGGTGTTTGAATATGTGGTGGAGGTGTTTGAATGTGTTGTGGTGGCGGTGATTGAATATGTGGTGGTGGTGTTTGCATATGTGGTGGTGGTGTCTGAATATGTTGTGGGTGTTGTAGTTGCGGTTGTTGTGAATGTATATATTGTGATTGTTGTAACTGCGGTTGAGCCTGCGGCTGTTGTTGTTGAAACTGTTGTTGAAGTTTACTGCAGAAGTACGGTGGGTACTGTGTGTTATCGGCGTACATTCCAGAGTACTGTTGGTTGGAGTTGTGGTAAGTGCCAAGACCGGAGCTCATGAGTTGCTGGCCGGAGGCGATGAACCCAACCAGATCAGGTATGGGCATTATCGCGTCGTACATATTGTGCTGAGGTTGCGGGTGATGGTAGTAACCAGGTGCGTGAGGTTGGGCTCTCTGCTGATAGTAGCTAGCTTGTGGAGCTTGTTGTGGGTAGTTATACATTTCCGTCGGTTGGTACGAGAGATGCACATTGTTCCAGTTGGGATGGACCTGGAAGTTCTCCTGTCTAACATCCACCGGCATTTCGCAAACCTGCAACTCTTGCTCGACCTGTTTGATATCTAATTCGGTATTCTGCACAACCGTAGGTGAAGCGACAGGCTCTTCGATCTTGGCCACCTCCATCTGTTGAGGTTGAGGTTGATGCGGAGGTGCCTCTTCGGCAGCTTGGCACTCCTCTGGTCTCTGCTGCTCACCGTGTCCCATCAGGATGCGGGCGTAGCTTGTAGAGCCCGGATTCCACATGGGACTGGGCGAGCGACCCCGTGTCTTATCGCAAGGCTTCAACAGCTGCGACTCCTCTACTTTAGTCACCACCTTCTTAGTCTCAGCCTTAGCAGCGATCACCTCCACCACTTTGGGTGGTTGCTTCTTTTCCGGCTTGGGTTTAGGTTGTTCCCTGCGTTTCGGAGATCGAGCACGCCTGTTCGTTTTCACAGACTCTGTCTGCACAACAACCACCACCTCCTCCTCCGACTTCGGTAACTTATCACGTTTCTTACGCTTATCGGCTGGATCTAGCTTCTTTTGGGTTTCAATGTCTGGGACTTGCGCTACGGCGGCAACGACGACGAGGCTCTCCATGGAGCTGACGACTTCTTCCAATTCGGGTCTTGGGCTGGAGGTGCTACCTGCTAGCACTGCCGCGTACGAAAGCCCGTGCTGTGCGATTTCGGCTGGAATCGGCGTCAAATGGTAGGGATCCACTCGGTGGATGATGGTCCTTAGATGGTTCATGCGACCTTGGTTCGCCTCGATCTGCGCCTGGAGCGCCTGTCCACGTAGCAACAATGCAATCAATATATCGCATATTTTAGATGTTTTAAATATATAAAAATATTTACAAAATATGGTATAGAAAAATCATAATCATGTTTCTTTTTTTTTAATGTTATATCAAAATAGAATCGTCATGGTGTAGAGTAAAGTCGCGCGATGCAAGTTGGTGGCTGCGACACGCGCATTTTTTTTTGTATTGGTTTTTAAAGTCGTATTCATTTATATTTCTTTTTATTTCAAATTCAAGTGTGTTCGTAATTTGTTTGATGTTATATAATTTTTTTTTGCGTGTGTTCAAATCGGTTGTAATTATTTGATTGTTTTTTTTATAGTTCATTATTATCTTTGGTTTGGTTTAAGTGTCGAGAGGCTCCGAGTCCGGTGTTCCTCGCTGCATGATGAGTTTGATGCGCTCATTCCGAGCCATCATTTTACTTTGCAACGCGCGGACCCGGTCTCTGCACGCCTGGACCACGTGAAAAATTCAATACAAATTGGCGCCAAAACCGAAATTCAAATTCAAATAAATAATAATAATAAATAGAGAATGAAAATTAATAAAGAGAGAAAAAGAGAAAAGGGGGGGAACCAAATAATCAGAGAGGGATGGTGAGGAATTGCAGCAAATGATACAAAAAAAATAAACAGAACAAAATGATCCGTGAGAAAACAAATATAAAGGATAATCAACAAACAACAACAACGAAAAACAAACAAAACAACAACAAAATAAACTAAAAAAAAATAATAAACAAACAACACAAACAAAAACAAAACGTCCTTGATCCATGTACACATCTCACGTTCTCTCCTTCCATATATGATTGATGTTAGTAAGTTTCGTGTAAATATTGTGTGACCAACGAAAGTAGTGAAGATATACAAAGATCAGCGTGTGTGTGTATGTGTATAACTGCCAAAACCGAAACCCTTGTTTTTTTTTGGTAAGGTAAGTGTGAAACCCCAAATTGAAAAATTATTTAAGAATTTGGAACAAATAAATAAGAGTCAAGCAGATACACCTCTAAACCGTCTACTAGCAACGTGTGATGATAAAAAAGCGGAAGCATCCAATTTTCCTTCATTTTAATTCACCCCAAAGTTAATGCCCCCAAAAGAAATTATTAAATCCAATAAATAAACCCCAAAAATAAAGGACACGTGGGATGAAAACTAAATAAATAGTAATAAAAAATAATAAAAAAAAATAATTTAAGTGGAAACACCTTGATGATTTAAGAATACTGACAGTATTTGAGTGAAAACAACAACAAAAATAAAAAAAGAAAAAAAAAATACAAATCACAGCCACCCCAGCAAACGCCCTCCCTTACTTACACAACTCTTCAGTGATGAAAGAGTATTTGTAAGAATAATACAAAAAAAAAATAAATAAAATAAAAACAAAATCAAAATATAACCATCTCATCAAAATGTTTCCGAGAATAGATTGATTTTTGGCTTCGTCTTATTATAATATTTCGTGAATATCAAGTAGTATAATTGAACTATTGCTAGCTACGGCTGTGCGATTTTTCGAAAAAATAAATAAATAGAGAATTTCTCTTCGGCACGAGAATGTTTGTAAATAGAAGAAACGAATGTTATTTCATTTTCTTTCTTTTCTGTTTTAGTCGATTCTAAACGCAAGTAAATAAAAACAACAACAACAACGAAAACAAAATGAATACGGTAACAACACCCTACCTGTTGATCTCTAGCCGCTTGGTCTCTGTCGTGGGGAAGATGCGTCGGCGCCATGACGGCCCTCAGCTGCTGCTCGACCTTGACGATCTGCTGCCTCAGCTTCTGCACCTCGGATTGGTACTGGTCGACCTGGGCGATGGAAGTTTCGAGCTGCACGCATTGATCTTTGATGCCGCCTTGCAGGACGTCCAATTCACGGATCAGATCCTTGGCGGCGTCCGTGACCTTGGAGTCTCCGCCGATACCGGAGCGGAAATGCAACTGTAACATAACACAGCAAATGTGCAGACTCGAATTGATGCGAAGCAGGAGAAACGCACCTGCAATTTCTCGACTGATAGCTCGATCTTCAACTTCTGATTGTGAATGTCGGCTAACATTTTCTCCCTGACGGCGTGCTGATCACGCAACGGTTTCTTCTTATTTTGCTGAGACTCCAGCGAGTGCTTGGTCTTCTCGATCCAGGTCCTTACGTCCTTCATCTTCCTCTCGCATTGCTCCCATTCTTCGGAAGTCTCTTGTAGACTAGCGTTCTGTAAACAGATCAAACGTTATAGTAACAAGGGGTGAAGGTAAACGATGAACGAACTCTTTCTAAGATTTGCATCTCGACTTCGGCCTTGGCCTCCTCGGCCTCTTCCATTTTCTGGGGCAAATCTCCGACGTTCGTTACAGCGCCGATGTACTCCAATTCCTTGGCCATTTCGCTCAGATTCTTGGCTGCGGGTTTGCAGCTCTTGACGGCATTCTAAAACAGTAATCGGTGTCAAATTGTTTGGTGAAAAAAATAATAGTAGATCGTACCGAGTAGTCGTGCAATTTTTGCTTGGCCTCTTGCAGTGTAGTAAGTTGTAGGGGTTCCTTCAAGAAGACCTTCTTGTCTTGCACCCAGGCCATGACCGTTTGGTGCAAGGCCAGGAAGCGTTGCCATGCGTCGATGGTCTCGCTGATCTGCTGCTTCTTCTCCTCAAGCCACGAGTTGACCTGGTGCAGCTGCTCGGTCAGATTGTTGATGGTCGATTGTACGAGAGCCTTCTCGTCCTCATCCTTTGTCTTCTCCATGATAACCTTTCCATTCTTGATTAGCTTCTCGAGGCGATCCGTGATAGATCCGATTTCGGATTGGATCTGCTGCAGATGCTCGTTGAGGACGTGCGGCTCGATGGAGCGATCGCGGACCTTCAGCTCGGCCTCCTTGATCCAACTCTGGACACCGTCCACATCGCGGAGGTAGTCGGAGCGGACGGTACGCGCCTTCTTGAACTCCCTATCTTTCTCGTCCATGTCGTTGCTGAGCGCTTCGGCCAGCAGTTCGAGATTCGTAATTTCCTGCGAAAGATCTGTGGGTACGAGCTGTTGCTCCTCCAAATACTTATTCCTGATACCAGTGAGCAGGTCTTTGGCTTTCTGCACGGAACTCTCCACGTGTCCGCGCAGATCCTTCAACCGTGATTCGGTCTGCTCGACGTTCTCGTTCCAGACGTAGAAGTCGCGCACTTCGACCTGCAGTCTCTTCAGTTGATCCTTCGAGGATGCGATGCGATCGAGAGCGTCCCCGATGGCTTCCAAATCCTGGCTAGTCTTGTTCCGTTTCTCGTTAAGGTTCTCCAAAAGCCTGCACAACCAACAAAAAAGAACAACGATTAGTTCAGAACTTTTCAATACTAGTAAATGTATGTTTCTTATTTTTATCACTCAGAATTTTGCTGAGCGTTAGGAAAGTCGCAAAATGGCGTGGGATCCGCGTGCGGCGCCTTTTGCAATGGTTATTTTTAAAGAAAAGCGCGTGGCCCCAGTTTAGATTTGAACTGTGCCAAAATAAAACCGAGTGCTTCTTTATATTGTACGAAGCGGGAATCGGCAACGGACAATAAACGTACGGGTGATTCTCGACTTCGTTTATTTCTAGGAGGGTGGAGGACGTTACAGGTTGGCACCACCTATACGAAGAGGTGGATTACCGTGATTCACCTTCGACTTTCTAGGCTTCCGAGCACGAGCAGAATCAAAGAAAAATTAATAATATTAAATGTATCCTTGCAGAACGGAGAACCACACAAAACAGTAGTGACACTGAGACAGTCTTTAGGGTAATATTCAATAGGGAATATTAGTTAAAAACACTTTTGCACTTTCTAAATCCTATCTTCTTTTCTCGTTGCCTTCTTTCGTAATTCGGGGGGAGAATTGGTTTTCGGTTGGTTCCTTGGGCTTCCGTCGATCACTTCGCCGATCGAGGTATCTAAATCTACTAAATTCTTTTGGTATCAGGCGGTGCAACGGCTCCAGCCATCCAGCTATGCTCGAAGTTCGGGGCGATTTAATTTTGAAATCGGCAAATACAGTTACAGATTAGGACGTCGCGACGCATTTAGACGCCGTTCTGCGGCGGCGCGACGCCTCGTCACCGCCTCCAAATCCACCGTCTCTCAACCCCCACGCGAACTGCATGTGCTTAACTTTTTTCCTATTCTTTCTGAAATAAGCACCGTCAACTTTAAGGCAACTTCTCAACTTCCGTCGCATTTTCTGACACTCGCATCATCCGCAATAAATAGAATTTTTCGATTTTTATAAATAAAATTCGTCACGAATCCTCATAGCAAATGAATAGAAATAAAAATCTATGGACGGAACACCTGTTTACCATCTCCCTCCATCTCATGATCATCATCATCATCATCATCATTTCGCCGCTAAATTTAACAGGAGGATCGCCTATAATGTCAATATCAACGCGCTTTCGAAAATCAGGCGCGCGACCTTTGCTTTGGCGCTTATTTTTTTATCTAAAATTAAAGACCGAAAGAACAACAAGCGAATAACGTGCACCGCTTTGTTTCTTCCTCGCATATTCAATACAAAGAAACGAAATAGATGAAACCTGGAAATCGATTCGAAGAGGCTATATTTAAATCTCGCCGGAAGCACAGCCAACATGCACACAAAAATAGTACAGAAGTCTTATAAGTTAAATCAATTAATCTAATAATCGTACAACAAAAAGTCACGCACAAGAATTTTATAAAAACAACACTGTGCAACTGCAATAAAAAAATATCAATATGATAATTCGTTAGTGCGAACAAAAAGTTAACAATTACGTATAATGTATATATACTGACTGTGCATATTATTAATTTAAGAGTCGAATTCAATATATTTCAAAAGGAAGTAAACGTTTTTTTTTATGTTAATTATAGTAAGTCGAAAAACCATTTAACATTTGTAAATAGATTGCCATTCGGGTTTCCAATGTAAATATTATTCGCTCAATTCTTATTTTAGATAATTTTGGCAAGAAAACTTTAAACTCTATTGAATGAACTTAGCGCTACACGATTTTTTTTCTATCTAGTTTAATTTAGCATCAGAACATTGTGTGAGCAATATTTTCTGAGAAATTTATAACAATCACGAACTTATTTCAAATACTTTAAATAATTATGTTACATTATTATATAAATGAGATCATCAAACGCTGTAATCATTTAGAAATACCCAAACATTCTATTTGTAATCAATGAAAACAAATACGCTGCATACTTTCAAATAGTAAATCATAGTGAAGTGTATTCATTCATAAGCAAAGCTGATTATAGTAAATCAATTACGTTGCATATCGTATTACGATCTAGCGGATGCTTCGAAATGTCAAAGATCGTAAATCTTGGCCGATTTAACACATCAGCGATGCGGATAATTGCGAAAACCACATCAACTCATTATTGTGTATAGTATCATTTTCATCCTAACCATAATTAATGACCATTTAATACCACGGTAAAAGATATCATAGCACATTATAATCATTCTGCAATTAAACCATCAAATCTAGCAGAATAAACACGCAATTTTCTTCATTCAATCTTCCATTAAAAAAATACACCTAGTTCTTTTTTTGCATTGTCGATTTGTGTATTAAGAATTTAAGTTTACTATAATTAAAATGTACTTTACAAGTGTAAGAAGACACAAAGTTGTCAAACGTCAAATTGACCAGCAACCTTGATTCTGTAAAAATATTCAAATCATCAATCCAATTGTAGCTGATGACATTTGTTTAACTTTTGTGAACTGTCAAATATGAAATGTCAGATTTGCTGTCAACGTGAATTCTAGATTCTAAGTGTTAACAACACTAACTGCCAACAAACATTATATATTTTTTAATATTTGCATTTCACATATGAGATAATAGTAATAAAAATGTAATTTATGTTTTGCAACAGTTTGCGAACTGAAATATTAGAGAAGAGGGACCAGTTGTGCGGTCTTTGCTGCATTGCATTGCAGCTGTATTTAAATCAGTAAACAACGATTGCTGCAACCAAAATTAATTTCGATTTTTTTAGGCACACTTTATTAAGCAGAAATGAACACAAGTTGCAACATAAAATAATCAATATTCTAATGCGTAGGAATCGATTAAGAAATATGTTTTTTTTTTGTAATAATAGTAATAAGAAACTACTGGATTTTTTTTTGAGAGATCGACATTGAAATTCCGTTTGAGTAGAAAAAAAGAAGAGAGAAGTAACAATATTTAGAATTTCTTGGCACCGAAAAATGCACATCAAAGTTCATATTCGAAATATTCCGATTTGACTAATGATATACTTCGCAACTGATCTATCTTCGTACATTCAATTTAAAAAGAGTTTAGAGATGATGTCATTTTTATCTATTTACTATTAAAATAAATGTGATTTTCACGCTTTTTACTTAAATTATGCGTATATTTACGTAACATCGCAAAATGACAGCTGACACAAGGTCAAATATTTTATATTACTAATACTAAAGATGATTTTAGTATATTTTTTTAAAATTTTCCTAATAGATGTGTTTCACAACTTATCTACTACATCTTTTCAGTTTTAAAAAAGTTCATGATGTCCACCTGTTTAAAAATGCTGTATTTTTTCTTTGTCAAATATAATAATGCTGTTGGACCACCAATGGTGACCGGTTAAAAACTGTAGTCAATGGAGCCTGAAATTTCCACTCGCCAAATGTCAAATTGTGCTCGACCCAGACAGGACGAGTGGGCGACGACCCACACTCGATCACGGTCACTCAATTTCAAAAGAAAATAAATACTCGCGATTTATTTCAGTCCACCTCTTCATTCGAGAGGTCCATCAATAATATTCGAACAATTTAAAAGCAGGTATTTTCAATGTTACATACTGAGATTACACTCAGCTCCAAGAAATTCGAAGGACTTTACAGGAAATTTTACTATTTTATTTTTAACATCTCAAATATTCCAGACGTCATTCAAGAAAGTTACATTCATCATTTATTTTTCATAAGTTGGTATTATGATTGTTTCAACTACTTATTATTATTTATTTATCCACAGTTGGCAGATGATAAAATCATCCATCAAAATATTGACAGTTAAACACATTGCTTAACTTTCTTAAGTAGTCATATACGAAAGATGCCACCGCTCTTGAGTAATCAGGAAATGCATTCGATGAAGAAAAAAAGGAAAGCATAACAAGGGGAGATATATTTAGCTACGTGAACTTATTTTAGGGAACCAAGCTCCTTCTACTTAATTTTCTTCAATTTAAAACTCGTTCACAAATGTATCCTTTCATCCATTCATACCCAAAAATTTACATATATTTCATAATAAAAATACCGCAGAAAAAATTTCGTACAATTTCCATATAGATATTTTTAATTAATTAATATTGACAGTTTATTGCTAATAAATATCAGCGCCATCTATAAACATGTTTATAACTAAAACATAAAAGTATATGCATTACAAATTGGCGCTTTTAGAACAATGAAAATACAGTCGTTAAGGCACTGTTGTCTTTCGGTCTGTAAATATTGTGTAGTAAATAGTTCGTTTTATAGTAGAACTGTTTATTTTGTCGTAAAATCTGGCGTAGAAAAACATCTTTTAATAAATTATGGCCTAGCATAACTTCGCATCCGTTTGATTTGCCAACATTCGCAATACGGCGTTTGTTTGCCAATAAAAGAAGAAAACAACGAAATTCCATTCCAACGTATATGATGAACTTCATTTCAATTTGCTTATTGACGCACGTCTCCTTGATTTGATACTTTCTTAATGGAATTTTCAATTTGTGGAATCAGAATGGACAAATCACGATATTAATCTTTCAATACATGAAAATTTGAAGACATAGGAATTCCATATTTCATGATTAATTACAGGAAAACGGCGAAGACCACAAATCATTTAGTGAACTCATTGATAGGCCATAGTTTTGTTTTTAATTTGAATGTTTAACAATGATACAATTATCGTACGTAGTTGTGAAAATTTTCGAAACTCAATTAATTAGATTAATATCTAAATTTCCGTTTTATGCTAAAAAAAATCGAAATGAAGAAACACTGAATTCTCAATTTTGCAGAAGTTCTATTCATTATTCAGTAAACTTTGGTACATCAGATCATCGGTGAAATATATAATGCAGTCATATTCGAATTCCTGTATAATACATAGATATTTTTGTTTCGCGAAACTGTAAAAATAGAAAATACGTAGACTGTATCTATTCGTCTGCTAAGCTGAAATCTTTTTCGCGCAAAGTCTTACGTTTCTAATTTAAAGAATGATAAATACTATTTACTAAAGAATACATCGATCCACAAATAGACCAGATGCGTGACGTTGCAGATGTAACAAGCAAAAATAAATATATATAACAAAAAAATATATGATACAGGATGAAATGCGAAAGACGATAATCTGTAATCCTTTTCCTTCATTCCTGGGAGGAAGTAATTAGCACGTGGCACCGTTCCGACTATCACACGATGCGGAGGACGATGATGATGATGACGATGATAATAATAAAACTCGTTTCAATCGAGGTCCAAGCGAGAAACGGTGCTCTCCATCGGATCTATTTCCGATCTAGCACACGGGGGTAACCACTCCAGAAATTTCTTTGGTCGACACGGACAGTCGTGTCGCTAAACTTTTAATTCTTTCGTTTTATTTAGGATCGAGTGGTACGAGTGGATGGATGCCACGTAAAAGCCTGGCATCGGGCCAGAGGGGAAGTCCCCGACTATGTAGCTATTCTCTACTGAGGAGACGACGACGTTATAGCGGGGCACGCAACGCCGCGGCGGGGGAGGAGGTCAGCACAGGCAAGGCTGTTGCGGCTTTCAAGATCATTGACACAGATATTTCGCAACCGTCGATTTATATAAGCATATACGTTTACAGGATAGTCCATTCAAATTACCCATGCTTTTAGTGAGGAATTGCAACCAGAGTATGTATATATTGTATTTTTTTTTGGAGGCAGTAGAGGCTTTTCTTTATATTTAGAACCGGGTTTTTGGTGCGTGGGAGCGAGGTCGTGTACCTGATGGAGAGAGACGGATAGTGCGGACATAATGGGATGCGCTCTGGGGAGATGGATCTGTGTATATTTAGAGACGGGGGATTTAAAAATACCGGTGGGCCGGCTGCGCGACAATTTGGAAACAAAACTAGCTAGACTCACCTCTGGTGGTGGCCTCCGAGGTTCTTGAGGTGCTCGGAGAGCGCCTTCGCCGAGGTCTTCGAGCACTCCTCCAGGTACAGAAGAACCGGGCTCGATTGCTGAAGAATTTCCTCGAGCAAAGGCTTCAAGGAATTCGCCTCCGAAAGCAACTCCTGAAAGAAAAAAGACATAAACATTTATTACCAAACTTCATATTTAAGGAAGCAACACACTACTTCTAGTAATTTAGTAGTATCCATTACTACAATAACTATTACATGTACTTGACTTATTGCTTAGGATAAGATCTATACTAATTTAATTATGTAATAGGTAACTTTAACAAATAATTTTCAGATATTTATTCACAAGATATCCAATTCTAAATTTGAGAATTATACCATTACGCCATTATACACATTTTAGTATCTTTCACTACCAAATCAATACTTTTAGTAACGTATTTTCGATATGCAACAATATTAATATACAATGAGTAAATCATATGTATTTTCGAAAACAATTAGTGACATCTGTAATGTAAATATGACAGCTAAGTTTGACACTCGGTTTCAATATTATTACCGTATTATTACAGTATAATGATACATATTTATACATATTTCAATTTGACAACTTATTTATCACCATGTCCATTAATATTGGTCATATTGCTAATGCTACTACAGTGTAATAGTGCATCTATACTAAGTATGACATGTGACAATGACATATGTCATAATGACATTAAAGTCTGTTTGTCAACCAATTATATAATATTCAATCCAATGTTTTTATTTTGGTAGTCATTGGTTGTAATGGAGTTCGATGACTCAAATAAATGTATGTCACTATATTTAGTTTCAGCTGTTAGAAAAAATATATCCGTACACATTACACTTTATATCTCATTTGAACCATAGAATGGATGCAGCAGTAAAATTAAGTAAAACTCATTACAAAACGAAATTTACTTCTAGAATAGAGTACAAATTTAGCAGCAAACTTTCATAAAACTATTGTTTTTTTATTAATAATAAATAAATTTAAATGAATACTTGAGTTACTAATTATTTTGTTAAACTATTTCAATTCAAACGTTAATGAACATGTACTTTTTTGTAGTTTTTGAATATATTTCTATTTTCAGATCTATTTCGGTTCTATTTTTAGTAGATGAATAACCCATTGTAATCTGATTAGCCACAGCTCTTTCAACATATTTCTCTGACCTCGGGACAAACACATTAGATTTATTATATCGTTTAAAAAAAATTGAATGATAGTAATACATAAATAATTTTAGTTACAAAGTTCAAACTAACAACAAATATTGAATAATCATGAGTTTCCAAAAAAGTTTGACATTTAAAAGCTGTCAAATATAAAATAATTGACGTATGTCATTAAATAATACAAAAATTACAACAATATTAATTATTATTTAAATTAAATGGTTTTTGCTGTGTACAAGATTCACAGCAATACATTTTATATAACGAAAAAAAAAACAATAGAAACATATAACTTTTCAATTGTTTACATAACAACGCTTCAAATTCTTATTCATATTTATTATATAAATTTGTGTCCGAGAATCATCGAAACTGAAAAAATATAACGAGAGATAAGAAGTGAAAAAAGAACTATATATATTTATACAAAACTTGAATAACATTGACCCAGTTGCTATTTTAATCCTCGGAACATATTTCGGTTATGAAATCACACACGCATCTGATTAGCATACATCCGAATTTCAGCATTTCTTTTTTTTCCATTCAAAAATTCAACTGATAAAAAATATAATAATAAACACATACAGAGACACACACGAAGCGAAGAAAACAAGAAAATTTAACATATCGTTAACAGAAATACTTAAATTGATGTTCCATATATTATCGAAACAAATGTTGATATCTAAATTTTTATAGTTTACCAATACTTCATATAATTTGGAATTTAATGGTTTTAGTGTTAGCATTAAATTATATAAGATCACTTATGTATAATTTAAATATAAAATTTCTGAAATTGTTACTTCTAAGGATTTTTTTAATTTTATAGAAGTTCTAGAAGTCCAGGAGGCATTCGAAACTGGGTTATCAAAGTTACATCACAGATGTCACCAGCAGTTTTATACAACATTATAATGAAAGATACATCATTCCATTTACATTATGGAATCTTTTGATAAAATATGTTAACTAAACAAATAGAAATAATAGATAATTTGAAAATACTGCATTTGTTTAAAATTCACTTGCTTTAAAGCTAAATTTGTGTCAATATTTTTATAAATAATATAATTTCAGAAGTAATTATTTTAATCGACGTTTTTATATTAAATCTACTATCGAACTGATGAAAAATATACAAGCTTAAAAAAAATAATTTTAGAAGAATTTTGTTCAAAATCAACAATTCGTAAATATTTTAATTGTAATTTAAGTATTAAATCAATTATGAAACTGAACTATAAACATAAAATCAAATAGTGTACAAATCGTTTTACGACCGAATAAAATAAGGTCGTAAAATGAAACTCTTGGCATTACTCGCACAATGAAAGACAAACAAAACACAAACGGTTACAGGGTTGCAATTTATTTGATTTATTTTCACGTTATCCCAATATTACTATCTTAAATTTGAACTAATTGTAGGTTAAGGTCGTTAAAATGAAAAGTCGTATTCTCGTTAATAAAAAAAATATGTATAAATATCGTTTATCATTTAAAATGTTGCGAAAAAATAATATGTAGATAAAATATTGCGATAGTTTAAAAGTGAGTAAAATGTTCGCGTTTTTTTAACCAGTAAATATATAAATTTTGAAATATTTGAAAGCTCATAAAAGTTAAGCAACTGTTTGGATAATCATTTTCGTTTAAATAAATTAAACAATATGATTAATATTATAAATAAATCTAAAGTAAAAATGATTAGTAAATTTGTTAAAGGCAGTGAAAGTCTTTGAATGCATACTTAGTAGTCAAAGCAAATCCACTAGTCTAGACATAAAAAAACGATTGTACGAAATGGGACAATGAACCGGATTCATTCATACGGCAAATTCAAAAACAATTAAATACTAGCAACGTTCATTTTATTATTTTGTATTTTGCGTGAAAAATTTAATCACGCTTCTAAAAATAGTCTCTGAAACAATGGCTTACTATTATTATTCAAGCGTTTCCTCGCACTTGAACGTAACTTCGTAATTTATATAGTAAATTCCGAAACATATTTCATAATTAGTGAAATTGCTTTCGATTAACTCGGGTGTTCCACAATACTCGTAGCTTCCTCAGCTTGGATAAATATGACTCATTTATTTTTCGTGCATAGACGACGTTAGGATGTACGCATTAATTAATATAATTAGTTTTATTCAAATAAACCTGACAAACTACAAATTTTAAATCTATTTTTTTTGTAATTTAAGTTGTAAATAAATTGAAAGTAATAATTTCAATAACAACAATTGTTGTTCAACAAATTTTGTATTTTTTCTTAACTTTAACCATTTTATCAAATTTATTATATTTTTTTTTCTAATAAATTTTATGAAACAAACAATGTGTACAAATTTATATAAAATTAATTAATTAATCCAAGTTAACCGATTACGAAAATGTTTTCAAATGTGCTAAAATCGGTAAATCAATAAATTAAAAAAAAGTTAATTAAGTTTGAAGAACGTAACGTGTATGTTGTAAAAATAGATTCTATTCATATTTGCGTTGATTGAGAAAGTACTAATGGATATGTTCGGAGTTCGAAATTGTTTCAACCTATTAACGTTTTCTTTTTTGTATCATGTAACAGTGAGATATATTTTAGTAAAGATGACATTAACAAAAATAAATCAAGGCATTTTTATTGTTATTTGTTAAAATATATAAATTCCAAATGGTAAATTTGACACGAATCCATGTCAAATTTAAAAAATGATATTTTTTACATACATTCAAAAATATCATTGATAAATATTGCCTAACTTTTATGAAATGTCAAATATTTAATAAACTATAGAGTTGTTTAGACTCCAATATTTGTTTGTAGTTGCCATGTAGTCCATTTTTTTATAACCTAAAAGGTGACAGCTGTCATTACGCAACCCATTCAAAATTTAATGTTAATTACTTCATTTACTTTACTGAACTCAAGAATATAATTTGTAGTTAGAAAAGCTGTAAAGAAAGTCAGAAATCTGAGAAATTGCTTGTTGATATTTTTTCAAAATTTGATAATTCTTAATTTATACTATACTTAATTGATTAGAAATGGTTAAGTTGACTTTAGTGAATTCAAGGATACAAGCTAAGATTAATAGTACCAAGTTTATCAGTTTGAAGTTACAAAGGCTTTACTGAAATACGGAAATCTGAGAAATGACATCAACATATTATTTGAAAACTTATTAATTCTTCATTTATAGTGAATTTCATTCATTGGAAGTGGTTAACTTTACTTAAGTGATCTCAATAATACAAGCTAATATGAATACAAGATTGAAATGTTCATCAGTTTGAAGTTGCATTTTGGAATCTCGCATAACGAACATTTCGTTTAATGAGAAAAATGACTCGATTAACGAGCGACGTTTCGCATAACGAGTGACAATGAGAAGAGAAGTTCTGAATTGCGCGCCTTCTACATCATTTTTAAAACACATAATATGTGTATTTTTGAATATGTTTCACTATACGAGTAAAAATCCGGGTATTTTGGAACGGATTGGAAGTTGTGAACACTACTTTAATAAAATCAATAATGTACTAAATGTTGAATGTTTAGCAACTTTAAAGTTGTGTTAATTATTAACTTAGAATTATTCTTTACTTTAAGAAATTCAAGAATTCAAATAAAGATAAATATTACAAAGTTTTTCATATACTTATCAATTTGAAGTTATGTAAAGTTTAATATGCTAATACTTGTTCTATAAAGTGTACTTAACTGTTTGCAATTACATATTTTTCAGTAGTAAACAAGCACAAATTGAAATTAAGCTTTATAAATGTGTTTTTTACTTACCTCAATGGATTTGTATGTAGTTATCACATGCTGCTTATTCCTGACGACGGTGTCGACGTGCTTGGACCTCTCCTCGATTCCTGTAAGTAGGCTCTCGAAGTGCTGGCAACGTCCTTCGAACGTCTCCCAGACTCCGGCCAATTTGTTCATGATGTCCTTGCGCGACTCCAAAGTGGACACCAGCTTCGTCCACTCTCCGGTCACATCCGACAACTGTTGCTCGATGGTCTTCCGGTTCCTCTCGTCCGCATGCTGCAATATCTCTGACGCTCTCTCGCGCAGCAAGTCCAATTCCCCTTGTTGATTCTGCAAACGCAACAAACAAAATATTACAAACTACGATCAACGCATTCACTATACATTATTTGCAGCACACGTCTAATCAGTTCAACGACTGTAAAACGAATGAGATAAGCCTTGCGTCTACCACTTATGATTCAATCCGTTTGATTACGATATTCGTACATTGCATTTCCAAACGGAAGAACCGACACATCAAGTTCAACAATAACAACTTATAGTTATTTTCAACTCAAAATTACATTTTTTAATAGAATTATTTCATTTGTAATAAATTTCTTTTTTTTTAATAATATTTATTCGATTTACCATTAATTTAGTAAATTCTAAAACCAATTTTCTCACCTAATGAAAAAAAATAAAAATGTTTTCAAAAAAATAGTATTCATTAATAATAAATTGTTTACAATTAAATTTACATAAGAATCTACTAAAAGATTGTTACATAAATCAATTTTCGAATAAACTCGAATGACATCATTGACTTAATTAAATCATTGCAATATGTTAACTGCAACGACATTGAAACATCATCATCTCGCACGAAATTTGCAATTTCGTTAACTCTTTTACATTTGCATAGTCCAATTATGAATCACGCTTCAACTATAAATAAATCATGCAATTCTCAGAACGAAAACAGTTATTTTGCGTGTATTTCTCAACCCAATATTATTTTTTTTTAAATAATTTATGATAAAGACATGAAAGTATACAAGATAGATTTATATTTCTGCAAAAAAATTAGTAACTTAATTCATGGCAACAAGAAGAGTGAATCACCAATTTCAATACTTGGATCAACACGCGTTGCTTAACATTTTGTAAGCTGTAATAATCAGACGAATAATTTAGATTATTTCTTTGTAATATGAATTCTCGTTTTCATATTTGCAACGAATTTTGTAGACGGTTTTAATCGAGTAAACTCCTTGCATTTATTTATGATAATTATTCCAACGTTGACCTCATCATGCATAAAAGAATAACAACGTCCTCATTTTAACTCCACAATTGTCCTGCTTAAACAACTTCTGCTAGTTTTACTTAGCAAAATGTTGGAATACATTTATGTTAATAATACAATTCATGAATAATATTAATTAAACAATTTTTAGAATAATTTTAACAAAGTTTGTTAATTTGTTTCGAAAATATCAATTTAAACAAAAATCTACAGAGAATACATTTTATCAGATTCAGAATAAAGTTCCAATTAATAAGGTAATTCTACCCAAAAACCTTGAATAAAAAAGCAATTACTTTTAAAATGTATGTTAAATAGGTATTGTTTCGACGACATGACCGATTCAGACATTTGGAGGACACCGGCGAAATTCTGTATTCTGTATACAAACGCGTTTTCGAAGAAGATGACCGAAAAAAAGAAAATAATAAACCATGAAGCAAGAATCGTCTACATCTTTAATACTAAACAGTATCCATACAAATTAATTTGATATTCACAACTGTCATATCTGTCAAAATTGACAGTTAAATTGACAGCTCATTGATATTGGTGTTAAATAAAGATAATGTTTTTCATTGTTATAATATCTAGTGAACTTTACTAATTATATATGAATTATAATTAATATGTATACTTAATTCATGTAACAATCGCATTCTTAATTTATTTATTTAAAATTATTTATATGTTAATTAATATTTAAAAAAAAAATCAGCCTTAAAGTGACAGATCTGTCAATATTGACAGTTTATGTCAAATAGCTCATTTAAATTGTGGTTAAATAAAACAGTATTTTTAATTGTTATAAAATGAATTGACGATAATATGAAGTGGACTTTACTAATTATATATAAATTAATATTGATATGTAGTATTAATTTATGTAACAATCGCATTCTTAATTTATTTATTTAAAATTATTTAAATGTTAAATAAATTTTTTAACAATTTTTTTCCGCCTTAAAGTGACAGATCTGTCAATATTGACAGTTTATTTGACAGTTCTTTAAAATTGTGTTTAAATAAAAACAGTAGTTTTAATTGTTATAAAATTAATTTACGATAATATGAAGTGGACTTTACTAATTATAAATAATTTTTTTTAACAATTTTTTTCCGCCTTAAAATGACAGATCTGTCAATATTGACAGTTTATTTGACAGATCATTAAAGTGAGAGTTAAAATAATGACATTTTATTCCTTGACAGATTAATTATTATATAATAACGATAACATTAAGTGGACTTTAAAAACATATTTAAAATAAGGTTAATATTTGAATTTAATTTATATATTGACCGCATTCTGAAATTATTTCAAATTAAATGTTTTCCTTCCAATAAAATGACAGATCTGTCAAATAATTTGACGTTTCATTAAAGGTAAGTGGCGGTAGCAGGCGAAATTGTGCTTGACACAAGCTAAGTGAAGGGAGCGGAGGTTTAAAAAAGAAGATTAAGGTTAAAGCTATGACAGATTAAATATGCACGGATTCATTTATTTCCATGAACTTTTATGAATCATTATGTAATCCAAGTTATTTACAAGGAAACATTAACGTTAATACCTTGTGATAAGATTAAAAAGCGACAAAACCGTTAACCAGATTTTCCTCATATGCTTATTTTTATTAAGTAAAAAACTATTAATAAACATTCCGTGCTATATTTTCATTACGTAATGAGTAACGCATATTTACGAAACGTAACGATTTCGAATTTATAACATAATCCTTGAACAATTACAATCATTTGCATTGAAACGTGCCATTATTAATATTTCCATGTATTACATTAATTAACTTAATTAAATATTATTCATTGGTAATTAATAATAATAATAAACTATAATCAACGTTATACATTTACAATAATAGTTTATTAATTAAAATTTATAGAAATCAATAATGAAATATCAAAATTAGAACATCAACTTTATTGTTTTTTGTTCGTTTTATTTTCATTTAAACTTTTTCAAACATTTGTAAAATTTGACTTAATTAAGATTCGAACAAAGAATTGCATTTTAACCTAGATTTTTATTTGTAAATTGCATAAACGTCAAAAGAATTTACGTTAAAATCTAGATGGTAATGGATGGACAATAAAGATCGAATCGAAAGAGACCTGAAGTGGTCGACCTTAAAGAATGCAACTCAGAAAACATTAACAAGTTAAAAAACGAAATTTATAACATGGCAATTTCTTCATCCCACATGACGTAATTCTCTGACGTAATAGTGGTTATGTTTTTTTTGTGTGTCTTTAATTGACTGAAATAGCGAACATCCACCTGAAAAAATTATGCGTAATTGTGTATGAAAGTAATTGTTAATACGCTCCAGTTTTCTTTACATCATCAACGCATTTAAATAAAGCATTGAAAAAAATTCCAAGAAGAAAGCTGATTTATTTTTACATATTTAATATCATGTTTCTATGGCAACTGAGATAATAACTATTCTATTTTTATATTTCTCTGTAACAATTTATAACATTTATGTAAAGAGTTTAAATATTTTGTCTTATTTCTGCAAATTTTCCAGAAGATTCACTATTATTATTTAATCAATAGTTATTTCGCAATGATTTCAAAAATAATCCATTGTGTAAATCGATAATAAATGATTCATAGGTTATAGTTGACACTGTCAATGACAAATAAAGAAATTTTGTTTTTTTATGCAACAAAAATAATATATTTAACGAGATAACACAAACATCGTTACTTTATTAATAAGTTTCTCCTTCGACGTTGTTTACAATTGTAACACAATTATTTACGTTCCACTCGAAAAACACGTTCAATTTATTTATTTTATCTATAGCATCGAAACACTTTGCCAAAAATAGTAAATATTCATGTATTTCGTTCACGTTATTAATCTTAAATTTATTGAAAGCTTCCTTGACATTATCCATGATTTATAATATGACTTTCTCAAAATAAATTAACCAAAAAAAAAACGATTCAATGCGAGACACACTTAATTCCATACGAAATGCATAGACAATTAAAAAAAATACGATTTTTTTTCAATAGCTAAAATTAAAATCACTTACATAAGTTGCTTAAAAAACGTATTTACATTTGCGAATATTTTTTTCCTTCGATCTTACGTAAATAAAAAATTTGGTTTATTTATAGCAAATAGTGTAAACATTCATCTAATAAAATTTATGCTAAAATATAAAGTTTTTTTTTATAAAATCAATCGTTTAATTAAAAAAAAACATCTGTATTGATGGAGATCGATTACGAATTGTGCACAGTAATAATAATCCTTTTGATAACAGAGAACGGGAGTTCGATAAACTTTATCTAAGCGATTGCTTTCGATTAAACACGAACTTCATACATAATCTCGTTCGTTGTCAGAAAATATTACTTGTTACTTGTTTTACCGCAAAATTAAACCGCATTTTTGTTGTTATTGTTATTATTCCATACGCTTGTTGATTCAAAGCAAAAATCGTTGTTGCATAAATCCATGTGTGTGTTTTTTTTTAGGTTGGTGCTGTTGCATATCCTTGTGATATTCTGTTTTATAGAATGTCATCGCAATACATGTCATATTTTTGGTATGATGTCATTATTTATTTTCGCTGAATGCCGTGTGCATAACTGAAGGTTTTTATATATACATCTTTTTTATATAATTCTATTTGTAATCAAAAATATATATGTATATTATGGTGATAAATATAAACTAACCACATACGATAAATCACAAAAAAAGTTATTTTTATTTACTACATTTTGACATTTTTATCAATCTGTCACTTCATATTTGATTTAACCTATTTATATGAAAATTCAAGATTATTAATTATTATTCACATTTTTTTAAATTTTAGTTTGTATTTTGACATTTATGTCAAATTTTAGTTGCAGTAAAAAAATGTCTAATTTGTTATTAATTGCTTAATTTAATAAAATATATTATATTACTTTATTACGATATTTTTTTATTAATCTCTTTTTGTTAAGTTTGACAGTTTGTATTTTGACTTTTTCACATTTACGTCAATTTTTAATTACAATTTCTTTTAATTAATTACTTTTTCTGACATTGTTTGTCATAATGTAAATTTAAGTTTATTTATTTAATACTTAAATTATTTACATTTCTTTTTAATTTGACAGTTTGACATTTACGTCAAATTTTAATACACTTTTTCATATAAACAATTTAAAAAATATAAATATTACAAAAGTTATGAACCTTTTTCTATAAATTATATTCTTATTGATGTTTTTATAAAAACTGCTGAATCTTAATCTGGTCATCACATTTCGTCTCATACAGGAAACTGTAAATCGAATTACTTTTCACAATCTGTCACCAATTCCTGAGAAAATAAATGCGACATGTGCAATTATCCAAATGTATTTACATCATCGTCTGAATCGAAAGACAAAAGCATCCATTATATTTACAAGATAAAATATTTATGCACATACGTAAAATGACAGATGTCAACGTGACAAGTATATTTTAATCATAACACTGTCATAATTAATTGATAATCAATTAACAGTTATTTACTAATTAAAAAGATTCAATTTAAAAATATATATCTAAAATTCTTGGAAATATTGGTTAAAACTTGCTATAATTTGCGTATTACAAAAGTTTTTATAAAAAAAATATAGCTTAGATACATGAAAATATCACAAAATCTTAGTTATTTTTTTTTTAAACAGATAAGAAATTACATTTTGGAGACGAGAGTTCAAATTGCATCAGGACTATAAATAGCATTGAGTAATGAGCAAATATTTGCGAAACGTGCAAAATTTTAAGAATGATGTAAATTCTGGATTTTTTATGATATCCAAATTGTAATAAATGAAGTTACACTATTATTTATTTATAAATTGACCATAATTTGAATCAAAGATATTTACTATTATTAATAATTGAATAATAATTCCATAATAAATTCTTCTCTACGATTTGTATAATAAAAAACGAATAATAAGTGACGAATTACATGTCAACTCGTTACGTAACGCGCATATTATATTATCTGTACTTACGTAATCATAACCTAAGTAATAAACTGAATACATTGACATGTGTACTTTAGGTTAATAAACAAACAAACAAAACGTAAATTTGACATGTCTGTCAATTACAGTTTAATCGAAATTTTAAAGTTGGTACTTAGTTATAAAAGTTACCAAATAAAATCCTCTTCTTCGTAACAGAATTATTTCTTTGCAGAAACATAACTAAAACTTGTTCTATCTGTTTTAAGTATGCTTATGGTAATTCATTCAAATTTTATAAAAACCTATTGTATAATGCTTATTAATAGGTGTGAAATGAAGGTATACATTTATCGTTTTCAAATGTGGAGTAATATATGTGTTTTTTTGAAGTGGTGATATCATATATACCTATAAAATAGTCATGTTTGTAAACAGGTAATATTTGAAGCCATGACCATAACACATATATTCATGAGATAGTAAATTCTTTTGCACGTATTAACATTCTTTATCTGATGTCACCTTCATAAATGTTAATTAACATTATGTTTTTTTGATGTATTGAACTCATTTTCACTGCGTATTATAAATATTTTAATAAATTTATTAGAGAAATTAAAATTCGGTCTTTCTGCTCAATTATTTTAACTAAATTACATCTTATATATGCTTAGAAAATATTTATATTTAATGATTAACCGATTAAGTAATATTAAATATCATTTAGTACATAATTTTATATTATATTTCATGTTTATATCGAAATTTATGAATCATTGTTGACTTTTGATTAATTCATCATATTTCATAATAAGTTTGTAATATAATTCGAAACCATATACAAAACGATATTAAATATTTATGTAACAAAAATCTAAATCATCAAATCCAGTGAAATTTCGTCTCAATTTACAAAAAAAAATACGTATTTTGTGCATATAATTTGAATAAAAAAAACAGAAAGGTTTTTGAGTATTTAATTATTGATTTTTTGAGGATTTCTCGAAATACAAGGTCTAATTTTTTTTTTATTACTATTATAGTATTGATTACTTAACTTCAAGTAATTAAATAGATTGACCCAAGAAGAAATAGATAATTTTTAATATTAATAAATATAATTTTAAATTATTTTTTTTATAATTTTTAAACTTTGATAAAAAAATATTTAATGCGATTGTGTGTACTCTTATCGAACGTTGAATTTCATTAAAATGTCGGTCGGAGATTACAATAAAAAAACTCACGCTGGATTTACGAGGATTTAGATATTTAACAGAATGAAATTTTAAAAGTGAAATATTGCAACAAAAAAAAAACAAATTTTAATGAGTATTGCTGTGCATTGATTGATTTCGAACCTAATGCAATAATTTTATGATTTATAAACGTAAAGTATGCAAGTTTTCCTGTTTGTTAAAATAGAAAATTATTACCTTAATAAATTTCAACCCTTCCTAAAAATCCGATCCCTAAAAGTAATCCAATAATTTTGCTGCGCGTTGTAAATGCGTAAAATAAGTAAGTTTATAGTAGTCTTTATATAATAGTTTTTTTGTAATAAATATCGTTGAACTAAATAGTCGGCACTAAATGCGTGTGTATATGTGTTAATTGACTAGAATCGCGTATACACGATGCACTCGTGCGAATGGAAAAGCCGTAACTAAGATGCACGAAAATTCGATGTACTGTAGGTCGGATAAGACCTTGAGCGTTGCTTGTCCCACCACCAACCATCGTAGCAGCAGGCGGTGCCGCTATCAATGATGTCATTCATGTGATACTGTGTATTGCCCATATAGAAACTAAAAGAGGCTGCCACAAGTGACATCATCGATAAAGTTATATATCGGGGAGACTCTTTTGAATGCTATTTACCTACACGCGCTCGGCGAAGCAGAAGAAAAAATGAAATCATAGTCTTGACCCGATGGTCGAGACCATCATGAATATTTATGTCTTCGAGCGAAAGTGGACGCGCGTTTCATCACCGCAAAATTTACGTATAAAGCAGTACTCACGTTTATGTCGTTGAGAACGTGCTCGATCTTCTGGATGTTGAAGTGCAGACCGGCCAATGCAGACACCGGTTCATCGGTGAACTGACTCCTCGCGACGACGGCCTTGACCTTATCCAAAGTACCGCAGTAATCCTTCCACGACTCCGCCACTTGCTCCAAGCGCGCCTTCTGCGATTTCGCCAAATTGAGAGTGTTCTTCAGCAGTTGAGTGCACTGCTGTTGCTCTCGGCTCAGCTCCTCCTGCTCGTTGGGCGTCAAACTAGGCCAGATCTTATCGGCAGATTGTTGGATGGTCTGCGAGACCAACTCTTTCATCGAGTTTTCTGTGCTGAAGAAGATCTTGTGCTCCTCCAAATCGGATAGGATATTCTCGAAATCGATGCCGTCCTTGTCGCCTTGCATACGAATCTCCGCTTCCTTAACCCAATCGTTCAACTTCTGCTTAAGCTCTTCGTAGTGTTCGCGCAACGCCTTATTGCTGAGCAAATACTTCTCGCGCTCTTCCAGCTCTCTTGGGAGAGAGGCCAGAAGAGATTTAGCCTCGGACAGCTGCTCCTGCAGCGAACTGGGAACGCAGGAATCATGCTTCGTGGCTTCCTGCACTTGTCGAACCCTATCCAAATACTTGTTGACCTCTTCCGCTAACTCTCTGTGTTTGTTCAACTCGCTCTCGACGCTCTTCAGATCGCGTTTCAGTAATGGTCTTGATTGTACCGTAGTCTCATTGGCGTGCAACCAATCCAAGATCTCTTCGAGCTCGGCAGCCAGTTTCCTGTATTCTGCAGCTGTATTCTCGTGGATCTGCTTTTGTTTCTCTACGGCCCTCCTCAGATTAGTTAGGGATTGTTTAAGCGATTGTATTTGTTCTGTAATGCTATTTCTGTCTTGTGCCGATCCATCAGCTGCAATTTGTTGTCCCTTATCGGCGGCAGAAGCCAACATAGCTTCGCACTCTTGTATCTTGATAATGACATCGTCGTACCTCTCGATCTTCTCTTCGATGGTCGTACCGGACTTCTCGATGTCCCTTACGATCTCAGTATATTTAGTTATGAAAGTCATGATCTCAGTTATTAGCGCAATGAATTGTTCTCGCAGCAATAACAGTTGCCTCAATCTAGCGATTTGATCTTCTATAGATTTGATCAGATCGTCTTGCATGCTGATAATACCCTGTAATTCCGCTTTGTTAGCGCCCGGAACGTCGCTCAATTTAGCCTTGTTCGCTTTAAGGTCCTTCAAGATTCTCTCGTAGGTACTCAGAATATGGTGGACGTCGTCCACTTTACTTCCAATAGGTTTGCTAAGTTCCTTAAGCTCATTTTGGATGTCTTGCATAAATTGCACGCTTTCAGCGATGCGATTTGCAGCTTCCTTCTGCTGATTGATGTTCTGTTTAAGCGCATTGGTGCGATCCATAATCAAATCAGCGATGCGCTTGTGTCTATCTTTCATGTTTGTCAAAGTCTCATTCAGTTCCAGCTTGTCGCTTTCGCTGATCGTTGGTAGAATAGCCTTAGCTTGTTCGGTGATCTTATCGATGTCCTCTTGGACCTTCCTGGACTCCTCGTTAAGCTTATCGTACTTTAACAATTGTTCTTCAAGAACCTCCAAGTTTGGAGCGCGGATCTCCGCTGAAGTTGCCACTTCGGCTTCCTTCAACCAATCGATACAATTATTGATGTCCTCTTCAAACTGCTTCCTACCTTGAAGCAGATCCGATAAAGCTTCGATCTTGTTCTTCGATTCATTTTGAAGAGTATCGTATTCTTCTTTAACTTCATCAAGCAATTGCTGCAAGCGGATACGATCCTCTTCGTCGCATTCCTTCAGCACGTTGTTACCCAACTTCAGCAGATCGTTAAGATCACCTTCGTTGAACTGCCTGATTTCCTTCTCGTACTTGTTGTGCTGCGCAATCTCCTGTTGTACTTTATGTGATTTCAGTGGAAGATAACCGCTGAGCTTACGAATTTCATTGTTCTTAGCTTTGAGCCAAGCTTTGGCCTTCTCGAGGTTCGCTTCGAGATTTCTTCTTGTGTTGCAAGCCGCAGTGATGCGATCCATTTCAGACTTGATCTTCTCAACAAGTTGCACCTGTTCCAATCCCAAATTCTTTAAAGACGCTTCCAATTGATTTTGCTCGGATGGTTCAATTTCGTTCATCATATTGCTGACGCGTTTAGATAATGTTTCTTTAAGTACCAACTTGTTATCGGCATCCTTGAGGAGCGATTTAAGTGAAGTCAGTCTTTCTTCGGCTTTGCGACTCTCGTATCCAAGAGAGGTTGGTTTATTGAGCTCGGATAATCTTTCCTTGCACCACAGTCTCGCTTGTTCAATTTCGTTTCTGGTATCATCTATTCCCTTACGCGTCGTCTCTAATACTTGAGCCTTACGTTGGAGACGTTTGGTAATATCCTTGTACCTCCTATCAACGCCCTTCATTTGCTCTTCGATCTGTTGAGAGTCCAAATTATTGACGAATTCGAGAACGAGAGCGGCTAGACGTTTCACTTCATCGACGCGTTTAGGTCCTTGATCGTCGAATTCGGCTTGCAACTCTTCTAAAGCAGATTGCTTCTGCAGACAAGTCAATCCGGAGCCCTTGTCAACGGCGTCAACGCGTTTGATCAGATTATCGAACCAGTTGTTGATGGTTTGGATGTTCTGCCTGTACTCGTCGATGACATCTTGATCTGCCTGCTTCTGCGAAATCACCTCGCATAATTCCCTCTCGAGATTGTCGAGCATCTTCTCCAGTTCCGCGTTTTCCTGCGTGTTTCCTGGCAGTTCGTTGGTCAAATGGTTGCGTCTTTGATTGATGGAATCCAGCAGTTCGTTCATGTTGGCCAGCTCTTGCTTGGCGGCGTCAGCTCTCAGCTTGCTGGGTCTCAGCTTCCAGTCGGTTACTACCGCCTTCTGCCCAAGAATCCAGTCCTTCAGAGCTAATCTCTGCTTAGCTTTTTCTTCGAAATCGGAAACCGATGATGTCAGGTTACCGAGATGAGATTGTACCTAAACCAGAAAGAACGCAAAACGTTACTCAACATCAACACCTCAATATATACTACAGCTTCTACTGAAATGAATACTATTAATGTGGATAGATACAGCGTGCAAGCTAAATGGTATATGAATGGTTTACTTGTGCTACTAACCTTATCAATTTGCTTGTGCAATTTTGATATAAAACCATGCGCTTCAAGTTGCTGCAGGAGTAACTTCAATCTACTTTCAGAATCATCTGAATCTGAAGACTCTACTTGCTTCTGTTATTGAAAGCAAAACAAAATAAACAATATAATCAACAAAAAAATACACACACTCACTAAGCATTATAACTAATAATGTAATATTAACTAACATGCACGCAGCTAATTAAAATATTATTATATTTCAGCTAATATTTTACTATCCAATAAATTAGGATGATCGCATCGTTATCAAATATTGGAATAAAACATACCTGATCGATAAGGTCTTCCAGTTTAGCTCTGACCTCCAATTCTCTTTGAGGAATTGGTGCTGGTCCATCATCCCTAAAACTACCTGGAGTTCCAGGTCTGCTGATAGACGCGGTGGCTGCTTCGCAAGCTTGAACAGCTAAAGCCAAACGCGACTTCTCAGCTTGCAATTTGTTGTGCATATTCTGCAAATACATCAAAACGATTAAATCTAATAATCTAAAGTTTATTACCATTAATCTACCTTAGCAGATTCTAGGAGAGTCTTAGCTTCCGCTGCGTTCTCCGTGGGTTTGTCGAACTCTTTCTCGATGATTGGTTCGTACACTTCGAGGTTCTTCATGATACTCTCCAAAGTTTCTTCGTACTCGTTAAATTTGGCCAAGGTCTCGAGTAATCTCTTGTTGATCTGCAAGGCAGTATTCAGGAGCGAATCGTAGCTAGCTTGGACGTTGGTCAATTGTTGGTGGATGGTATTTTTGATAGCGGGAGCGGATGCAACGTATCTATCGATCTGGGCCTGACCCTTCGCCTTGACATCGTTCAAGGTGCTCTGGTAGTTCTTAATATCATTCACGAGAATATCGTGCTGCTTGATCTGCTCCTCAGTTTGCTCCCTGTTGGTGATGTAAAGCGAGTTGTGTGACATCAAATGGAAGGAGACCTGCAGAATCCATTTTTCTGTATCCTGCAAGCTTTGGTGATAAATATTGTATTCCTGCATCTCGTTCTCCAGCTCCTGCTTCCTCCTCTCACAATCTTCCAAGATTTTGGCGTGTCTCAATTGGAACTTCTTGACGTCCTCTTGCACCTTGGGTTTGTTAGCCCATTTGGATAAATCGACGGATTCGGATTGAAGCCTGTCCAGGTCGGATTGTTTGTTGACAATTTCCGTGTGCATATTCTTGTATCTCTCATGAAGAGTTTTCATTTCGCTCAATTCGCCCCTAGTTGGTGGTTTGTCCTTCAGACTGACCTCCATCTCGATCAACCAAGCGTCGAAACGTTTAATCGATTCGTTGTAATCTTCCCATCTGGTGAGTGAAGCCTTCACCTGAGCTTGAATAGTGGTAACATTCATGGAGAGTTGATCCCAGCTATTCCTTAAAGTGGTCATATCGTCCCTCAAAGCATCCTGTTTATCAGCAGGTGTAGTATCAATTGCTTTAGCGAAAGCATCCTGCAAGGCTGTGACCAAAACCTGTCCTTCCGGAATAGAGATAGCAACTTGCTTGATCTTGTTCATATTCTCGTTTAAGGTCTCCTCGTCACCGACGCCTATGCAATTTTGGATGACGGCGTGCACATCGAACAGCCACTGCTCCAATTCCTTTTTGGCGTTCAGGAATTCAGTGTGATCGGAAAGGTTCTTCTCCACTTTGGAAACCAAGCCTTGAGCACTCGTTAAAAGACTGGTGTAAGCACCTTGAAGTTGCACGGTCTGATCCCGGACCCAGCTGGAAGCACTCTGCTCCATCAGACATTCGCAGTAATCGTTCAACTGCTCCATGTCCAGTTTACCTGCAACGATCTTCTCCAGCAACTCCTTGCATTTCTTCAGATCCTCAGGGGTCTTCTTGTCAGCTTCGATCTCTTTATCAACCAGCGCTTGGTTCTCCTCAATCCATATTTTCATTGTGTTGTAGAAATCGGTGTACTCTTTCCAGGCTTCGATGCATTTATTCAAGCATCTTCCAGTTTCCTTGCATATGTATTGAAGAGCTTCCCATTCATTGTTTAATTGCTCGATTTCCAATTTGATATTGTCCTTGCCTTCATTTCCAGTAGTCTTCATGACCGAAATGCTCAATTCGATGGTCTTGTGAACCAAATCATCGCATTCGGGAATCGATTCTATAATTTTGGCTATTTTGCTTTCCTTTTCTTTGATCTTGTCGAGCTCTTCGTGCAAATCGGAGCACTGTTGAGCTTCGATTCTGGTCTTTCTGATCCATTCGTAAGCGTCTTGATAAGATTGCTTGTATTTCTCGTGTTCTTTCACTTGATCCTCCAAGTTGGAGATGGTGGTTGATACTAAAGTTTTCAAGTCTTCGTATTTTTTGAAAGAAACATCGTATTCGGTAGTTTTCAACATAGTGTGTTCGGCTAATTTTGATTTCAGTTTATCGACCAACTCGGAGTGAGTGCCAATCTCCTTCTGGATGTTCTTAAACTTCTCTAGATGAGCTTTCTTCTCGCTGAGGTCGTTCAGGAACTCGTCTTCGGCCTGCGTTTGGGTTTCGATCTCCACAAGCCAATCGATGAGAATCTTGTGGGCTTTGGCAATGTCTTCCAGTTGTGTGGCGCGATTTTGTAAACGATTGCGGGCTTCGTTCACGTCCACCAGCAGTTTTTCCATATCCTGCTTAAGAGTTTCAGTGTCCTCTTGGATCTTAACCGCTCCACTTTGCTCTGTATTCATGATGACGCGTTCCTTGAGTTCCAAAATGTAACGGAGTTTGTTCTGGCCCTGTTCCAGCATAGTGCGGATTCCTTTAACGATCTGCAACTTGTTGTTGACCTCGTTGAGACTATTGGGGATTTCGAAACATTCGTTAAGCTTATCTCTGGTCCTGAACACCCAATCCTGGCATTCTTGGTAGAGCGTGCTGTGTTGTTGATGCTCTTGATAGTGCAATTCTAAACGACGCATCACTTCTTTAGCTAATGATAGTAAAGCGTTGTATTTGGTGGACATTTGGGTGACGGCGTTGCTGATCCTTGTGTCTGCGCAAGTTTCCAAAAGAACTTGGGCTCTCATGTTGAGCCTGTCCAATTCCTTTTGCCAGTCGAACAAAGTCTGCAACTGCACTTGGAACTGTTCCAGTACCATGCGCTTCTCTTCCAGACTATCCTGCAATTTATTGTAAGATTGCACCAACTCTTCAGTCTGCGCAATCCATTCCATAGCGTCTTGATAGTGTTCTTCGTATTCCGTCCATTTGACAATACCGACTTCAAGAAGATTCTTACTCTTGGTCGTGCATTCCACGTAACTATCGTAATCATCTTGAAGGAGACCAATCTCTTCTTCAATGATTTCCTTATCCTTCTCTTCGGCGCATTGAAGAGCGGTTTCTCCTTGCTCCAAAGCAAACTCCAACTTCTTTTGACCAGCCGGCAATTCATTGAGAAGGATCTTCAGTTGAGAAAGCTTAGAAGCCAAACTCTCTTTGTCACCTGTCGGTTCTGAACATTTACTTAAGCGCTCCTTTGACACTCTGATCCATTGCACGAAATCGTTTGCTGCAAAATTAAAAATAAAATGACAATGTCAACTTCATTTTACACAGTATGGAATTTTGTATATTTTTAGTAACACTAGTTGTAGTTTCGTTAGAAGCGCAGAACCGTGGGAGGAATCAAGATTTCTTCAAAATTCGCAGCGATGGAATCGCGGCCAGCTCGAATCTCTACAAGAAGAAGCAGAAGCCGAATCGGGAGGAGGTCGTTTTGGTGCCGCATCGACTAAGGGAAGTTAAATTTGAAAACGAAGCCGAACACCGCAATTTAAATAACTTCAAGAAACGCTTCAAGACTAGCGCCGAGTCCGATTTTACTTTTTACAGTCCAAGATTGTACACGGATATTCCTCAGCATTATTACATCAAGTATCTGAAGGATGAAGCGTACAATCCACCGATTAATTATAACGAGATATCCAGCGATTCCGATATACTCAATAAATTTAATATGCTAAGGCAGAAGCAGAGTCTGATGAAAAAGATCACCACGCAAGAACCGATTGTTGAGGTGAACAAAGTCAATCCGGAGGTCGGGCAGGAATATCATCCTAAGATACACACGTTCCTTCCAACTCAGCGGCAGATCAAGATTATCACGACCAATTTGGATGGGGAAGATAGTAATTACGTACCAATACACAGAAACACCAAGAAGTTTTTGAAAAGAGTTAACGAAATTCCGGTTGATTTGGAAGAAGATGCTCAGTTTTATCCGCAGATGAAGTTGCGCAAGAACTCGAATCCGGTGAAATTTGATAGCATTTACAATAAGGCAGGTAAATCTGATACGCCGATGCGAATGCCAACTTCAGTTATCTTCCAAATGAATAAGGCTGAACATGCTGATATTGAGAAGGAGCCAAGGCAGAGCGAATCTGGTACGTCGATGCAGTTGCCGACTTCAGTTATCTTCGAAATGAATAATGCTGAACACGTTGATCTCGAGAAGGAGCCTAGGCAGAGCGAATCTGATATGCCGATGCAAATACCGACTGCGGTCGTCTTGCAAATGAACAAGGCTGAAGATGCTGATCTTGAGAAGGAACCAAGGCAGAGCGATAAGATCATGAAATATCCGCCGAAAGTCATCGATACGGACATAGATGATATTTACATGATCAACAAGGCGGACACCGGCGATTTGATAACGAAAACTCCGCAGCAAAATCAAATGCCTGAAGTTCTTAACAGCGGTAAGAAACTATCACTGTTAGATCTGAAGATGTTTGAAAATCGACTAGGTTTGGATGGGACGCGCAAGGGAATGGATAATCCCCAGGATCATATGTCTTCGAGCGATTTCATTTACAATAACCAGGAGACACAACCGGTTGGTGTTAAAACGTACTTGGATGATCAGCAGAAGCAATACCATGGTAGGAATCTGAATGAGGTGGCAATGTTGGAACGCCCACAGCAGCAATCAATTGATGTGAAAAATTCTGGTGACCAGAGGTCTTCGCAACATGCAAGCGGTAATGTATGCAAACAGTGTGAGGACCTCGCTGGGCGATTCAAGTAGATTTTTTAAATTTCCAGAAGTATCAGACGTCAACAGCAACGCCGAATATCGAGGATTGCTCTATATGCGAGGTAACAACGGACATTAGTTCATTCAGTTCGACCGACGGCTTCAGGATTGCAGAGCAGGCGGCCGATCGTGCGTTGAAGAACCAACAGCTCCAAGAATCTGCAGCTCTTGAAGCAGCCATTGAAGTGAAACAGCAATTAGCCAGCAAAGCGGAGCATGCCTCGGATGCTGCGCTCGACTCCATCTCCGATAAGCAAATGATCGTCAATCTAATGGAGGAGCTCCAATCCAATCTTAAAGTGGTGCGCAGAGCCATCTGCAACCTAAGTACCCAAAACACCGACGGTTTAAAGAACATCGAGTTGGCCCACGAGCATATGGCCTTGACCCAGCAGACCCTCCAAAATACCAGGAAACTGATCAAAGAATTGGACGGCATACAAGATTCCATCAGGAAATTGAAGACCGACGCTGAGTGCTCAATGGAAACGAACAAGATGAAAATAGCGGCGCTCAACAAGAAAATCATGGAGGAAAAGACTGAGATACTTGAGCTTGAGCGAAAGTTGGAGGCTGCGAACGAGTGCAAGAAAAAAAAGAAGAAAAAAAAGTTTCGACTGTTCGCATGGAAAAAGGACACCTGCTGAAATACTCTGACAGTTAAAAATGTCAAGAAAATCACGTTATGTCAAATATTGGTCAAATTGCTGTTATTATCGCATGGTTAGTTGCATCCGCAAACTGCGACATCTCGTTCAAGCCAGTTTTTGATCCGTTGAAGAAGAAAATCGAAATCGTGCCATCGTACAATATCACACTTGAGAACAACTTCAATCAGGATAACATCGATCCGGCGATAAGCGCGGTCATAAGGGCCGAGGAAATTGCAGGTCAACAGAAGATTGCCGGACAGAAGGCTTCGGCTAAGGCGAAATCTGAAATGGCCGAGGAGGCAGCTCTGTACGCGCAACGTGCCAGTCGTGTGCTGCCGGTCAAAGAAGAAGTGGTGAATCTGATTGAGGAACGAATCGATCGTAATCAGCAGTTTCAAGAAATGCTTGTGAAGAAGATGGACGACAGGAGCTTCTGGATTAAACATATGCGAGAGGTAGAGTTCCATAACGACGAGTTGATCAGGAGTTTGCAGGAGCTCATTGATCGCACGAAGCGCCTCATGAAGGACGTAGCGCTCGGGGAGGAGATGTTGGAGCGATTGAAGTGTCATTTAAAATACGTCTGCAGATTGAAGCATAACATAGCCGGGCGCTTGGAGAAGGCTAAGAAGTCGTTGAAAGAGTTCAAAATGATAACAGCTAAAATCGCGCTGCTTGCTGCATCTTTGGCAATTGACGTCGAAGAGGATCGGATTCCCACGGACTGTTCCGTCTAACTTAGCTTTATCATATAAGTCTTATGTTAAGTGAAAATAAATGTATACATAATGAAATGAAAAGACACTCACCGGCATCGACGAACGCTTGATGCTGTTCCACAGTCTCCTTCTGCTTCTCGTACAACTCCTTAGCTTGTTTAGAAAGAGATTGGTACTTGGTAGATATCTCCGATGCGGGGGCTCCCTGCATCAAATCCTCAGCCTTTGACGTTACTGATTGAATCATAGGTTCGAACGACACTATATCTTGAACGATGCTGTTAGTTTCTCGTAGAGTTGCCTTCCTTTCGCCGATTGGCAAAGAGCTCAGACCGCTTTGACCCTTCTTAGCAACAACCTTTTGCTCGGTGACCTGCTGCAACTTGGCCTCGCGATCCGTAATCCATTGTTGCAATTGCGAATACGAAGAATCGTAATCGGCCCATTGCAGTAAGCTAGTTTCCAGATGAACCTTAGCCGTGGACATCTTCTTGACCAATTTCTCCCAGTCGGCTTGAAGTTCCTTGATCTCACCATTGATTCTTTCGCGTCCATCAGATCGAGTATTCCTTAGCACCTTTTCACCGCTATTGATTGTCGTGTGCACCAGGTTTTGACCTTCCTCGCGTTTCTGCAGAAGCTTCTGAATTTCTTCCAAACGCAATTGAAGCACCTCCTTGCTCGAGTTCGAAGAAGATTCAGAGCAGTTCCTGATCAATTCTCTTGCCTTCTCGATCCAGTCTCTGCTCTTTTCCAAATTATCGTTGTACTGTTTATGCTGTTCGTGATTAGTTTCCACTTTCTTGAGCACATCCTTTGCCAAGTTCAACTCGACTTGGTAACGCGAGTTCAAACTTTGCAGTTGATTGTTTACGTAAATATCGAGTGGAGAATTCAGCAGTTTCTTTGAGGATTCGTTGAATTTCTCAATATCTTTCTTGCCCTCATCCAACTTTTTGAGGATATCTTTAACATCTTGCACTTGCTTCGCCTTCTCTTCTAAATTGGAGGATAAGGCGATCTTTTGGTTCTTGGTCAAAATGGCAATCTGTTGAAGCCAATCGGAGAGTCTCTCATATTCATCCTTGTAATCGCGCCAATGCAACAGCACTACTTCCAATTTGTTACGTTGTTCGCGCAAATCTTTGAACAACCTCTCGAAGCATTCGCGAAGAGCTCTGTTATCGTTGTTAATGCTTTCTTGTCCTTGTTTGTTGGTACTTGGTAAAATGACTTGTGCTGTATGCTCCAAATTATCCAGAAGCACTTCACCTTGGGCTTGCTTATTAAGCAAAGCATCTAAAGGTCCGGCGAAAGTTTCCACAGATAGTTTATCACCAATTGGTTTCTGCTTGATCTGCGGTACCTTCTCTTGGGCTCTTGTTAACCATCTTTGGAACTCATCATAAGCTTCCTTGTAAGTTTTATGATCTCTGAACTGATGTTCCCTTTCATATAATAATTTCTGCAAAGTAAAGAAAATGTAATTTATAAATTAATTAATATAGAATATAATAAGACGTACAATGATTTTGCTTGCGAGGTCATCGAATTTATCCAAGATTTCTTTAGCTTCGACGGCGGATTGACCTTGCTGTTTGCTGGCCAGCATCTCGCCAATCTTGATCTTCAAATTGTCGACTTCGATCTTATCGCATCTGACTTTCTCCTCGACGTTTTGGATTCTGTCCAACTGTGCCTTCTTCTCGGGAATGGAGGATTGGAATTCAATCAGCTCATCATATTGTGTTTGCATCCATTCGATGGTCTTATTGAGTCCTTTCGATTGTTCCAGTAGTCCGGCCCATTTAGTGAGGGCGTCATCGAGGATGGCCTTAGTTTCAATCATCTTCGAAGCCAAGAATGACCACTGATCCGACAGATTTGCTAACGTGTTGTTCACGTCTGCGTGACCTTCGGGGGCGGTATTTGCTAGAACGGTTTGCGCGGATTCCACCAGATTCTGGATCTTTCCAAAACCTTCTTCCTTGAATACGATCAGATCCTGCAGAATGGCCATCTTCTTTTCAAGGTCCTTCTGCGAAGCGGTGCTGACGTCCGAGCAATAATTCAGTTTCTTCTTGGTGTCGTCCAGCCAGTGTTCGCATTGCTGAACCTTATTGTTAAAGTCTTGATGGCTGTTAACGTACTGCTGCCAACGGGATGTCAAATCTTTGACTTTGTGGCAGACCTGTTGGTATTTGACGCCCAACTCTGAGATTTGGGAATTCCTATTTCCAAGTCCTTTGTTCAATTGCTGAGCCTTTTCCGTAACAGAATCAATTTCCAGCTCTTTAGCCCTGACCTCACCTTGGAGCCCTTTGAGAATCTCCAATTGAGCTTGCTTCTCGTTCGCGGTGGCCTTAAGATCTACGGAATGCAAGGTAGTATCGGTATCCCGAATCCACGTCATAACCTTTTCTTTGAGAGCTTCAAACTCAGACCAATGTTGGAGTTTGGTTTCCAGAGTTTCGATAAGCGTTGAAATCTTCGAGATGAGAGCAGCCCATTCTTGTTGGCATGTATCGATTTCGCTCCTCACGGCTGGTTGTCCATGGTCAACTGTACCAGGGATAACCTTATCACCTAAAGCGCGCATATTGGCAATCCTGGATTCTTCCTCTTGAATAGTCGATTGGAGATTCTGAAGAACAATTTTAATATAATAATGTTTTCTTTTGTCACATTCGAATGGTGTTACCTTTAAACGTTCCAAATTGGAAATGAGAACGATCCTCTCCAAATCTACGTCGCCCCATTGTGAAACGAACTCTGATGTGTTTTCCATCCATTCGTGGATGTCCTGCAAGGTCTTGTTGAAGTGTTGGTGATCGTTGACGATCACCTCGTACCTTTCTACGAAGTTCTGCGCTCTCTTCAAGATCTTCGCGTGTTGATTGGTAATGCTGACCAATTGGTTGTTGATTTTCTCATTGACTTCAGGCAGACTTTCCACCCTCTCACGCAGATCGATTATATCTTCCTGGTGCGTGGTAGCGTCATGCAACAAAGTCCTGTAAATTTGCAGCTGAGCCCGTTTTTCGTCGAGCGTTGCTTTCAATTCAAGTTCTTGAGGTAGCTGGTTTCCTGCTTGCTTCAACCATTTCTTGATGTTATCCGCACATTCTTCAAAACCACTCCATCTATGGAACCAAAAGCAATTAAGTCCAATAAAGATCAAATAATTAATTTTAAACGAAAAACACACCTGCTTAGTTTAGCTTTGATTTCGCGATCGGTGCTGTTAATACCATCGTAAAGCGCCTCCAAGGCCTGTTGCAACTCTTGCAGCTGATTGCTGATCACGTCGCGGCCCTCTGAAGCCGTACTCTTGTACAGTTTTTCACCTAATTCAATGGTGTTGTTCAGTAAAGAGTTGGCACTGTTCTGTTGCGAAATTAACTCGTCAAGAACTTTGATTTGCTCGGCGAGAATCTTACGACCTCCAGTTTTGATATTCTCCTGACAAATGTCGTACCTAAAACCAACAATATTGCATGAATCTGATTCTAATTATAATTAATAATTAATACATACCTAGCTTGTGCAGCGGCAATCCAATCGGAACATTGCCTGTATTTCTCGTTGAAGAGCTTGTGATCTGCGACAGCTTGTTCGCATTTCTTGACGATCTCTCTTGCGGTATTCTGGATCGACTGGAATCTGGATGTTACCTGCTGCACGTTCACAGATATCCTGGTGTCTCCGCTGCTGTGGACAAGCTCTGTAGATTCGTCTGCCAACTTATCAAAATCTGCCTCGTTCTGTCTCAGGCTCAGTATCAAGGCCTAAAGAGTATCAATAATGTTAGAAAATCGTAGAAAAATGAAGAGAAATTGTAACATTTAACAAGAGGTTTTAGGTAAATACGAAATAATAATAAGAGAGAGATATAGAACAGAGTAAAGAGGCCACCACCTAAATAGTACATGCAGGAGATATGAAACGGTTACGACATCGAGAATATCTTACTTGTTCCAGATGATCTGACAAATTCACGAAGTTCTTCACCTCCTGGTTGCGAGATTCAGTCGCTTTAGATAACTCCTGTGGATTTGTTAGTTTTTGAAAAAAAAAGAATTCAAAGCATTATAAATTAAGCTATTTTTGTCTCCAATAATTATGTGAAATAAACGTAAATCACTGAACACTATTTTACCTGGTATCTATCGAGTTGTTCTTGTTTCTCCTCCAAAGTGTTCCTGAAACCGTATGTCTTCAGGATCATCTCCGCATCAGCCAACCAAGCCACCAATCTATCTAGAGTTGACTCGTAGTCGTTCCACTGCTTAAGACGATCCTCGATGTTAGCAATGACTTCGTTCAAGGAGGTTCCGAACTTCTCCAGATCGAACTTCAAGTTCTCGTAGTCCTTCTTCATCGAGTCCTGAGCACGTACCGGTAGAATACTGATTCTGTTCTTGATCTGGTCCTCGAGTTCCTTGAGCTTGATCTTGCCGTCCTGTAGGTTGTCCTGGATCTGCATTACCTTGCTCAAACGTTCCTCCAACATCTGTTTGTTTCCGCCGTAATCAGAATAGCTGGTAAGCTTATCCCACAATTGCTTCTGGTAGTCTTGATGTGCCTTGTGGGCATCGTAGAATTGCTGGTAAACCTCTAAGCAATCCTCCAATTGTTTGATGATCGTTTGGGCATTTTTGTGAAGGTTATGGTAACGCTCGTTGATGGATTTGACGTTATCCTCGACTTCGGCGATCTTCTCTTTGTTATTCGATAACTGGATCAACGTTTGAGCTTTCTCGGTAATACCTAATGGATATTGTGAAAGGTACAATGAACACTTAGAAAATAAACAGCACTTACCTTCTATTATTCTCTTGTGAGTTATGATTTCCTGTAAAGTAGTCTTGTGCTTAAGGAGCTTGGCTCTAACTTCTTGCACGGTCGTCCATGAGGTCGGATCGGTTTGAACAACCTTCTCCATGGAATCCAACCAAGTGAGAACTTGTTGTAGCATGTCTTTATATGAATTTATCTGCAACGATTGGGATTCGACAAGATGCTGTTGCTGTTTGATGCCTTCATCTAGTTTGTCCCATCTGCTTCTGATATCCCTTAGTTCGGTTCTGATGATTTCCCTACCTTGAGCTGCGGTATCTGGGAACAATCTTTCACCCATAATAGTCAGACTGTTGACTTTATGCTCTCCGTTATCTTTCTCTGTGAGCAACACTTGCAATCTGTTGGTGGTGGCTCCAATGTTATCAGCCAATTCTGCATGTTGAAGAGTAGCCAAGTGCTCTTCCAGAGGTGTCAACCAGGTTGAAACTTCCTCCAATTTGTCTTGGTACTTGTGGTGATCATCGACCAAACTTTGCCATCTATTCATGACATCTTTGCTGAGCGTGTGCAGAGTTTGATAACGTGTGGTTATGTTAGAGATAAGCGGTTTGATGCGCTGGGAACCACTTGACTGAACCAGGGTGTGACTCTTATCGATGAAGGCATCAATTTCCTTCTCTTTAGCAGCAACAGAATCCCTCTCAATGCTGATGTTCTTCAACTTGGCTTCCTTCTCAGAAAGAGTAGTTTGCAATGGTTGATCCCTAAACTTGACTTCTGTAGTCTTGAACCAGTTATTCAAATCCTCCAAACCATTCTCGAATTCCTTCCATTGGGTCAGGCTATTCTCCTGCTTTTCCATGACCTTGTCTATGAATCAAATTAGAAATTTACCAATAATCAATAATAATTTCATTCAAAACTTACCAATATCTTCCAAGTATTGTTTAAGTACCTTCCTCAGGTTTTCGATATCTTCTTGACAGATTTCAATACCCTTTGGTGCAGTACTGGATACCATGCCTTCTAACTGTTGGGAAATAGCATCCAACTTCTTGTTGCCTTCGCTTTCGTTGTCTTTAAGAGATTTAATGGTGGAAAGACGAGCCAGAATATCGCTCTTCTCTCCAGATAAGTCTTCAAGCTCGTGGAGCTTCTCATTTTCACTTGCAATCCATTCCTTGAAAGCGCTAATGCTTGAATTGAATTGGTTGTGCTTATCGACGCAATCCTCAAGATTGTTCAAAAGATCTTGCGATTTATCGACAATGCTTTGGAACAATTGCTTAATAGATTGTAAATAAATGTTCAGTGATTTGTCTTGCGTCTGATCGACCAATTGTTGAGCCTTGTCACAAACGGATTCCACCAGTTGTTGATGCGACATAATCTCTTGGTGCATAATCTTGTGGTTCTGCAGTTGGGCTCTTTTCTCTTGCAGAGTAGTCTTGAGTTCTGTATGCTGTTGCATTGCCCTTTCGACGTCCTTCAACCATTTAGTGAGTTGTTCTTGCGTTGCAGTGAAATCGGCGAATTGCATCAAGCATTGCTCCAGCTTGTTCAGAGCCGTTTGAACGTCATCTCCAAATCCATCCCAGATGGTTCTCATATTCCTCAACTGTTGCCTGATTATTTCTCGGCCATCAGGAGATGTGTGCGAATATAATTTCTCACCTCGATCGGAAAGGTCGTCGAAAATACCAATTTTCTGGTTCTTTTCCTCAAGAATTTCCTTGATCTTTTGCTGCCTATCTTGAAGCACGACCAGATCACCTACGATGTGACTCATATCTTGCAGTTCAGTTTCCTTTTCTGACAGCCACTTGAGGAATTGTGCATAATCCTCGTTGAACGATTTATGTTCTTTATGGAATCCATCATAACGATTGATTCCATCCTTGACGGAATTCTTCACAGTATGGTAACGAGAAATCAACTGCGAGACCTTATTGGATAATTCAGTGTCGATTTCAAAGCTTTGCGCAAGTTCGGACGCGTTATCAAAGTCGGCGTTCTTCGTTAGAATCTCTTCTTCAAGTTCTCTTAGTTTGGTGAGGTGTGCGTATTTGGTTTCCTCTGTGCTTCTCAGGCTCTGATCCTTGACCTGGATTTCCTTCTGCTTCAGCCAAATTTCCAGATCGTCGACTATAGCCTCGAACTGCGAATATTTGCTGTAGATGTCGTTCAGCTTTACCTTAGCGTCGGAACACATGCTCAAGAATTTCTGCCAGTTGCTGGCCTGTTCCTCGAAGCCGTTGATGAGTGGCGGATGTCCGGGTGGGGATGTCTGTTTGATCACTGTTTCCAAATGCTTCTTGCACGAAGAGATGATTTTATCGCCTTCGTCCTTTTGGCTCAGTAAATTCTCGACGATGGTTAGACGAGCGTCTGCGGATTCCGAAGAAGTCTCATCGACTAAAAGGGCAGCTTCGGATGTTAAGGCACTCAACCAGTCTCTGCATTTTTCCAATACTTGGTTATAGGCCTCGTGATTCGTCACATAATTCTCGGCTAATTTTACACGTCCGTTTACATCATCCGAAAGCTTATTGTAGTTGTTCAGATTCTCATCTAATTTTGAGTCTGCTTCCGAATCAGATAAATCCTTAATTTTATCTTTCAGTTGCTGCAGCAGATTCTTGTGCAAATTAACGTCATGCAACATGCTGCGATACTTGTGTAAAGTATCTTTCTTTTCAGGTAAAGTAGCATCCAATTCCATGCTATCACTCAGTTTGGCACTGCACTCATCAATCCACAGCTTCACCTGTGCAAGGCTATCGTCAAATGAATGCCTCTGCATCAGAATGCTCTCGACTTGCTTGTAGATAGTGTTAACCTGGTCGATTAAAGCTTCCGATTTGTCACGAAGATTTCTTAATTCAGTACGAATGGTGTCACGATTCTCAGGTGTAATTCCAGAGAACAGAGCCTCGCCATACTCGACGGCAGTGTTCAACAAGGCCTGTCCACGTTCTCTTTCAACAGCGAACTTCTTCAGCTCCTCTAAAGTTCCTTTGTTAGGTTTAGATCCACTCGCAGTAAACTTCTTGAACGAATTCACCTTGGTTTCAGCTTCCACTAACCAATTTTCAACTTCCTTGATGCTATCACCGTACATCTTCTTATAATCGTTCAACTCGCGCAATTTGTCTAAGTAGTTACTCAAGAATTTAGTCACAGCTTGGTATCTGGTATTCAGGTGATGCACGTACTGTTTAATGCGAGATTCGGAGACTTCCTTCAACATCGCTTCGCCCAAAGTTGTGAGCTCCTCCAATTCAGCACCGTGCTCAGAGGTTGTCTTCTGCAGCGCCTGAATCTCCTTGATTTTATCATCCACCTTACTCATATCAACTTGAGGAGTGCTCTCAGCCCGCACCTTGTTCTCAATATTCTTGAGCCAATTCGACACTGATTCACTTAATTTATCGTACTTCTGGTGCAAACTTATGTTGCGCTCCAAAAGTTCCTTTGTCCTATTATAATTGTCCTCCAAATCCTGCAAATCTTTCAGGAGATTCTCCTTCTCGGCGTGGAGCGCCTTTATACTTTCAGGTGTTTCTACGCTCTCCAAGATCTTCAAGGAACTTTCCAACTCATCTTTACGCACAGAACAATCGTTCAAAGCGTCCTTGATCGGAATCAGAGCATTTAATTTCAACTCCAAATTGTATCTATCGTTAGCAGGTTCTGGTTTGCACCATTGCACTTTTTCCTTGTGGGATTGGATCAAGCGCTGCAAAGCTCCGTATTTGTCGCTGTGGTATTTCTTCAAGAATACCAACAATGAATTTTCGATTTTAATTGTATGTTGCAATACGACATCGAATCGTTTCTTAAGATTTTGCTGTTCTTTAGGTAAGGTGCCTTCTGCAATACTTGGGTACGTGGCTTTCATATCCTGAATTTTCGTTCCAATTTGGATGATCTCCGGTTCGCAATTCTGCAGCTCTGTTTTGAGCTTCTGCAATTTGATCAACCTCTCCAAAACTTTGGAATTATCTCCGGAAAGATCATCGCATTTAATGATGTCCTCGCGGATCGTCGAAATCTTGTTCGTGACTTCTTTCATGGAAGCGCGGATAGAGTTCTCCTTTTCGCCGAATTTCGAGATAACGCTTTCCAATTTGTCGGCGTTCTTCTTGACCTCAGCGAACTGATCTTCGAGAAGCTGCATCAGTGTGTCCAGATTGGAGATATCCTTCGAGTCTGATAATTGGATCAGCTGCTTATATTTAGTTGGGATGTTCTGCTTCAGAGAGAGATACTGAGGCAACTCCTCCTTATATTTCATTAACTTAGATTGACCAGCCTCCAGTTCGTTGGGTTTTTCGATGGCTGTGGCCAAATTGTTGTTTTGCTCGTTGAGCCATTGGTATAGTTTGTTCTTCGTGTCTTGGATATGCTTCCAGATGACGGCCTGAGATTCGGTGGTCTGCACCAATTTCAGAACGTTGTCGTGGACTCTCGACCAACGAGTGTGTGTTTCTTGCAATTCGTTGCGAATGGCCGGAGCCATTCCATCGATACCAACGGATTTTTTGATGATGGATTCTCCTTTGCTATCCATCTTGTCCAAAATTGACTTAGTCTTCTTTAGAGAGTCGAGAGTTTTCTTGGCTTTCTCCGCGTTGAGATTCGCGTCAATCAGATCGGCCGGAGTACGAATACTGTTGCAGACTTCTTCAATTTTACCAATTTCACTTTCGATTTTATCCTTGGCCTCCTGGAATTCGTTCCATGCGAAGAGGATGTCGGAGTATTTCATCTTTTGGTCGCGCATCGTTCCGTGCAATTTGTCCCAACTGCTCTCGATGGTTGAGAGAATGTTCTGGATTATGGTTACGTTCTGGGTGTCTTGCTTCATGAGTAGTTGTCCCTCTTTACGCAACTCTTCGCGCGCTTTGGACGCTTGTGATTGCGATTCTATAAGAGCGTTGATCTTATCAACTGCCGCTTGAAGATCGGTTGGTTTCTTTATATCTGAATCGATGGTTACTATGGTTTGTTCGATAGCTTCCAAATTATTGTTAACTTGCTTCTGGAGGTCATCGAACTTGTTCCAGTGCTTCTTTAGCTCACTGAGGCTGATAAGCTTTTCTCCTAATTGCGTCTTGAAGTTGATTACTTTAACTTCGATTTCCCTGACCAATTTCTCTGCGGTCGTTGGATTACCTGTACCATCGAGGATGGTGATCGTTGGGGAAGAGTCTATGGAAGTAGCAGTTTGTTTCCAGGTAATCAGTTTCGTGATAATCGTCTCGATGTCGGTAGAAATGATCTTCAACTCTTCGGGATGAGACTTTTGGCTTTCGATTTGGTATTTGATGTGACTGAGTTGCTGGTTGGTCTCGTTGCACCATCTGAGGAGTTCGGCCCATTTCTCGAGTTCGGCCTTCTTGTTCTTCAAGTTATTCTCAATCTTGATGTAGTTTTCAACCAGCTTTGAGTATTCCTCTCGCAGTAAATCGCTTTCTTGTGGTTGTGTCTTTGAAGTGATGCTTTCAATTTCTTCGTAAATCGCGCTGAACGTCGGTTTCTTATCGGAGTAATCTTGGAGCAGAGAATGAATGGTGATCAAAGTAGAATCAACTTTATCTGCTTTGACCTCATCAATTTGGGCGATATTTCCATTCAGTTTATCGACCCAAGAGGTAAATTCTTCAAGTTTGGTCTGGAACTCGTGACGAGATAGGATAGCGTCCGAGACATCATTGATCTTCGCCCTGACACTATCACCAAGTTGATTGATGTTGGCTTTCAAATCGTGAACGCGATTCTTCACCAAAACTGCACCCTCTGGGCTAAGTCCATGCGCAACTGAATCTGAGTGTTGGGTGAGCGAAATCAGCTTCGCCTGTTGCTCAGATATCTCATTGTTGAACGCCTTTAGTTTGGACAACTCCTGCTCCAATTTATCGACATCGGGTGTATTTAAGTTGATAACCTTGGTCTTCAAAGACTTTTGACCTTCAATAGCCCAGCTCTCCAATTTCTTGGCATTGACATCAAAATCATTCCAATTGTTGATGAGTTTATCAAGTTTCGTTGCTGCTTGACTAGTAGCACCTTGGATTATGGTGAATCTAGACTTCATAGCATCAATTTCATCAGATGCGTTAGTTTTCGTCTTAATTTGTTCGCAAATCGAAGATATTCCTTGTAATCTACCAGCATTGCTACCGCATTCCGTTGCAAATTGTTGGTTCTCTTTCTGCATGCGGATGGCCTCTTCAATTGTTGCTGGTTTTGGTGTACCCATATTAATTTTGATCTCAGCCTTCTCAACCCACGGCCTGATTTCGTTCAGGTTGCTCTGGTACTGCTGCCAGGTGGCTAAATCTTTACTCACCAAAGCTGCTTGACTTTCTACATTGCCTTTAATAGCTACAACCTTCTCCTGTAATGCAACCATATCGGCCTTCATCTTGAGGGCTTCCTCGTTCTCTTTGTTATCGGGCAGCCATTCCCTGGCCTCGCTTCCCAACGAATCTAATAGTTTTATCTTATGGATGATTTCTTTCTGCAACAACTCAGTTTTTGCAACGCGATCTTCTGGAGCGATGTTGTCTTCGTGGGCAGCGCTCAACAGTTGAGGAGCGCTTTGCACAGTCCAGTGCTGTAACTCAGATATGCTCTTTTGGAAGGAGTTCCATTTATCGTTAAAGTCTTCCAAGTAGATAACGCGACTTTGGACTTGTTCCAACGTGGTTTGTAGACGTCTTTCGATAGTTGTGACTTCTTGCTGAAGCTCAAACTTCTTATCAGCGGGTGCAATTTCTGCTAATTTGCTGCATAGATCGCGCAGACGTCTCAGTAACTCTTCGGTCATCTCTCTCAAGTGAATGGCCATCTCCTGTTTGGCTTGCAATTCTGAAGCTAAGTTGCTCGAGTTGTATTGTCCAGGGGCTAGGCGCTTCAAGTCCAAATCAGCCTTGGCCAACAGCTCCAAGATTTCGGTTTTTTGATGGGAATAGTTCGACCATAAGGTTTGAGTGCTCTTCAACTTCCTTAAACTATTCGCTGTTTCATCAAAGGCTTCCGTCCATCCAATTTCCAAAGTCTTAACTTCGTCTTTAACGAACGCTGGAGCGTTGGTATCGCTCGACAATTCCTTGCCTCTTTGCAGCATGCACATGATGTTTGGACGCTGCAAATCTAATTGGCTTATGGCAGTTTCCTGTTGTCTGATTAGTTGAGTGATGGTTTCGAGACTTTCAGGTGGTGGTTGCTCGATGGATTGCTCTTTGACGCGTTTGAGAAGGATGCAAACTTCGCGCACCTCGCGGCGGTAAGTGTAGCACTTCGAGAGCACATCCGTCTTGACCATGGTGATTTCCAAGGTCGGAATTAAGTTCTTATAGCGAGTGATCAGATGTTCAAGTTTCTTCTGCTCAAGCATCGCTTGGCTTTCGGGGCAGTGTGAAGTGAGTGCATCTAGCGTTTGCACCAACCACTTCATATCTTCACGTTTGGCATCGGCGTCTTTGCAAATATTCTATAAAAATAACACATACATATTAACAACTATATCAACATAAATACAAGGACTAAATTAAAACTAGCTGATAGTTACCATAAGCCTTTTTAACTGATTGCAATTAAATAATTACAGGATATTAATACATCTATTTTTACATTTGTTAAAAGTTTGATATCTTACCTGGAAGACGGCTTTCTCTCGTTCGAACTCCTCCATGTTATTGACATCGTTTAGAATGTTTTTCAATGTGGCATCGACCTGATCCATCCAGGTTACCATAGCGTTGAATTTCTCGTAGTATTTGTTCCATTTTTCTGGGACTTGGTCCAATTGATCTTTAAGACTTTCAACTTTAACGTTGACGGTCTTCCAGCTTTGCTCTGCCCTCGAGTAAGCCTCCAAAAGAGTCTGATCTTCGGGTCTGTACTGAGCGAAAGTGGTTGAGATTTTCTTGAGATTCTCCAAGCATCTGCGGGCTTCCAATAACACACCTTCAGGATAAAAGAAATCCTTGTTTCTACCGATAATAGTATCCACGTTCTCTTGCTTATTGAACGCTTGCTGCTCGAAGCTGATCTCCTCTTCGATTTTCTTGATGTAATAGATAAAGGATGATTCGTCCAGGCGAAATTCGAGTCGCATAAGATGAAGTGGCGCGAAAGAAAGAACTTCTTTCCATTTGGATTGTAATTTTTCCACCGAGTGGATGATAGGTTTGTGTTGTTCATTGGGAAGACTATTGCAGAGATCTTGGGCGCTCTGCACAAGATCGTGAATCCAGCGTTCGTTTACACGCTCGAAGAAGTTCTTGTGCATCTCGACTGCTTGCTTGGAGTCGATGTGTCTTTCGGAAATGAGCTGCTCCGCTTTGTTTAGCCAGTCAGATATAACCCGCTCGCTAGAGCTGAAGTTAAACCAACAACGCAAAGCCTCTTGCAGCTTTTGTTCCCAGATGGATGCGTTCTTCGTGACGTACTCAAAACGGTCATTTAGTTGCTCCATCTTCGAGTTTGTCTCAACAACGTCTAAACTAGCACTCTGATCTACAGATTTAACGATGTTCCTGAGAACTTTGTTCTTGCTATCGAGCATTGATTTGTAGTAGAAGGTGCGAGTAAAGAATTGCTTGTGTTTCTCTAGTTGCTTGTTAAGGTTCTCCTTATCTCCAACCAAATTGAGCTTTCGCAAATGCTCTTCGGCTTCGTCGAGCCATTGATTAATCTCCTTTTGGCCAGCCTCCAACGATTGTTGCTGCACCAAAAGTTGATTGAAAAGGTGCAGCTGCATTGGGATCAATGCGCGCACTTTCACCAGAGCCTCTTTCTCGTGCTTCAGTGTAGTCATCATAGTGTCAACTTCGTCGCGTCCCAAATCTTGGATAAGCATTTGGAACGTTTTGCTGATGTTTTTAAAGAGCGTTTCTACGCCTTCAACTTCGCTTTGCAGCTTCTGCAATTCGTTTAGATGTTCTTGGATGCGATTCGTCGATCCCAATTCTTGGTTTGCCAACGTCTTTTCGGCCTTCCTCAGCCATGTGGATAACATTTCAACTCCGGCTCTGAAATCTTTGCGGTTTCTCAGGATATCACCTGCATGACTGTACTTGTTCACGTGTGGATACAATTTCTCCCATCTTTCGGTCATGTTGCTATAGTGGTCCCTCAATTGCATGGCGATTTTATCTTCGCATGTGGCTATCAGGAAGCTCACGGTGTCACCTAGCAATTGGTACTTGTCTCTCCAAACGCTGATGTCCTGGAAGAACTCCATGCGTTCTTCTTCGGGAAGCTTTAGAGCTGGTTCAGCTTTATTGAGCCATTCGTCGAATTCCACTGAAAGGGAATCCCAGCGTCTCCAGTAGGCTACTACTTCTTCAAGCATGCTTTGCACGCAGCGCAGCTCCATGGAAACGTTCTTCCATCTATCTCCAATATCTCGGATGAACTTGTCGATTTCGATCGATTCTTTCTTGTCTGTAATGAAAAGAAAACTCATTGAAGAGACCATGAGACGCATGATTTAGTATAAATATTAATTACCGATATTTCCGTCCCGCTTGTATTCCTCAATGACAGCTTGCATATCGATGAACGCTTTGTTGAATTCCTGGAAAATGTGGTTTTTGGAAACGAAGTTTCTGTACTGTTCGAGCAGCTGGACGACCTTCTCCAAACGACCGTACTTGGCGGTCCACGCCCTCAGCTTGGTTTCTGTCAGTTGCAAAAATGCAATAAGGCAACACTGAAATCACAAGAGAAATAGTTTAGATTACGATTTTTTTTCTTTGTATTGATTTATACTTTATGTTCGAGGAACTTGAGTCTGACTCTGCGCTGAGCAGCTTTCGGTCCAATATCGTTAAGTCTCTGAGCCATGGTATTTAGCTGAGAGGAAGGCACTTCACGGGCCAAAGGCCCCTCGCAAGCCTGCGAGAATTTGGCTTGAATTGTGGGAAGGTCAACAAAGAAGGCTTTATGCTCCTCCAGTTTCCTGCTGATAATTGACGCCGTCTCTTCGTTCATCGTGGTCGGTATATCGTCGTTGTAGATTAATTTCTCCGCCTTTGCGAGCCACTCGCCTACAACCCTGAAGTCACCAGGAAGACGCGAGTCGAGCAGCCAGAGCCAGTAGCGCATCTGCTGCTCCAGTAAATTCCAGAGTCTGGATACGTCGCTCCAGGATTCTTTCGTGATCGAAATCATGCTCTGAGATTCGATCATAGTCCTCAATCGGTCGAAGACCAACTGCTTCTCATCGACGTCCCCTCTGAACGCCAGATACTCGTTGTAGTCGAGGGGAAGGGAGTTCGTCTGCTGAAGATGTTCCAAGTATTGGGTCTTCTTCATGAGCCATGCGTGCAGCTCGTTGTATTCTTCCTGGATGGCGGCAATGGCATCCGGTCCGGTGCTCTTTGGCTCCGGATACTTGTGCAAGAATTGCGCCACGTAAGTCATGATGGATCTTTCGTCTGGTTTTGGTACGTCCACGTCTTCTGGATCTAATAGTCTTGAGATTCCTAGCTCGTTCTCGGCAACATCGAACGCCGTCTCCAATCGGGTTCTGTTTGTTTCCTTCTTCAGTTCGGCTAAGTTGATCAAGTTTGCTTTGATTGCGTCGATGATAGCTAAGAAGGCCACACCATCGCGCCAACTCGCTCCAAAGTCTTTAACTTGTATTCCTGAATCACTGCAAATTTAAACAATATTTTATTTCTACATATTCATACAAGTCTTAACTCATCATTGATTTATAAAATGACAATTTTTATTTTTATTTCAGAATTGAAATAAATCAAGATACTTTCATAAACAATTGCATTGTATTTGATAGTACAATTGGATAAAGTGAAAATGCAGACTACAAAATAAAAATGAAACGTAAGGTAGATTAAACAAGAGGTGATCACTCTTAGGAGTAAGTGAATGGAAGAACTGAAAGTGGATGAGAGAGAACACGCCGAGGTTTTATATAAAATCGATATTGATTTCGTCGGAATGGAAGATTCCCAGGACCATTGAATTAATGAGTCGGAATCAAATTATCACCGAGAAGAAATACATTTGCAGCTAAGAAATTGCAGAAGGTGAGGTTCTCTTTGATTTATTTAAAACACTTCGTAATTGTTTGTAATTGGATTTCTTTGATTAAATAAAGTATTCCAATTTTGTATTTGTAAAGTTAGCGGTTCTCAATCTAATTTGTAGGGTCTAATTTTAAATTGTATCAAGACGTCAAAAGAAATATAAACATTTGGGTCGCAGCAAAAATCATGAAAAACGCTGTTTTTATACTATTTTGATAAATATTAGTTTTTTTTTCTTACCTTGGTAGGGCATTGGCTACCCAGTGTAAGAGTGTTTTCCTTGCTCCCTGTTTCCATTTATCCTTTGTGGCTGATGAGGAGGTACCAGCACTCTCCAAACTGCTGGTACTTCCGTACTTGGCCAGATACTCCAAAGCTCTGCTGTTCTCTTCGATCTAAACATCATAAAAACATACACAGACGTTAGACAAATTATCGATTTTCTTCGATCATCTGGCGGATGAACGAGACGTACATTGATATGGTTCATGTGCCGAAAGCGAGTTTGAACGATTAGTACAAAAGCGAAATGAGTTTTATTAGTAGACTTACCACGATCCACCTAACATTCCTTCGACGTAGCTTAAAATAAACAATAGACATACAGCAAAATTGGTGTGCAGTTTTAGGTGAAGCGATTTAGTAAGTAATATAAGTAAGTTATGTAGGTAAAGTAAGTAAAGTAAAAAAAAATCATAATGACTACGGTTATGGCAAAGTTAGTGCTTCTATTAGGTCTGATGATTCGGCGAGATTTTAAAGAGGAGTATGTTTTACCTGGAAGTAGAGGATGATGGTCCAGATGAGGCCCAACACGACCGGTGGTCTCCCATCCACCAAATCGCTGGCATTGATGTTGACTAGTTTGATACGTTTCCCTGCGAGGAACTGCAGGGCTGTATTGGCGTTGCTAAGGAAGTGCGGTCTGCGGAGCACTCTGCCTCTCTCCACGGGCTACAATACACAACAAACAAAGAGATGAAGGAAGTGAGACTTGATTTAGATTCGTGGTTGGATCTTACCAGTTTTTCTCCGGACAACACCTCGAGCAGTGCGAGAAGCTTCGTTCCGTCTTTCAGATCTTCAATCAAGTCGTCTACCCTAAGCGGTGGAACTCGCTGCGAAAGGAATAACACGAGTATTAGACTACGAATGTTTGTGTGCTCGAGTACGTGATGATCGACAAGATTTCGTGCCAAGCACCGTCATTCATTTAAACCTAAAGAGCGCTGCTTTACTGTTAATCGACAATTACCTATAATTACCAAAGTTATTCTATCATAAACGTAATCAATAGAGATGTCTTCATTAGAACTTATAGATTTTATTTCAAATAACTACTTAATTGAAACCAAATAATCTAAATACGTCAATTTTAATACTTTACGAAATATTAACCTTCCTAAATTTATTTGTTTTCTTTTGTTAGATTAACCTTTATTATTACATACTTTATAGTGACGTAATAACATCACCAACCTCCATTTTAAACTTTACAACTTAGGTAATCCTCATGCTTACTATACTAGTGTTTTAACAACTGACGTAAATCCCAGTTAGCTCATTTAGCTTGAAATATGGCAAAAAGTTTTATTAGAGTTATAAATGTGAGATTTACATATGAATTCTTAGGAACCACAAAAAGTAATTAATAATTACCTCATAGTTATATAAAAAAGAAATAGCCACGACTTTCTATTATTTTCAGTTCGAGACTAATAAATTCATAGTCTACACTGCAAAGCACCCTCCAAATTAAATATGCACCCTCGAAATCCGCAACCGAAGGTCCTTTCTGACTTAATTTCTTCATATTCATACTTGAATAAAATTGATACCCAAATTAACGCTTTCTGTATTCTAACTAACAGTAATTACGAATATAAATATATATTGAACGGTCAGAAATTCCCAAATTTCTAGAGCCAAGTTATAATTACAAGTATTAAATTAACTTATAAATGAAACAAATCAATTTTATGTTAACAATTTGAACAATCTCCGCATAATTTAGCGTTATTTACTTGTTTTCATGCGATTTATCGACGATCTATTGATTTTAATAATAACATTTTATCGCAATAACACGTTGTCGAGGCGTCAAATATTTCATAATTTGATGTGTACACTCTTGTCAAATAAAAATTGACGTAACGTCAACAAAATAAAAAATGATGATAAAAACAAAATAGTAACGTTACTTTTATGACAACCAATAAATAATTTATTTAACGAAAATAAGTTTCATTTTACGACTTTCTACAGTCGTAAAATAGGATTTAGATTTTTTGATTATTTTTTAATAATCAATAAATCTAAATATATTTTATTTATTGAACGATTATTGAAATAAATACTTTAGTTCACTATTACAGTACATCAATTCATTAAATTTGAAAAACGAGTAAAATATTTAATTATCGCTGCGTACGTGGCATTTAATCAGCATGCAAATCGATATTAACGACTGCAAATTAAATAATGTGTTCGTTCCATTTGCGCGAATCGTTATAATACATTCGCAATAAAAACACGGTTTTCCTATATATATTAATTCTTTTTCTCTGTCATTACTTTTCCCGTTCCGAAGGTTTAAAAATAGGTATGAGCTAAGTGGGAATTGAAACTAAACTGCAATTTATCACAGAATTAGGTTGCGGCGTGTCAACCTAGATGCGGATAAAAATAATGAATTGCCACTCACCTTGGATAAGTACGAATTGATCCAGTTCACGAAAGTCTTCTTCTGCATTCGCTCCTGTTTGTCTGCAAGCAAAAAAAACAAATGAAATAAAATATGCATACACGATCAGAAAAATAAGAAAGAAAAAACACACACATAAATCGATATTTTGTTATCCGGAAATGACGTGACTAGAAGCAATATAATGGACAAAAATGGGAAGACGAATCGCGACATCTCTTAAAGTTAAATAATTCTAATGACAATCGATAAACTGTATCTTCATTTTTCTCTATTTTTTTTTGGTGAAAAGTCAATCTTGGTGTTTGCAGATCCCAGGGGAAATCTGGGTCTGCAAAGTAAAAGCCAAATAAATAATGAAAATAGTGCGGAGAGAAAATCAATGTAGATTGTATCGATTTTTAATGCATGCAGACACGAGACGTGGAGACTTCTCGAAAGGGGGGAAAAAGTGACTCACTGACCGCAATACAGCGAGCCACACACACCCTTAACGAGTGCCTCTCCCTGTAACCTGAATATCGCTGAAAAAAAAATATACGTCGTGGAAACCCCTGAAGCGACATTCTTTCAGCGATTAAATTCAACTGGTGTGTTATTTTATTATGTTTGCATCGATGATTTCAATACTCTTTGAGGAAGAATTAAGGAGTTAATTAATAGCATTATCCTTGATTTCTATTGTTTTACTCGCTGTTTGACAGAACACTAAAAAATAAAATTGTAAAATTTATTTCAAAAGTTTTTCAATTAAAAAATCGTAAAATTGTAATAACTCGATCACCAATAAACATTACATAACAGAAATTATATCAAAATATGCGTAATATAGATATAAAGTATCGCTAATCGCTAATTCTCAGTAAATATTTATAATTACTTCACAATATTTATATCAAAAATTGAAATAACACAAAATTCTTTTTAAAATTTGACAGTTTCTAATAGGAAATTAGTAAAAAATACAAATCAGGACAAAATTTTCTTAGTATTATCTTTAATCTTCATATTGATTGATCTAATGTAATTAATTACAAAATTAAGACACTTTTTTCATTTTATTGCTTCAAAATTGAAGAATTATAACAAAATAATGATGCAAGTCACACTTGTAGTAGTAGTAGTAGTAGTTTTATGTTTAATAATTTAATTAGTGTCATCTGTTTAAATAAAACGTTAATTGATGAAAACATTGAAATATCTCCATACTTTGATCGTTAATTAACATTACGTAATATTAACTATATCTATAGTTTAAGTATTTAATACAAAGTTTTAAAGTATAATCTAAATAATTGAGAATGATTCAAAAAACTAATTGGAAATGCAATAGTTTTGTTGCATATTAGAAAAGTATAGACAATAAATTACGATTGGCATAAAACAGATACAGTATGAATCACATATAATAGCATAAATCTTTGGGTCTCCATTAACTTAATGAAGTGACTAAAGAAACCGGTATAGTTGCATGCAGACAAAGTTAAAATGTATGCGATATGAGAGAAGAAGAAAGAAAAGAGAGAAGGAAATTTAATATCGCATAACTAATAATCCGTGACCCATTCGAAACAACAATAAGATGTAGAAAAGATAGAGAAAGAAACAGAGATTTATGGTTGGAGGTGTAAAAGTCTTTAGATTATTAACTCTGAAATTTACGATAACCGCTTTTTTTTCAGTAATCCAATTCGTCCCGAATAAAAACGCTGCTAATATTAAACCAAAAAAATAAAGAATCGTGAAGGGAAAGAGAAACGAGCAAAAGCGGGAAATTCAAATCCGACGTCGGCGACGTAATTCACGTCGTTTCTGAAGCTCATTTCCCAGGCGACAGTTTACGTGATGTAAAACGACGTAATAATGAAAAAAGAAGATGTTTACGTCGCTCGAAATCAATACAACTTAGTTTCCAGTTTGTCGTTGTTTCTTTTAGGTAGCAAATTTGGTAAAATACGAAGAACATGAGTTCGTGCCTCGAATCATATATTACCAAATTGTTGACTTATTTAGGGATTTCGATGCATTTACTTTGTGTCCTGCGTTCGGCTGCTTTTGAAAGATCTGGGCGTAGGTTTTACGACTGTTACGAGCAAAACGCGATGGTCGTAAAATAAAAAGTCGTTAAACAATACCCAGTTTACAATTTAATTTAATGAGAACTTTTAAAAATAATATCAGTAGGTTAGGAAGTTTTCAATGCTGTACTTTTTAAAGCTCATAAATTGCATCGCTTTTTTATTGCATTACAGACAAACGTTTCTTGTTATTTAATATTTTGATCAAAGTTGGTTAAAAGTAAATTTGTAAAAGAGATGGGAAATAGAATTTAATAGCGATTTTTTTTTTTTGCATTACAGACACATTTACAATTTTGAAAATAGTAAAAATAACCGAACTACAGATTGCATTTTTTTCAACCTTAATAAAGAATTTCAACAAAAATCTATTTTTCATGCTAGTTTTTTGATATTCAAACCAATAGTTTATGGGAAAATGTCATTTTATGGTTGTATTACATAAGAACGTAGTAAAAAGACATTTTCTCTGCACTGAGGGTTCTAAATCAATACGAACAGTGGTGACCTTGAACGTAAAATTCTTTATTTCTAATACTTTATTTATAGCATAAATTTCCCAATTTTTGTGTAATTTTTGTTACTTTATACAAAAGAATATAAGTTTATTTTTTTCAAAATTAATGTATTAAAATGTTTGTCATTTATCTTGTAAAACTTTAGAAAAAATGTCTTCAACTTTAAAAAATATTTTGTTTTATAATTACGAGAAGTGCAATATTTTGAAATTTTAATTCAATGTACTTTAATTAGTATTTCATTAGTTTCAATTGAGTGCAATTAATGTTGAGATTAGTTTATACTTTTTTCTACTACTATAATATAGAAGACATATAAGACAGTTTCCAAGAGATTTATCGATAAAAAATATAAATTAAATTAAAGTTTTACTTGTTTAAAGATTATTATCTAATTAATTATGTGACAATGCGGTGGCATGTTTATTATATGTTTCCTTCCACCGATATTTCCTATATTTATACATTTGTTGATCGTTTGTTGCCATTGAGCGGAAAAGGAAGCGCTCGTGATTGTAGTAATAGTATTCCTTATACCAACAATGTCTCGTGTTTGTAATTTAGCTACGTCTGCATGATGAATGCACTATAAATATCCCCGTGACACGTCATCTATATAGTATATAGTGTATATATAGAAATGAAGTTGCCAAGATAGTTGGGAATTTACAAGGGATAATAAAATAGCTTCAGGTTATATCAAAATGAGGGAAGAAGGAAAATCGGCGAGGAAAATTGTTCGGACGACACGCAAGGCCTCATCAGGAAATTGTCTGTGCTTTGGTAAAACTACAAGAAAATGCGTCGTCTCTAAACACACACACACACACACACAGTTCAAATATTGATCACATGCAAAGTTTGTATACAAGTTTCATTTGGTTTTGAAACAAAATGAAAGAATTGATTTTGCACCACGCTTCATTTATATGTTACAAATACACGTTTATTTGATAAATGCAATTAAACTTTAGATTCAATGGAATAAATATACACGAAAATATTAGCATTGACACATATCAATATTAGTTAATTATCTAACTTAATAACTAGTCTTTCTTATTGCGTTACAGACACACGTATATTTGGTGAATCTAATTTAACATTTAAATGACGATTACCAAGGATTATACAATTTCAATATTGTATAATAAATACTTAGTATTGACATATGTCACACGAAAATACTAAATTGGATAAATGTCATTTATAGACGTCCTTGTAATTTAACATTGGATTCATGTCGATGTTAGAAGATTGTTTATCTACCAACTTAATATGATAGAAACACATGAAAATATTAGCAATGACGCATGTCTTCTTTATATGACAGTCAATTATAGAACATAATAACTCGTTATTATTGCTGCATTACAGACACACGTTTATTTGTGAAGTTTAATTTAATATTCGATTTGGAAGACGATTACCGAACATAATGTAATTGAAATACATAAAAATATTTTCTATGTCACACGAAAACACTAACTTTGACAGATGTCATTTGTTAACGTCAGTGTAATTTAACATTAGATTTATATGAATGGGTTTCCGCAGTTCAAATATTGGTCCCGTAAATGACGTATATATATATACATTCGGATTGGAATTAGGTTGAAAATATACATATCAAAAGTGGACCTCCGCAATCGCACGACCTTTGATGTTCTTTGGGTCTTCGACGAAATGCTGCTGGTATGGAAGTATAATAAATAAATCACGAAATCCATTCACGTACAATTTATTATATGTAACGATAAATGTAATGCTCATTTCACTTTGAACATATGCCAAATACATCTTTAAATCTAGGCCAGAGACTTAGATTAAAGAAATCAATTCACAATCTTGTGGAATTATCACGACCTAAATAAGATAATTTTAAGTTGGTTCCACATTAAGAGTAAAATGATAGTTTAAATGTCTGTCAAGAGTGTCAAATACTATATGAAGCTTTAGTTTTAACTTAGTGGTAAATAGTAATATTGTATTGAAACTATATTAACTAACAGTTAATATTGTACATTGTAAAGTTTACAACTTAATAACAGTTAAAATTAATTGACAGTTTTTATTACACGTTCTCCTGTTTAGCAAATAATATTTGATTACCTAAAAAAGTGAGACACTTGCTGTTCCATAATGTCATGTTTACCAATTGATACTCGATTACCTAAAAAAAGTTAATGACAGTTAAACTTAATTGACAGTTGACATTCCACATTGACATGTTTACCAATTTATAGTTGATTACTTAAAAAAATGAATGACACTTGAATTTAATTACAATTGCACATAATTATGTTTAGCAATATATAATTAATTTCTTAAAAGTTAATGACAATTAAATTTAATTAACATTTGCTATTGCATAATATCATGTTTACCAATTGATACTTGATTACCTAAAAAAGTTATTGATAGTTAAACTTAATTGACAGATGACATTCCACATTGTCATGT